CCCCCCGTCGATATTAGCGAGCAGGTAATTAACGGTTTGGCGTTTTTTTTCGAGGACCTTGAGGCGAAGGCGGTTCTGTAGAGTGTCGTGGGCGGGTAGTCGGAACTGCGGATTCAGAATTCTGCAGAACTCCTTCAAGTTTGCCGATGTCGTGATATGGAAAGGCAAGCCGTCCATCGCGATGAGTCTCATCAATTGGTGTTCGGCGCTCTGCTGTTGTGCATCGCTCCATGCAAACGCAGTGCCGGTGTTGGTGTTAAGGATGTGTGCAGTTTTGGACTTCTTTGACTTTGATGGTGTCGGTGGTAAGGCGTCCTGTTTCAGATTCTCGAGAATAAGCGAAGCCCGCCGTTGTCGTTCCTGGAAATATTCAATGTCGGCTAAGATGGCAGGATGTTTGCGCATCAGATGCTTTCGACGCCCACTGGCAGTACTTTGCCCGTTGTTGCAAACTGTGGTTGCGCCATCGACCTCTTTCAAGATTTTGCAATAATATTTGTCCGGTCCCTTCTCAAAGCAGAATAATGCTGAAGAGTTCGAGCGAAGGGTTTTTTCAGCGTCGTTGTCGATGGGTCTTGTGTCTTCGATGCTCAATGGATTGGGGTCGGTACATTCGATGTCGGCGTTGGTGGGAATCCTCTCGGAGTCGCTGTCGGTAGATCCAGATGGGTCAAAAAGGATTTTTCGGATGGGAACCAACCTCAAAGCTTGGAGCGCGGTCGGGGCCAGACTTTTACACACCGCAGCGGAAGGAAGCCTGCCTAAGGGAGTGGTAATATATAGCCGACGAAACTTCTGGCTGGCCTTGATCTCGTCCTTGGTCTCGTGGCGCTGCATTATTTTCAGGCAATTTTCGATCTGGTCGATGGTCAAGTCCGGTCCCGTTGACGAGCTCGTCGCCAAGTAGTCGTTGATCTTGTCGTTCATCCCGTTCACTACTAAAGCGGGGCTAGATAAGTCTGAGGCAGACAGCGCACAGTCCTGCGCCGACGGAACAGAGACTGAGCTATGGCTGACCATATCTGACAAGGTGGCGGAAGCCGTTGGTGGGCGTAATGGAGTTGAATGTTGGAGTCCGTGATGAAAAGGTGCGGCGGGATGTGCGAAACGGACGGCGTTAGGACTATGCGAGACGCGTGGGTGGTGGCCGAAATGTGATCTCGGGCTGAATGGCTTGGAAGTGGATATCCATAAGAATCGACTGAAGATATGTGGTGCATGTTTTGTCCGGGGGTCGTCTGGTAAGGCGCGTCGACTATAGGACTGTAGGAAGAGGAGGAGGAGGCTGAAAAGGCGCGCTCTGAGGAGGGCTGGTAGACTGACCGGGCGGGCGAGGACTGCACATAGGCGTGCTGGTAAGCAGAAGAGGCGGAACCATAGGAGGTGTGGTGGGCAGAATGAACAGGCATATAGGAGGAGTGGTTGGCAGACGGAGCAGGACCATACGCGGGCTGGTAAGCAGAGGCGGGACCATAGGTGGACTGGTTGGTAGAAAGAGCAGCAGAAGAGGTGGCAAAAGCATAGTCCGCGAGATCGGTTTGCGACTTCGATCGACTGAGCTTGCTAGGGGAACCCTCGATTAGGTTATCAATATTCCGGCGAAGATGGCTTATTATAGCTGGGGGTGTCCTCGCTGAAACCGAAGCTTGGATAGGAGTGCGAGTGGGGGTACCAGGGAGCCGGTTGGGATTGTACTCTGGCACTGTTGGACGGACAAATTCTGCCCTGGTGGTAGTCGACTCTGTTGCGTCAAACGAAGGCCGCGTTGCTGTCGATCGCTTTCCATTCGATCTTTCAGACTGCAAATAAAAATTACCAGGATAGACATATACATTAGCATGAAGTGTTACGATACAAAACTTAAATGACATGCAATCGACAAAGGGGACACCTACGGGAGTACTGGGCCCAAGTTCATCGTCGCCGACCAGAAAAGGTGATTCCATGTCTCCATGACCATCGAATCCGCGGCTGTTGTAGTGCACCATTTTTTCAGGCTCGAAGTCTGATCCACTGTCGTTTGGCTCGTCATAGGCATCGTTGTAGGCATCGTCCAACCTGTTATCGAAAATTGCCATTGCCGGGAGGAAGAGGGAACAAGGACTTTGAAAAGAAGACGAAAGAAAAACAGTGGATGGGAGCAAAATAAGCACGCAATGGGAAAGGATGATGTTGGAAAGGGAGAAAGGGAAGGGGATGGGAGAGGGATAGAAAGAAAGAAAGAAAGAAAGAAAGAAAGAAAGAAGGAAAAAGGTAATTCGGGCTTTATTTCTCTGTGAAAGGGAGAATGGCCCACATCTCGAGTGGGATGTCCCACTCTTGGGAGAGGGTTTGGACCTCTTTGAGAGAGGTACAGGACCGCATCTCAGAGGGGGACAGGACCGCATGTCAGAGGGGGAAAGGATTGCTCTGTAAAGCGGAACAAAAGTTTGTGTGACCGGGAAAATCCCTCTCAGCAATGAGGTCCCCCTCCAAAAAGAAAGATTTTGTCCCCCTCTCACAACCTCTCCCAGCCACTGAATTTAATTAAATACAACTAGGCTCGGCTTAAGGGGTCTCAAGCCACCAACAACTCCAGCGCACCACAAAGAAGGCATGCTTATGCCCTCCACTCATCCGTTAGTGTGCTAACATTAAACACAACTTGTTTTGAACTCTGCCTTGGCGGTAACAAAGGCGGGAGTGCCAGTACTTCCTTTTTCATCAGGTTCTTGTTTGTAAAAGTAGACTGATTGGTGCCTCGCCGCCTCTGACTCGTCTAGGTACTTGAGGTTTCCTGGCCATCCTAAAACTAGAAGATGAGGGTTTCCGTCTCTGAAAGACTACGCCTAACTTGAGTAATCACACGACTGTATGTTTCTCGTGAGGGCAAAGGAAGGGAGGAGGAGACAAGATGGGATTGCCTTCTCCACCATTTTCGAATGATGGTGCTTATACTCTGTCGTACCACCGCTGCAGCAGCACAAGAGGTATTAACCGAAGATTGTATGTACTGGTACTCTATTTGGTAGAGGCTGTTTAAGTCGGCGGTTCCTTTTACACGGACGGCATCCATCGTGAGACAGCATGTAAAATAGTTTCAAAAAGCGTCCATATGACTTAACCCCGACATTCCTTGCCTATGCTTCATCCTCATCACAGCAATCCCTGGATTCCTCTAGTATATCTCCTTCCAGTGCAGCGCCATCCTCATTCCTTTTAGGCCGTAGAAAAAGTCTCGATCGCCATATATGTCATCGCCAAATCGATCTCATGGCTCGCCTTGTGGCTCAACTGCCTAGAGAGAATGTCGAGTAGTCCTAGTTGTATCCCTTTATTTCCAAAGGGGGCAGTCTACGGTAACTTACTGAAAAGGGTGTGGGAAAACCTGAAGGGCAGAGGATTCTATCTGTAGAAAACCCTTGTCAATTCAGGGGACTGTGCAAAGTCAAGGAGGCACAAACAAAATCCATAGAGGAGAGTGCAAGAATTACGCGAATTCAGAATTACGAGGCACAGAGCAATGTCAACCCAAGCGACAGTGCAAAATCAGGGAGGCACGTAGCAAAATAGGGAGGCACAAAACAACAAGGGCAACAAAGGAAACAGTGCAAATTAGGGAGGCACATAACAAACAGGGGCAATGAATGTCAACTAAGGGAACAGTGCAAACTTAGGGAAACACAAGATATGTGACATACAAACTCGGTGGAAAGAAAAGCAACAATAACAAGTAGTTTGGAGTAGAGGGATAGCCAAGTCGGTCAACGTAGTGGTCGTCCGTACTTGCATATGGCCGGGCTTGCAGTTCAATAGACGAGCAATGGTTCGAAAAGATCATACAGACCATTCTTTCTCATCTTTCCTCTTCATTTATGAGAACGAGGACAGACTTCCAAGTCACCACTGCGGATTCGGACCATGAGTGAAATGGGAGGGAACGGAATTTCTCGTTTGTGATGTGCTAGGTGATGGTGAAGTAGTTATGCTTTGATCTGTCATCCTCCCTTTTTTTATTTCGACTTATTAGCTATAGTCACCTTCTATCTCTGCTCTTTGTGTCTGGGTGGACATGATCCGGTGTGAAAAGAATGAAGAGATGTGGTTGCTCGCTCATTTTTGAGAGCGAGACTAGAAAATAGGAGAAAAGGGAGAGAGGGAAAGGGAGAGAGGGAAAGGGAGAGAGGGAGAAGGGAGATAGTCACCTTCTATCTCTGCTCTTTGTGTCTGGGTGGACATGATTCGGTGTGAAAAGAAAGAAGAGATGTAGTTACTGTTCTATGCTCGCTCATTTTGAGAGCGAGACTAGAAAATAGGAGAAAAGGGAGAGAGGGAAAGGGAGAGAAGGAAAAGGAGAGGAAAAGAGAAAAGGAGGGGGAAGCACCATAGACCATCGTAGGCGTCTGGGCATTTTTTCGCAATATAGCGTTTGACCTTTCTCCATTTGCCCATTTTAATCTTCGACTGCTTGCTCGAGAATCGAAAGAATTTGGTGTGCCCGCCAAATTCAAAAATCCCATCCTCGTTTTAGGAGTCTGAGTGTTTAGCGACATACCCCATCAATGTCACAATAAGAAAAAAAAAGGAGTGAGAAACGCCACTTCAGGGCCACCAAGATTCTGTAGATGGAAAATGACCCATTAGTTCTAGTCAGAATAATCCTTCCGTCGTCGGAAAAGGAGAGTAAACTGTTTTCATGATAAGCGCAATGGTGTCCTTGACCAGAGTCTTTCCTCCCTCCCCTCTTTATCTCTTTCTCCTTGTAAACACTAGGCGCTCTCTTAAGTCATTGAACTATCTAATCAATCGCTTGTCTCCAGGTTGCCCAAGTTTTTTTGAATATATATATTAACTCGTTGTTGGCCTTCCTTCTATTTTTTATTTCTTTGTCAGACCATCCTAGCCCATTATCTCCCCACAGACATCTCTCTGACACATATCTTTACCTTCATATCCTCCCCCAAGTGTTCGGCCAGCTCAACCATTTTACCCATCACTCCTTTCCTCCCCAACCACACTAGATGAAGATCTTTTCGCAGCGCAAAGCCACTTTTGTGGCTTTTGCAGGCATTGCCTATTTCGCCTCGACGCCCTCCGTTCTAGGGCAAAGGGCGGGGGATGCAGCCGATCCCATTGGCCAGCAGACGTTCAATGCGCTCAACAATGATCACCACCACCATCACCGCCTAATCGGTAAGTGCGAATAGCGTTCGCGTGGACCAAGAAAAACACAGGCCTTGTCTCCTGGGTACTGGATTTCATTTTTTTATTGAACCCGTTTCCTGATGACTGTTCTTTAACCATGGCCATGTTATATTTCGCCTTTCGTAACTACACATCCGTACAGGCAAGGAGGTGCATCTGGTACGTAATGGCGTCATTATCGACACACTCAAGTGCCCCCTCAAAGTATGCGGTGCCATTGCCGTTGCTGTCGAAGCCGTCGATTCCAACATTGTTGATGCCAGTTCGAGCGCTTTTAGTGCCAAGAACAGCGGTGGAACCGACTCCATTCCTCAAGTCTACATCGAGGCGGGTTGGACTGCTGATGAACCTATGGCCAACCAGGACGTCACTGGTCCCACCGAGACGACTGACGACTCCGAGGAGACTGACTCCGAGGAGACTGAGTCAGAGGGCTCTGATACCATTGAACCGGCCAAGAGGGATAACGCTGCTGATACAGACTTCGAGGCCTCTAACCATGATGCCGGGCACAAGCACAGGCATCACCATCACAACAAAAACTGCCACCACGACAAAGAACAACAACACAACCACAAGAACAAGCACCCCTGGAGGGACCTCTGCGTCGCCGTGGGAGATTTCTGCGGATCCAGCCTCTATGGGTGCGACTTTGACCCCAAGACGTGGTATCATTGCTCCGCCATTGGTGCATGCCCCACCGTCATCGAGGTCAACTCAGTGAAGTGTGGAGGTCCTCCCCCAGTGAACCCATGCGCATGTACAGGCACCGCCACGACATGTCTCAGCGGCCTCTCCTTAAGTTGTCAACTTCTGTTTCCCACCGCTACTACGACGACCGTCTTCCAATGTACCAGCGGTACCTTCAAGGAGACTACTCCATGCACGGCTCCCAATGTCTGCAATGCTGGCAATTGCGTGGACCCATGCGCATGTGTAGGCACCACCACGACATGTCTCAGCGGCCTCTCCTCAAGTTGTCAACTTCTGTTTCCCACCGCTACTACGACGACCGTCTTCCAATGTACCAGCGGTACCTTCAAGGAGACTACTCCATGCACGGCTCCCAATGTCTGCAATGCTGGCACATGCGGCGTGGACCCATGCGCATGTACTACAGGCGGCAACCCGATATGCTTCACGGCCATCCCAGCAACTTGTCAAAGTAGGCTTGTTCTGCTTGGCATTTCTCCGAATAGTGCCGTCCATTGTCCAGCCGGCACATACGTGCTGCAGCATGCATGCTCGCTTCCCAAGACCTGCAGTCCTAACCCCGGGGGAATAGGCATATGCCAATAATGCTGAAAGTGTTTCTGGTGTCGAGGCAGTTGCTCCTACCAATGGTTTCGTAAGTGACACTGCAGAATTTGAAGAGCTTTATAGGCACTACCAATGTAGAGAATACTAACACCCGTGCTTTTTTGCACTCTCATAATAGCCTGCCATTCCGGAAGTCTAATTTCGCTCTGGTACCCATGTGATGGATCACCATGCCTTACGACAAAAAAAGTGCGATCAAGGAAATAGATAGGTGTTATGATTCTTGTTGTCCGTGAAGTGGCAGCAAGGGTCATTCAGAAGGCGGGCTTTGTACTATACAAGGCAACAGCAATTGCGGATTGAGCACGAGGACCATGTTGCCTTATGTGTAGAGAGAGATAGCAAGTCAGACGAGCCATTTGCACATTAAATAATGATAACAATGCTGCTCCTACGTATAACTAGAGCTGAATGTTAGGGTTTTTATTAACAATTTTGGTCACGAATGTCCTACGAAGGACGGACTATTCGCATTGTCTACGGTGCCATGGACATATGCGTTACCTTCTTTTTTATTTTAACCGACGAAAAAAATACTAGCTGTTCTTCGCCCATGACTTCGTCACGGGCTGCCTGACTCCGTCAGGCGTGTAAAGAGATAAAAGAAAGAAAGCAAATGAAAAGAGATTTGTATATGTATTAAGGTATATAATATGAAAGGGGAACAAAGGAAGACCTATGATAGAGCCCATGAAAAATAACGTTTCTAGTATAATAGCCAGGACTCGGCAGCAAAACGTTATCAGGGTCGGATAGAGGAAACAAAGAAGAGAGGTGTTGAGAGATCAAGACCGTGAGGGTTGGAACACCTGGACAATGCAACGTAAAGTTGCCCATGCGAAAAAAAGGTGGCGGGGTAAATAAATGCCAACAGTATTAAACGTTTGTCTTGTGCTTTGTTGATAGTAAGAGCAAATGCAGGACGAATGGGAAACTGCTGCCTTATGAACTTGATTGTGCAAGAACCTTCATCATTGGAGTACAGAGGAATTCGAGGGATGAAGACAATGTCGTCCGTGAAAGCGCCCGAGATAATCCTTGCCTCGATGAGAGAGTCCTTGAGATTTGTGATGCGCATTCTCGTTCCGTTGCACATTCCACGTTTGCTGTCGACATTTCGGAGAAGCATGATAGGTTGACCAACTTTGAGGTTCAATTCGTGAGGAGGGAGACCTTGCGGTTGTTGAGAGTTCAGAAGCTCGACGGGATAGTTTGTGGCAGCGTTAGAGTCAGCATCCGGAATGTAGTCGACACTTGAGTAGCATATCGGTTGGTCGGAAAGAAACATGTCGGTAGCGAGTTGGTTGATCAGATCCAGGTCGATGTTCAAAAGGCAAAGGATGACCCTATCTCCGAATAAGGTGTGATCGAACACGTCTGAGCCGATGTCGGGAAATATAGAGCGAATAAGCTGCTTTTCATGGTCGTGATCCGCATTGTCGGTTGTTGGTTGAAAGACGACTTGATCTGGAAGCTTGATGTAGTCATTGTGTTGACCGCCAGAAAAAGTTGGCTCTTGCCCATTGCCAACACGGAGGGGATAGTCAACAAATGGTTGGTGCTTGACATTGTTACCGATTCTTAGATTTCTGGTAAGACAGACGATCGAGACGAACGGCCAAATGGAGGTAGGCTTCTTGATGCAAGCTTCCTCTACCTTGGCCTGCAAGGGGTGGAGGAAAATCGGAAGGAATTGACGGAAGTCTCCGCCGAAGACCACAACTTTGCCGCCAAACGGAATATCGGGAATCTCCAAGAGGAACCTAAAGAGACGATCTACGGCTTCAAAGCCATGCTTGTGAAGCATAGGCGCTTCATCCCAAAACAAAGCAGTCGCCTCAAGGACGCATCTGCCGATGAAAGATGCGCGCGTAGGAGGGCAAACCGAGATTTCTGTAATGGGGATGGGTATTTTGAATGTGGAGTGTGCGGTGTGTCCACCATGGAGGATAATGGAAGCAATACCAGACGACGCGACGACAATGGCAGGATTCTGAAGATGGCCACGAATATGCTCGATCATGGTGTTGTATAAAAACGTCTTGCCGGTACCTCCTGGACTATCGATGAAGAATATCCTTTTGGAGGTGTTCTGGTGATTGCATTGATAACAGTTTTAAAGATACGTTTTTGTTCCGATGTGAGTTGCTGTCTATGTTCAATGACAAGTTGTTGATATTCCTGTATCGTTGGTTCATGTTGAGTTTTCTCCATGGAGTCGCCTTTGCTGGATGGAAGGGAAAGAAAGTTGTCTTTTGTTGCTTAAGGCATGGTGGGGAATTTGTTGAGATTGGATTCCATGCTGACAAGAATGCTGCTTATGTGGTGGAGCGCGTTCATCTCAGCGTCCATCTTGGCGTTCAGAAGAGATATCGGGTTGGAGCCAACGAGACCACGGGCTTTGTGAAGGAAGTCTGACGACATTGCTTCGGCGAAGAGCATTCATAGATTGTTGGGGCCGGAAGGGGAGCAGCATGTGAGAATCATGGCGAAGAGGTATCTGATATGCCGGGGGTGTTGAAGTTCGTTGGCATCGGTTAGGCACCTGATCCATTCGGAATCATCTTTCAGGGGTTGTCGAGCGTTAGCGGCGTCCCAGAAGGAGGTGTATGTCGACTCATTGAAAGTCAAGAAGTCTTGAAAGCTCCTTGGACCAGGCACGTTGAGCAGGAGGACTCGAAGAAAGTAACGCTCTCCATCCTTTGGGCTCACAGTGTACATTTGTCCTATAGCGACTCCCCGAGAGCGTTCGTTCCAAGTGCGGGTGCGTTTGTTGTAGGTATAGTGCTCTGGAATGTTGAAATAAGTGAAACGTCGAGCGTCCTTGTCGATGTTGAGCTTGAAGTACGCCATCAATGTACCGTCATTGTTCTTGTGGAGAGCACCACAGGGATCAGAAGTCTTATTATGAGTGTAGAATGTTGTAGAATATCATTTTGTTGTTACAATTGCAACCATTCCCAGAAAAATGAAGAAAGGAACTCGTGGTAATAAAATGTTGAGTGAATGATAATGAAGAAGAAAGGAAGCGATTTTGCCTGTGCCTGAGAAGAAGGAGCTGGTTGTGCCTGGGAGAGAAAATTAAATCCGAATGATAAAAAAAAGGTCTGAACGGGAAGTAAGAGGGGTAAGAGTCACCTAGATAGAGAGGGAATGTGTGCGTGAGAGAGAGAGAAAGGGGGAAAGAGGGAAGTGATTGTTCCTGAGGGAAAAAGATGAAAGAGAAGATGAAAGAGAAGACGAAAAGAAAAAAAAAGCAGTTTATGGCAAGGTATTTTAAGAACGACTCTTACAAAGCAAAGTTGAAGATACTTGATAGTACCTGTATATGACCGTGTGCTGGCCTTCTAGGTGGACCTGAAGACGAACGACCTTGGGGGAGTGACCGCACATAGGGAATCGGAAGAGTCGCCACATGGCTTCACACGCTGAAATGTACCTGGTATCCTGAAAATAGGTTATCTCGTCTCGAACACTTGAGATGGCGAGGGCGGCGTTGGCTCGGTCGTGGCCCTTGTGAACGTATTTGTAGAGATACTTTACAGCCTTGATGGAACTGCAGATTTCAACATTCACATGGGCATCATACTTGGCGGTTAACCAAGGATTGTAAGGGATGATCCAAGAGTTGTCAAGCTTTGACCACGTCTGTTGAGGAACGAAGAGCCTTGACGTCGACGATAACAGGGATAGCCATCGTCATTGGTGGTCGTCTCATCTTGAAGAGGGCGAGGATATCCCTTGGAACAGTACCATTCGCCCTTCTTGTTCTTGACCATACACGGAGCAGATTTGTTCTAGGCGCCACAGGGACCATGGATCATCGACCCGGTAACGGAGGCGAAAAATTGGGGATAAGTCTCCTTGTCAGGGAGTTCCGCGCAGACAATGTCGTCAAATTGCTTGGGGGTCTTGGGTTTGTGGGCAGAGTCAAGAATGAGAAGGGCATGACAGTGCGGTAGTCCTCTCTTCTGAAATTCGACTACCCAAGTCCAACCAATAGCCTTGCCGAAGACATGGTGGACCAGGAGATCGTCGAGGAAAGACTTGAGTTTGGCCTTAAACACTCGGGTGGTAATGTCTGCGCGATCCGAAGAGGTTTGACCCGGCAAAGAGGTTGTTGGTAATCTCGGGCCACTTTGGGTTACAGGTAAAGGTAACAAACAAATCTGGTTTCCCATAGCGGCGGACAATGCTCATCGCATCCTGGAACAACTGCTGGAGATGACGTGGCCCACCAACGAAGCTTGAGGGCAACATCACAGGTCGACCAACATCCTTTGCTTGAGTGTCGTTTGAGGAGTGTACAGCATCTGACAGACCTTGATGATAGGCGGCAAGCAAATCGTCTTGATTGTTACGGTACCATTGCAGACGTTGTGATTCGACCTTAGCGTACTGATCGACCATGAACTGTTGGGGTAGACGACCAAACATAAGCAGGTAACATCGACGATCTGTTGGGAGTATGGTCGCATTTGAAGCCGATAAGCATAAAATTCCCGACAAGAGACCCATCAGCTTCCCTCCTCAGATTCACCGAGATGGTTGTTGTTAGGCGCGAAGTCGGTCTCGAGCTCGTGATCCTCGTATGTCGGCAGATCACACGTCTCTGGTGGATAGGCGTGAGTGTCGCCGAGATGAATCTGGTCGTGGGTGGCATTCATGTTGAGGTGTTGACCAAATGTGTTGTTACTGGTGTTGGATCATAAGCAATAAATTTAGCTGACACATGATGGTTGGTGAGGCTTGTAGCGGGTAGAGTTGAAAGATCGGTAATGAGGGAAAGGTATTGTGGGTTTGTTACGAGAAGAGCTGAAAAGGTCGAGTTGTTGTGAGGGTGGGAGAGAAAAGTGTGTTGTGTAATGGGTGGAAGATGAGAGGAGGAACCGGTGCGGATGTCGATGTTGAATGGGAGAGGAGCAACTTTCTTGGGAATGATCTTGAAGTAAGTCTTGTAGGTCCATCCTTGCAATCCAGTTGGGAAAATAAGGACATAGTAGAGTGAGTCCTACGAAGGGTTAAACTCGTTGATGCGAATGAAGGGGTTCTTGTTGTCCGCGGTGAAGGCCTCCAGAATAATGTCTCTTTCGCCAATGAAGGCATCTCCGGACACTGGGAGTAAGGCCACAATCTCAGTCGAACTTGGCTTGTCGTATTGATACTTTCGTTTGCTGTTGTTGTCGTTGGTATTTCCCCGGATAACAAAGGTGAGGTCGGAGAAGATTGTTGTTGAGTCAGGCGTCATCCCCCTGATAGACTTGTACACGCCAGCAAAAGGGCCGATCCGGATAACCCATCTCTCCAGTTCCATTAGGATATTAATATCGAGTTCGTTGTCGAAGACCTCATTTCGAAGGGAGGCTTGAATCTCAGGGTCGAAGAAGTAGAGTTGAGAGAAGGCTGCATTTTTGTCGTTGCGGGGAATGACGGAGCCGATCCTGTGCATAACTTTTCCACTAATGCGGAAGACGTAAGCCCCCTTGCGAGAGTCGGCGTATCTTGTGTCAAGATGGTAACCCATGGATGCATAGGCCATCGCTGAGTTGTACTTTCGCACGGCAGTCTGGAAGTTCTTGTTCTGCAGTAATCGTAAGATCTTGTCATGAGGCTCAACTTCTTCCAGGCTGATTTCTTCTCTGCCGCAGCAGATAGAGAAAACAGGATTGGCTCTTGATCCACTAGAACGCTCTTGAACCCAGTCCAAAGCCTTACAGTGAAGGCACTCGATCAAAGGTCCAAGGTTATGTCGGAACTCGTTCTCGTTGACGTCAAGACCGCAGACCAGTTCTTGGGAGAATGATCTTCTTGCAATGGAAGTAGTATGGGCTATATTGAGCGGGCACAAATGGTGGCGCCTTCTAAGATGGGATGTCTTGCCGCAAGCTCTACACATGTGAAGCTGTCCCAACGGCGAATGAAGAGGAGAAGGCAAAGGAAGACACTACAAAGGCTATGCAACAAAAAAAATATAAAAGTTAATTTAGATACATTAATAATGCAGAAAGACTCAGAAAAAGGAAAGAACACTGCAGCAGCGCAATAGTCGGACACGAACCTTGGTCTTGACCATTCATTCTTGTCCTCGATATCCAAGCCGTCATGCTCAGAATCGGACGTACCCTTCACTCCTTCGGGAGTGCCATCACTTTCATAATAGTGTTCCGGAATTGAATCGACAGGAGCCATGTCGACATGTATAATATTGGATAGAGTTGCCATTTTGATATTGCTACTTAACATGCACAGACAACGTAAAAATAGAAACAATTAGAAGGAGTCGAAAAAGACGTGTGTAACAGAGGAGTGTTTTGATGAAGAAAGAAAAGAGTACCTGACAAAGTGTTGGTGTTTGATACAAAGTTTTGAGCTTGATCGACTATGATCTGTTACATTGCATGTAGGACAGAGAAGGGTTTTCTTCTTTGAGGGAAGGCTAGAGAGAGAGAAACAACTGATGTCAATACAGACAAAACAAATGTACATAAGCAATTCACCTGAAGGTAACACATATGAATACAACGCTAACCTTGACACACGTTGTCGACCTGTACAGTACTTAGACGTTGATCTACAATGGTCTGTACCATTACAGGTTAGACAAGTCTTCGTCCTTTTGAGGGAGGCGGAGCAATCTTTGTTCTTGCTGTGGGAATAATGCTGAGCAGGACAAGGTACGCTTTCATCATCGTTATAAGTGGTTAGTGCGTCAGGGCAGATATAAAGAGGTGGATAAGTAGATGGAAGAGGCACACTAGAAGGAAGTAAGGCAAAAGGCAATTGATGAAGTAAGACCTGATTGCTGTGTGCAACAAAGGGAATAAATACCGCAGCCTCGCCATGTTGCTGGTGACGGGTAAGGTATGATGAGAGAGGTAAGCAAAGGATGAAAGGCAAATGAAAAAAAGAGGAAAGTGGTAATCAAGACGAACTAACAATTAACTGAATGTTATTCCTTACTATGTCTAATTACAAATGGAATGGAGCGAAGGCTTACAGTAGCTGTTCATGAAAACGGTGCGTGAAAAGGCGAAAAAGGGAAAGACGCAAAGGAGGTGAGAAAGATGAGAAAATGCTACCAATCAAGTCAATTGTGCTTGATATAAGTGTGCAGACGATGAGAAAAAGAAAAAAAGAGGCAAACAAAGAAGGGGTAGAGTGTATGGTGGCTGTGCAAGATTGAAGAAGAACCAAGAGGTCGACAAAAGAATGGCCAAGAGCAAAAAATAAATAAACGGAGCGTAAAGAAGAGACAAAGCACTCTCTCAACTGAGCTTAAACCAAGGGATACTGTCCACATTCTTATTTTTTTTTTGTGTACAATTGTTTATTCTTTTCATTAATATGGCCACGCAGTTTTAATCTTTTTGTGTGCAAACATCTGCTTAATGAAACCAAAACAATATCTCTCATCTCCTTCAGTTTCATCAATCCACCTAACTAGTTAATACCCTGGCCTTCCTTGATCCTATCGCCTACTGAAGACTCTCTGCAATGAGAGATCAATGTAAAAGCGAGCCATGTGCCGAGCCGTATGGCACGGTTATGTCGGAAGTAGACGTCACTCGCCTCTATGTAGGATTCCATCCTTTTTGCATCCTTTTTGAATCCGTCCGTACAAAGGCACTGAGGAACGCGCGAGTTGAGAGACGCGTTGATAAAGAAGGGTATACCCAGGAACAATCAGTTGCATCATAGTCAATCAGCTCCACTTGCCTTTGCTGTTACAGTATAATTTACCTTCATCACTGCTTTGATTGCAGGGTTACTTTTAGGACGTCAAATAATGGAGAACAACTCGATTTCTTCCTTCTCGCATTTTTTCATGTAAGAAGCAGCCACGTGACATTTAATATGTGGTTGTCTGAGACGCCTGGGTCGAAGTGTCATGGCAGATACCATCGAGAGGAGGCGAAGGGTGGACTGTCTCTTCTCGCAAAGGTGCGGACGACCCGGTGTCTCCAGTGTCTTGGTCACTCATGGAAAAGGAAAAAAAGGACGTATTTGTGTGTGTATGTGTGTATAGGTGTGCAGTAGGTGTGGTAGGTGTATGTAGATATGTATGTGTGCGTGTGTGTAACTCAGAAGATATATGAAGGGGAAACGACTGTAAACTCTGACACTTTCAACGCTTCTCGATATCAAGAAAGAAAGGTGCTTTTAATGTTAGGGCTACGCTATGTCAAACGCTCCCATCAATACTGCTAAGAACAAGAACAGCATTGCACATACCTGCTCGATATCAAGAAAGAAAGGTGCTGTTCTCTCTGACCTCGTGCAGGCTTCTTCTACTAGGCTCGGCTTAAAAGGTCTCAAGCCACCAACAATTCCAGCGCACCACAAATACGGTTGCTTCTTGTCGAGTGGTTGAAGACCCAGGGTGTAAGCAAGGGAAAATTTGACCGCACACGGCTTGTCAAAAAAAAGGCCTGAGTGAGACGGACAGGGACCAATCCACCCCATGGGGTCCGTCTGACAGCTCAGTCTCACAGAAACTGTCAGCCGCTGACACCTCCTTCTCTTCATTTAGTGGCTTGGATTTATCATGTCTAGCACAACTGTAGGGTTTTGGCGTCCAAAAAAAAAAAAAAAAAGAAACATATCCTATTATGGCAAGCCTCATGATGCAGCAACAATGCTATGTCAGGCGGAGGTAAAGGAGCAATTATTACGCCTACATATGCATCTGCATGAAATCATTATGAAACACACGCAACAATGGTGCGGACCACACTACTTAAGCACAGTTCATCCTCCTACAGCGTTCTTTTCTTTCTTTTCTTCAATTCCTTTATTCACCTTCCACCCTTTACATCAAAACTACACACTTTTTCTTCACACGCCCAGTACCTTTCCATCATGAACCAGAACACAAGCAACCAGAGCAAGCCCGCCTCGGCCCTGCGTTCGTCGAACCAGCAACAAGAGTCTATGGCCCCCGCCAACAAGCAGCAGCTGCAGGAGCAGCGTTCCGAAACACCTTCTCATGCTGGCCAGAGCAACATCGAGGCACCGATGAGTGGATCCAAGATGTGCGGCCATGCCTTCGACTGCGACTGCTCGACAGAGTCGGCCATTCATGCCTCTGAGGAGCATGCTCCCAGAACCAAGTAAAACATCTCGGTGATTTACTCGATATTTCATCGAGATCGACATGACTCTCAGCTCATGTTTTGTATATAGCACTTCAGTACATCCCTTATAAAATCAGCCATGCTGGTCGCTGTGGGTGTCCTTATAAACCCACACTGAAAACGACAATAAACAGTTTTGGTTAGAAAATGACTTGTTTGCGTAAACATGCTACATGTGGGTACCAGGATACCAAAGTCAAGGAACTTACAAGATTGCTTGAGGCAATGCCAGTTCCGATTATTGGTCGGTTGAGAGCAATGAGCACCTTCGAGATCCCTTTTGAGCTTGTTAGGTGAGTGCTTTATCGGCTAGAGGGTCCTTTGCGTCGAGTGGCCTTGCTCCTGTCACTGATGGATGGAGGAGCTGGGCTAGGCTCTTGCGGCGGTGGCATTAATTTTGGAGGGACATTGGCGCTGTAGCTATGCCTGGAAGATTCTTGCGGTATTCGCTTCTGCTTGGAGGCCCGAGGGACTCGTCGCAATCCTCTCTGGGACATTTCACGGAGGTAAAGAACTCGTTACAGCAGATGACAGTGTACCAATGGTGAGGCCTATTTTAGCCAAAAAAAAAAAAAAAAAAAAAAAAAAAAAAAAAAACAAAAAAAAACGACGTGTTGGTTTCTGCGTTGAACCTGAGTTACAAAAGTGTTCTGTGACTTCAATGTGGAGGCAGAAAACCTACAACTTGAACGAAGCGCAGTATCAGCTTAGAGCTTTGATGGAAGACCAGTCCTAGAATTGAACTGAGCAAGTTCTACATAAATCACGGCCGGTGACAGCAGACGCTCCTTCCTTCTTGACCCATTAAGAACTCTTGTGGTCACATTCCCGTCTCGATCCATAGCTGGCTTGCCCTCGTCGTCCACCTGTGGCACCCGTAGTCTCCACCACGTTCAACACGTGCATCGACCGACCAGATCGAGACTTCTCCATTGTGCCTTAACTGCGACCCAATGTTTCCTGCGATACCACTTCTGATGATAAAAGGAAGGAAGGGCTTGAAGGGTAATTTGTTGTTGTCCTGTGGTGCCGGTCGAGGATTAATGAACGAATAGTATCTGTCCATGGTGGAAGCGGACTCTTTCCCCGCCACGTAGTTGACTCCGTCCGTAAGTTGCCACTCCTGCGGTGCCTTCTTCTTGTTCAAGTCTTGTCAAATTCTCACGGTAGGCCTAAGTAGCCTCTTGTGATCTTGACTGTGTGCCGCCGGTCATGGGACTTGGGGTCCAGATTCGATATTACGCCATCATTCTTCTCCCCTGGGCCCCATCCGATCACGACGGCGCCGTCTGGGTCGGGACTTTCTCCTCGGCAAGAGAACGTCAACTGCTTCCGGTCCACCGAATTCATTGGCTTGTTACACTGCTGGAGGGATTGTTGTTCTGATTCTGGCTTGTCTCCTTGGCTTCAAGGTGAAGGGTGTGTGTTCGAGAGATGGAAAAGAAAGAAGGAAGTGTCAAGAGAGAGGACAGGAGAAAGGGATAATAAAATAGAAAGGACGACAAGGTAGTTAGAACAAAGAGACGATGAAGAAAGGGGACAAGAAAAACGATAGCCATCAACAACCGGGAAAGAGAGATGGCGTGCGTTATGAGTTTTAAATGAGAAGAGGGGTCGCGAGGAGCAAGATAGACAATGGCAGGTAAGGTGGGTAACGACACCTTTGCACTGAGAGGCAGGGACTTTTGTTGACGAACAGCACATGCAGATGTTATGTGCCCATGCTGCAGCTGATTGGGTCACGACAAATGGAGGACGAGTGGTTTATAAGGCCGTGGACTGGGAGGGGTTGTGAGAAGAGATGGGGGGATAGGAGGACGTGAGAAGGGGTATCTTTACTTGGACGCGACAAGGATATTAGAGGATTTATTAGTTATATTATAAGGATTTCCCTGTCGTCGATCTACTCGTGTTGAGAGTCGTTGGCGCGTAAATGTTGTTGAAGGCATTCGCTTGTCAGTGGTAGAAGAGAAGGTCCATGAGATGATGGTTGGGGTTGGTGGAGCCGTTGTTGCTGCTGTTGCTGTAGGAGAGGATGGAGATGATGATGTGCTGCCAGACTGGATTGATCCTGATGTCGCTTCAATCCCGCAAAGGCAAGTGACGAGGATCCTGTTGCAAAGTCATCCATTCTTTTCCGCAATGGCTCAGATCCTGCTGACGCCGTCATGCTGACAAGACTACCAAAGGTCCCTGTGCTTTCCAAAGGGTCGATTGAGTGTCGCCGGTCGCCAGAAGAGCCAGTGACAATGTTTTTGACTGTAGTTGTTGCCGTCGTGGTAACATTGAAGGAGCCATTGAACTGGTTTGTCGATGACATTGGTGCGTTATTGGCTGACTGCACGTTTGACGGTGTATCGTTAGAGTAACGAGAACCAGTTGGTATGTCAGAGTTGACAGTAAAGTTGTCTGTTATCCCGAAAGCGTTGGTGACCTTGCTTCGATCGTCGATCTGGATGACGATTGTGATGGGCACCCGGATAACAAAATCCTTCAATTTTTGCACTGTCACTCGACGTTGAGTTGCGACCGGACGATGATCTGTTGAGTGATGTTGCTGTGTAAAAGCAGATGTAGATGATGGCCCGACAATATTCCCGAGTCCTGCAGCCGATACTTTCTTCTTGAGTGCTCCTATGGCGCCAGCAACAAGGCCTCCAGAGCGACTGCTGTTGCCAGTCAAAGTCGGCGGTACACGATCACTGATATTACTGCCGCTGCTCAGTGCGCTGGATGCGTGGGTTTGAGAAAGAGTCGAGAGTGTCCCTCCTCCTGCTCCTATATTTTTGGCGCTGTTGCCGCTTGTCGTGCTTTGGACGGTTCCTAGGGACCCCTTCGAGCCTCGCCTCTCATACACTATGCCAAACTGCTCTGGAGCGGGTGCCGTCGAGTATTCCGATGTTAAACCGGCACCGAATGAGTTGTTGGTGCTTGGGGGAGACACTGGCGACGAGGGTGCTCCTTCCTTTCCATGATGTTGAACAACTGTTGTAAAGGTCGATGATGGTCCTGCTGGACCCAATTGTGAAGAGGCGCCGCCGCTTGCAGGTCGGTCAAATGCCAGCGATAGATCCTGTCGGTCCCTCGCCTCCTGTAGTTGCTGTTCCTCGATAGCTTCCAAATCAACATCATCCTGCTCAGGCTCACCCTCGAACTCAAGCATGTCAAGTGATAGACGAAAGCTAAGATAGTGCTTCACCTCGATTCTCGCCTTGGCCGGGGGGCCACTGGGGATGGTGGTGGCAGTGGGTCCACCGCCACGACTAATGGTCCCCATCATCTCAGACAGCGTCAGCTGAGACGGATAATCAAATTCTGAACCAAAGCCAACGCCAGACTCTGCTCCAGTGTTTCTTAGCAAGGAAAAGTCGTATGCAGATGGTGCAAAGGGCGAGGGGGTCTCTGAGGAGGGCCACGAGAACGTCTGTCGCAGGCGAGGGTTGTCCAGAGGCACAGGAACAAGAAGCATGAACGGCTGACTGGACTGATTGTGCCTTGCAGGGGACATATCAAGCGAGGTGTGGGGGAGGGGTTGTTGAAGAGTCGAGTGGGAAATCGAGCCAGTGGATCCCTTGCGGCGAATCCAAGGTTTCAAAGAATCCATAGAACAGTGATCAGAGGTATGGACGGAGCTACGACATCCCCCCTTCAGGAAAGAAGAGAGCGGTCTTGACGATCCTTCGTCCTGCAGTGGTTGGAGGTGAAGGTCGCCAAGTAGACTCGATGTTATGGGCTCAAAGGACATTGATGGGCGTTTTTGAGCGGCTGCTTGACGCTGTCGCTCCTTCTCATGATCCTTGTCGGAGTACGAGTACACAGGAGCAAGCTGTACTTTGATTGAGCGCGATGGTGCCTCATCCGTAGGTATCCTATATGTTAATTAATCGTGTAAAATATCGTGAGCGGCCCCCCCTCAATAGCAAACGCGTACGTACTGAATCCTAACGCCAAATGCATACTCCAAAACAAAAAGTTACCTGCAGCTCTCTTTTTGCCAAAACTCGCACTTGACCTTGCGAACGCGAATCTCCTTTCTCCACCCCTTACTCGGCACTGGCTTTAGTGGATCGGTTGCCTCAACAGCTCCTTGCTGCCCGCCTTTCTCGTCGACCCTGTCATCTGAACACGGGTACGCCGTCACCATCTCCATCATGTCATCTGGTCCGTGCTCCTCCGTTGCCGACTGAGAAGGCGAGGCTGCATCACCGTCAGTCTGGTGACTCAAATCTCTTGTTGTGCTCGGACTTTGAGAAATCGGCTCATTCGCGGTGCCATGAGGTGTTGCAGCAGTGTCGGGATCGGCAGAAAACCTGCGGACTGGTGTCTTTGCAGATTCTGCAAACTCGTAGCGCCGTCGGAGAGACTCGTTATTGTTGATGTCCCGCTGAGTGACCTTGCGAATAGTAAGAGCCGCCTGGAAGCTGCGAGGGTACAAATCGTCCTGTTGATGCTGATGGTCCTTGCTATTGCTGCGACTATGTCCTGACGCAAACTTGTCGCCAAAAATATTGCTTGAGACCGATGCTAAAGTGTTACCGGATCCTTTAATCGGGACCAATCCTCCTGTCTTGTTATTTGGCACCAGCTGTGATGACTGAGCATAGCCTGGAATAGGTATCATCGACGGAACTTGGATTTGCACTTGGATCCTGGCTCCTGGGATGATCGCCTTAAGCCTTCGAGTGCTGGGCAATGTCGGCAGAGACATCAATGGCTGAGGCAAAAAAAATGCAGGGTTGGATGATGTCTTTGGCGGAGGTCGGTTGAAGTACAGCTTGAGTGTCTTGCGAGCAAGGAATGGTATAGGTTCTGGAATGGATGGTAATCGAATGGTGGACCAAGGAGCAGAGGGTGTACCGTTGAGTGCTGCAGGATTTTGGTCCGCAGCCTCTATTGAACCATCTGAAGAACGTCCCGAACTGCCAGTACTCTCCGATTGTTGGTCATGATGTGCCACTCCTTGAGCCTGTTTTCCTTGTCTCGAATCGGGACAATGGCCGAGCTGCGTCACTGCCAATCTAGCTACTCCGGCAGCTTCGGCAGCTTCCTGGGTCTTGCGGATGCTGCTTTGAATGTACTGTTCGTGCAGAGACACTAGGTTGAAGTCGCCCGCCCCAGTGGTACTCTTGGGTTTGTTTCCAACACGCAGCTTTCCAAACGCCTGAGCAATCGATTTCGCCTTCTTTGTCGATGCTAAACGTTAAAACGGCAGATGACAATAATACGCGTTAGGTCGACATTGAAAAATCACAGCCTATCTTATGGTTGCGGCATAAAAGGTGTTATTTACCTCCGAATCCTTTGAGCAACTTGCGAGAGCCTGAAGGATTCTTGGTCACTCTGGACCGTCCGTAGTCCATACTATCCGTTCCTGCAAAGGTACTCGATTCGTTGGCGGCCATAATGGTATTGTCATTTTGAATAACGTTGCCATCCTTGTCGACGTCGTCCCACCGAAAGAGACACTTGGCCTCCAGCTCATACCAGACCATCCCCATAGACCCTTCAAAGCTCTCTGGACGCACCTCGTTCCTGGTGACTGGAAGAAGCCATTCCCATCTCCATTCATCCATCACCATGCCCTGAGTCGCTGCGGTGTCGGCATCGGCATGACTTTCAGTTTTGACGACCAGTCGCTCCCTGTCAGTCACATGAGGGTGTTGGCTGCACTGACCTTCCACAGCAGGGCGTTCCGTTTGGGGTATTACTGTTTGAATAAGGGGTGCGTCTGGGACATCCCCGTTGTCTCCGTGGGCTGTTGACGTTGCTGCCGTAGCTGACCTCGATCCTGGTGGTGCTGCCAATGCTGCTGCCGCAATGGCTGCTGCCGGCGAGATTCCCTTGGCCATCCTGGAACCGAAGGCCTCTGCATCCCCCTCTTCGACCTGTCGATCCTGGAAGGGTATCATCATCTTCTTGTCCCAAACAGTCTGAGCCCAATGATGACTCTCGACCTCAAATGAGAAGAGGTCGTTGCGTGTCCATGCTATAGATTCCTTGAGGCGCAGGTGCAGTGCTAGGGAGACAAAGTGAAACTTCTTGCCAGGTCGCCGAGGGATATGGAGAATCAATCGTCCAGAAACAGAGGGCCGTTCCGTTGAGATCTCGGTTTGATGAAGCTGGAAGGCAATTGAAGGAACGGAGGGTCTAGTCAAACGAGAGGGTCTTTGTCCAGACGTGGGCGTGCTATTTGGACCCTTGATGTCGCTGCCATTTTCCTGAGTTAATGATTCTTTCGCCCTCCTGTCGGTCGTTTTGTGGTGGTCCTTGCCCAAGTACCCAAGCCGTGTTTTCCATATAGGCGCTGTTGTTTCTTTTGCGCGTGGCTGAAAGGTATCCTTTTGTCGACTCAGCCGTTGAAGCTGCCGGGGTGTGAGGAGGGATTGTCGTCTGGGTCGCTCTCCGGGTGAGGTTAAGAGTTGTGGCTGCGATGTAAAAGAATCTGACAGCAGTGAATCGGGCTCTTCTTGAAAGTCCTCCCTAGCCACAATCTCACCCTCCCTGTTCGGGCCATAATGCAGAGGGCACGTTGGCGAGTGTTGCGACGGCAACCAGTCGCAGGATAGCTCTTGCTCCAGCTTGGGCGCAGAGATATACTCGGAAAAACGATTAGTCGTCATCAGCGGGCTGTCGAATGACGAGAGCGACACTACTTCGAAGGAGCCGAAGGACTTTGGTGACGATGGCAAGCTGCGCGAGCGTCGGAGGTGCCGGAACTGAAGCTCATCCTCTTCGATCGCCAAAAGACTGGTTTGAATTGAGGTGGGTGGAGTTTGATCGCAAGAAACTGGGAAGGGGAGTTGAGATAACGGTCTTGGTCGATGGGTGTGAGCGACTGGAGAGGAGACTGTTGAGGGTGACACTGAGGATGGGGAAGATGGGGAGGTCGATTCCGTGATGGTCGCGACAATATTGTCGTGTGGCTTGAAATTACTGAGTTGAAGTACAAAGTCTGATTCGCCCACACTGGTGCTGTCCCCTCCATTTGGGACAGGCATAGCTGGACACATCTCTTCCTCAGAGGAAGATGCAGCCGGATCCTCGGCCTTTTGAACGCGGGCAGCGTGGCAGGAGGTGGACGCTTCGGCTGATGAGACCGTCGATACCGACTCTATGGATCCTCGTCGAAAGCCTCGGTGATCGCTGCGTGTGAGGATCACAACTGTACCTCTCTCGCCTCCATCCTCGTCATCCTCCGGATACAAATAACTGTGTGTCGGACTGACGGTCGGTGTCAACAGCTTGGCTGGAACATTCAAGACTGGAAAAGTTAGCTGCTGAGGTCCGTGCTGCACAAGGCTTTCCTGACGTGGTTTGAGACAAAGGCCACCTAGGACTGTTGCTTCCTGGATGGACTCTCCGCTGTTGTCGATGTGTTCGTGTTCTTCGGTCTGGAGTACTGAGTCCGAATCTTGGTTGGACAGATCCATGTCCTCCTTCGCCACGGTAACATCTACTTCCTCGTCTGGTGCTGACAAGATCTGCGCGGAATTGCTGTCAGGGTCGTCACCTTCTCGAAACTGGATAGTTGTGGCTGTTGTGGTCGATGAACTTGTGTTAGTTGCCGTATGGGACGATTGGCAGTAAGACTGGTTGTTTGCTACTGCCAAGGTGTGGACAATGTCGAGTAGATTCGAGGGGGGTTTATCATCGGTATCGACTGAACCTTTGGTGGGCGTTTCTGACGGAGGCGGAGAAAGCGGATTCTCGAGTGTCAAGTGTGGCAAGTCGACTTGGTCAATGTCTATTGAGGTTCGCCTTTCTGTCATAATTCTGTGGGGGTGAACAAATGCAAATGTTAGATAAGGAGTGAGGGTCATTAAGCACCCTTTCCTCGAGGCGCTTGTATTCGATAGACAAACAAAGGGAGGAAGAAACTGTTCGCAAGAATTGTCATACCTATTGTTATAGTCAGAAAATGGGCGTTATTCCCGTTAGGATACAATATCCCGACTTGTTCACAGAGGTTGCAGATGCCGAGAGGGCTGTTGCAATGTATTATGGCACGGTTATGTCTGCTGTGCGGTTGTCCTTCTTGAGAATAGAAAATTGCTGTCGTGAGAGTGGAAGTCTCGGGTCGAATAAGGCGCCAAGCGCGGGAGGGTATTGGTTGTTCACAGCGCAGAGGAAGATGATGTATTAAGGGATGGAAGGAAGCGCGTTAGGTCAGCAAGAAGTGTCGCGAGAGAGTTGGAAGAGGGGAGGGAACGGTGTAGAGAGAAAAGGACAAGACAAAAGGGAGGAAAAGAAAAGAAAAAAGAAGTGAAAATAGAGGAGAAGGAAGATTACGAATGGGTAAAGAAGACGAACTTCAAACGAATAAAGGGGCGTGCAACTGACGGTTCTCTCGCGCCACACGCTCAAGCATGGGCATGTCATGTATTCATCGCATCTGGCATCCTTCTCTCGTTCTGTTTTCCGCATTATCGTGCCCCAATGCGTCCGAGTTAACGTAAACCAACGGGGAAAAAAGCGCGGCCTGCTTTGCTCTCTCTCTCTCAACTAGTCTTGTCATTCTCCTTGAATAACGCCATTCTTTGCTTGACAGGTGTTCGAAATAGTTGGACGCAAAGGACATCGTCGACGTTTGTGAACACAGTCAGGGGAAGCAGAAAGATCAATGGTAGAGAAGAAACAGCAATGAAAACCATTCAGGTGTCCTCTGCTGACTGTTGCAACGGAGAGATGGAAACAACAAAAAAAAAGGGGGTTAAAAGAAAAACGAGAATGAAGGAGGACGCTCTTTTTTTCAGGAGCGCAATTCATGGAGACGGAAGGGTGAGAGAGAGAAAGAGAAGGAGAGAGCGAGTCAGAGCTCCTAGAGCAAACCAAGCAAGTGAGGTGCTTTATCATATGAAAGGTAGTTTGTAATGTGATGACCGTCGATGGGAACCATTGACTTGTTCTTCGACGATGGATGCAGATATGCTTCTAATAAAACTAAAAGAACAAAAGTTCTCGATGCAGTCTAGAGCGTTAAACGCTTGCTTGCTGCTAGGTAGAGAGAGAGAGAGAGAGAGAGAGAGAGAGAGAGAGAGAGAGAGAGAGAGAGAGAGAGAGAGAGAGAGAAAGAGAAAGAGCGCCGAATGCATTGTCTGTACGTCTGGAGGCCTGGCTTAGTCAATGGTGCTTACTGGGCTTTATGTCTGGTGCTCTCTTAGGTAAGTGACAAAAGGGACGACGAAGGGCGCGCAGGGACAGGAAATGAAGAGATGAGATGCTCAGCAGAAAAGCGAGCAGTGCAGATAAGTCGAAGAGGTCTATGAGACGTGTCAGCATGCCTGTGTCAGTGCCTGTGCCAGATATGTCTGCAGCAAACGCGATAAATCCATTCCAATAATTAGAATCTGGCCCATGAGCTGCATCATATGTGGATAGACAGACAGACGGAACCATGTCCACAACACCCATCCATCTCCATCTCTCTTTCCCTCGACACCCCCCCTCTCTCTGTTGACCCTCTCGCACCCCGTTTTCGAATCCCAACCAGTAATGACATCCCCTTCGTCATTCAAAACCATCTTCTCTCGACAACCCATCAGCAACCATACGAATCAGATCAATCCCCATCATTCCTCTGTCAACAAGCCCCACACCGGACCGTCTAAACCATCGGCCGAAGCACAAGACACTACAGTTACAGTAACGACGTCCAGACAGCGGAAACAACAGCAACCAGGCAGGCTCTCAAAGCACTCTCATACTATAGTACCCAGCGCGGATCCAGGCAACAGCAGCAACAATAACTTTAACAGCAACAGTCAGACGCTACGTCTATTCAGCCTTCTCGCTCCCACTCGTGAACCCAACTCTATGTCGCCTTCGCCTTCTTCAATGCTCCTTCCGCCCGCAGCTCTCTTTCCTGCCTTCACAGTAGCAGCGACAGCAGCAGCACCCGTAGGACCGAAACGACATAAGGTCGGGTTGTTCTCGAAAATTAAAAAGCAAAAGAAACACCTCCAAGATGACCACCATTCTACCCACACTGGCACCACGGCCAACACAACTGCTTCTACTCTCTCCACAAAAGAGTCGAAAGGGGTATGGACTGGGCCATCATCTATATTTAGGCGTGACAGCAACGATCCCATTGGCATTAATCCGCCCAAACCGCCATTATCCCATCCACACAAACACCCACAAACAACGGCGACGACAACAACCGGTACCCATAGAAAAACTCGAACCGGTCTACATTTTGGGCAGATATGGAAGTCCAAAGATGCAACCAACCCCAAATCGACGATTTCAATACTACCCAACAACAGCAACAGCAACAGCAACAATTACAGCAGCAGCAGCAGCAACTACAGCAACCTTCGAGTGAAGGCTGTCGCCATGAAAAGCAATTGGCTGCCAACACCCTCTTCCTCACCAGACTCTGCCCTTCCTTCAGCGGACGATCAGTACTGCCAACAACATATCCCAGGTCCGTTGCAACGACAAAGGTCAAGGACAAGGGTCATGTTCGCGGTGCAGGATGTATTTGGGATTGGCAGGATGAGTGAGATGGTGGTGGCACTGTTCCTGGCGCATGATTGCTTCCTCTGTCGCAAGCCTCTTTGGCTTCAATGCGCCATCATGCTTTGGGAAGGAGTTGTTGTCCTTGTAGTACTCTGGGCTGTACTGAGGGTGATTGGGCTGGCTGAGGTGGTTGTCTGGGGTGCAGATGATATTGTCCGTGGATCCGTTTCTCTTGTCCAAGCTGTGGGACATGCAATTAGGATCATCTTTATGTAATTTTATACCAGCTGTAACATTAGTTTCCAATACTAAGCATGTCTTTTACCAGAGAACGGACGTATCGGACGAGCGTGCGGATGCATCATAACGAGACAGATTCTAATATGGGGTCATTGGCCGGTCATTCGTAGTGACATTTGGCCCCTATTGTCCGTGGCCTCCCTGATTCATGCGTCCGCCAGTGGAATACAAAGTGGGTGGGCGCATTCGAAGGAGAGTACAAACAACGACGCTGAACACGAGGAAGGGACGGCTCACTGTGATATCCTCTCGTTCCTGTCACTCTACGCACCCACTGGCCACCATCGCATCTGTGCGTGCGTTACACACCTGTGTTTCCTCGATGACCAAGCAAAGAAACTAATAAAGCTCGTTTCTTTCTCTTTCTCTTTCTCTTCTTTCTCCCTTCCTTTTCTTCCTCTACTCACTACCCTCCTGCTCCTCTACTTCTTTTCTCCTCGACTCCCTCAGCAACAACATCATTGTTACTCCTAGCAACCATATCCGACAGCATTCACAGCCAGTCCCGACATAAGACATACACACATACGAATGGCACATCCACAGAGGCACAGCCCGCGATCGCAAGGACAGGGGGAGCCAGCTGTAGAATCAGCAGTGAGGACCCACTACGATAGCGACTTGGACGATTACAACAACGGTCCTGAAGAAGAACGACCTCTTATTGCACAATCACAGTCTCCTACAACAACACCAACCGCACTGACAGCCCGATCGAATCTACGCAGTATTGGACGAACTCAAGAAGGGAGCGACCACAGCTTACATACCCTTCAAGGACCTTATCTTCGATCCATGGGAGCTGGAGGAGGAGGAGGAGGAAGAGAAGGAGGTGGTGGACGAGGTGAGACGACAAAGGTGAAGCGGTGGGGCGAGTGGTGTATGAGCAATGGCCTTCATCCGAGTACCTGGACGGGACAGTCATACATCAAGGCGGCACTTTTGACCACGCTGGTGACGCTTGTTGTTTTGGCATTCACTGTCTTCAGAGTTCAGGATCATATCAAGGACATTCTCCGGTGCGTATGAAATGGTACACTTGGCAATGTATGCGCAGTGGGATGCTTTGAACTTTTGCCAATACGTAGATATGACATGGTCGTTTTATTTGTTTGCTTTGTTGTTTTGTTGGGATCCAAGGTCTGATGGTTATATTTTTCTTTTGTTTACTTCTCATTTTCTGCTCTGTCTACAAAAACAGTTACATCGATGAACGCCGCAACATCGGCGCAGTCCTGTTCATTGTCTTCTACACGACCGCATGTTGGTTGTTCCTCCCAGGCTCCCTCTTCACCATCGGAGCTGGATTTTTGTTCAAGCCGATGCCCTTTGCACTGGCAATTGTCTTGGTCGGGGATATCTTGGGCGCCATCGGATCGTTCTTGTTTGGGCGGTACATCTTTTATGACTGGGTCATGGGCATGATGTCCAAACATCCCAAATTCACGGCCCTCGACGAGGTTATCAATGACGATGGTATGTGTCCTATTGCTATCATTTTTAAAAAGGTTGGATCCTTGTGTGACGGGGTTGCATACATACACCATGCTCCTTTTACTTCCTTGCTGAGAATCTCCTCTTTGCCTACACCAAATAGGATGGAAGATCGTGGTATTGCTTCGGCTGACACCCATCCCCTTCAACCTGATCACGTACTTCTTCTCCATCACCTCCATAAGCCTTACCACATTAACATGGGCAACAGCCGTCGGCGTCTTCCCCGGATCTTGTCTCGGTATCTGGATCGGATCACTATTGAAAGGACTCTCAGGAATCGACAACCCGGAACTGGAAAAGAAGAACATGGTTATCTTGGCCATGAATGGCGTTTTTATCGTCTGCAGTATCTTGACACTTTCGATGTTTGGCAAGCGGTCGTTGAGAAAAGCATTGGAGAAGCTGGATCACCACCAGAGGTTCCTCCAACAGGATCAGGATGAGACCTACAACGATAACGAAGAGGAGGAGCATAGTCCCTTCCACCACCCAAGGGCGATTGACCGGATAGCAGAGGGAACCCTGGAGCGTGCAGAGGTGGAGGACGATGAAGAGACAACAGCCGTAATAAGTCCTCGGTCGTCAACATCGCAGACGGTCTCTGCAGCATCGTCGACCCAGGTGTCCAAGAGGATACCCGAGTCGTTGCAGGACACAGGATTCACACGGGCAGAGAAACTGACCTTTGTCGGGATCGTCATCGTTGCAATTCTCAATGTCTGTGTCTGCATCCCGCTCTACTTCCACTTTGCCAATCAGGACGACTAATCAGGCGCTGTGTGTGCGAGAGAGAGAAATCAATTAAAACAACAATAATGACAAAAAGATACTTGTGGTAGTTTAATAACGGAATGCTTGTCAGACTTATGTGCGTGCTTTCTTGCGTGCAGATTCCTTCTTGCTCTTGGAGCTCACAGACCCATATCTCGCCGCATTCGAAGCAGACACCATTGCCGTCAACGACGAAGCCCTTCCCGAAGCAACGCGACTCGTTGCTGTTGATGTCGTCTTCTTTCTGACAGGAGAGAGCTGTTGCCGTTGCTGCCGCTGCCTCTCCTCCAAAAGATCCCAGTGGCTAGGAGCAAAATCATGACTGTCGGCCTCATCTTCATCCCCGCTGGAATTTTCGCTTCCTGATGACGACGACGATCCGCTACTTTTGGCTCGCTTGCGACCTTTGGGAGATGCAAAGTCATCTGCGGGAGACATGTTCGTATCAGCGATAGCTGCAGCTGCAGTTGCTGTAGCGGCATCTCGAGCGGCAAGCTTAGCCTCAATGGTCTTGGACTGCAACTGTCGCTTGGCTGCAATAACGGCTTCAGGTACCTTGGTCTGTGGTGTCCTGTGTCCCCGCGTCCGCCTCTGCTCTTTCGGCATCTCCACAATCATTACATCGTCACCACTGTCCTTGATATCGTTCTCTCCACCGACACTACCCGAGTCGGCACCTGCATTACTCTTGCTATCCGAGTCTTCCGCAGAGGTCTTGTTTGCCTTCTCGTCGGTCGCCACCTGTACTCGCTTAGATGTCAATTTCTTTGTCGCTGCTGCCTGACTCTTCTTCTTGGAAGCCTTGTCCGATGCTCCAGTATCGCTCTCCGTCGTCGCCTGGCCCGTCAGTCCGTTGACAACCTTCCTCAGCCGAGCGCTCTTGATCAGATGCTTCCTCGCTGGGTTGTGATACCCGCCTATCCCAACAGTCGAATCGAAGAGACTGTCCAGCGTCGTCTGCGTCTGCAGCTGGCTTGCCTGGGCAGCCATCTGTCGGATAATCGGAAGAAGAACCCTGTCGACCTCGCCTCGATCCCAGCTCATACTCTTCCGCAGATAATCCCGCAGACCATCCAGATCAGGAATGCCCCATTGAAACTTGGTGTCGTCATCGTCAACCATGGGATGGATATAGGCGTCCGCAATATGCGGATCTGGGAATGTTGAAGGCAAATGAATTTTTTTGCATTGCTTCGCCTACACAAGAACAATGTGAAGAAAGCATATCAGAACATATGTGGGCAAAGGTGAAGCAGTGAGAATGAGCTGATATGAAAAACACGGTGGAGCAACTCACCAGTTTCGAAAGATCCACTTCACGGTCGAGCTCCATTCCAAGCTCGTCCAGTGATTTTTCCCGAGTCTCAGAATCATCCTCCGCCTTATTCTGCTTGACTTGCTCTCCTCTCCACCACTTTGCAAAGTCCTCCAGCTTCGGGAACAGCCTCAAGATCTCCATGGCGGTAACAAGACCAACACCCTTGATACCGGTCGTGTAATCGCTTCCCAGGAGATAGGCCAACGATACGAGTCGGTCTCGTCCAACTCCCAGATCGCGCTCAACGTCGCTCATCAGGTAACACTCAACATATTTCTCTTCCCGAAAGACGTTCTTGAAGACCCGAACACCACCAAAAAGGAACACGTCGCTATCTTCCGTCAGAATACCCTCAACTACACCCCGGAGTTGCAAATCCGCACACTGGGCTTCAGCTTCCATGGGCGCCACGATATATGGGATCCCAAAGAGCTTCAACAACATCTGAGTCTCAGCAATCATCGACTCGGTGAGGTCCTCCGCATTCCGCTGGTGCTTGCGGTGCTGATCCCGAAGTCCCTTGATCTCGCTTTGGAGTTGTTGAGACTCCTCGAACATCTTGGCCGCCCCCTGTTCATCCATGGCCCTCTGTTCCTCTGCTGTACGAGTTGGAGCAGCTTCCTTGGAGATAAGCAATGCGCCAGGCAGTGACGCCATGTCCGGGAAGAGGTTGGTAAAATCCTGCTCCTCGTTTTCCAAGTCTGCACTGTGCGCATCGTCCTCATCCTCCTCCTCCTCCACATACTCAATCTCATCGGCTACTTCAGCTACTAGTCAATGGCAAATAAAAAATACATTTGAATTAGCATATAACTTGGAGATATTCGCATTGCAGTCATATAAGAACTTAATGTGTATCATGGCATTACCATGCTGATCAATGTCCAATGCGCTGTCAAGCTGCCCCTCTTCGTCTTTCATCCCCGCAGGAGGTGTGGCAGAGTTGCGTTTGGGACTTGGCACGGTGGGTTCGACATCGACATCAATAGCAAGGTCTTCCGCATCAACCTGTGGAACAATGCCGAGGGTTGACTCCGAAACGAGCGTCGTATCCTCAGGTGTTTTCACAATGTCATCCTGCACTGGGAGGACAGAGACGCCTGAACGTTGCTTAAGGATCGATGAGCCAAAGTCGAGGTGCAGCGAAACTGAGCCAGTCTTGGTTGAATCATCCGGTGCCTGCTCTGGTTGATTGAGACTTGCCATCGGAGATGACAGATCGACCTGTGAGATTTGCTGGAGCGGCAAAGGACGTGCATATCTACGGATCAAAACTTGTTCCTCCCCATCGTCTTCGCTGGCTTGAACTGTTCCTGATTCTTCAACGCCATCATCATACGAATCCAGATGCGATATCCGACTGGGCTGCTGTCCTCCAACTGAAACACTTGTAAGTGGTACTGGCATTGCTGCCGACGGCGTTGGGGTGATGGCAGTGAGCGAATGGGCGAGCTGTCGTCGAGTAGCAACAGATTCCAAAAATGAAGTCCAGAACCGGAGAACCTCGACTCCTGCGGTATCGTTGACATTGGACTTTTCCAATTTTCTCTTTGCAGAGTGGAGTTCATCAGACAGCTGTTCGTCCTCCCACTCGGTGATGGCTGCCTGCAGCATAAACTCAAAGTCAACATGCTTGTGCTTGAACGATTCCGGTGTGTATCCAACCCAATAGCTGTGAAGGGCCTCGTCCTCTAGCTGCGATTCGTCTTCCTCCGAAAGCGCGCGCCGATGACCGCCATTGTTATCTGTATCAGTGAGAGACTTGGTCCGGGCAAGGGTGAGTTGTTTCCGTTCGTAGGCCTTGCGCGAGACAATCTCCCCTGTCTCTTCGTCCTCCATCAAGTCCTCGAAATCGTCCATATCGTCCATAGTCGCATCTGAGTACACCGTGTCGAGGGAGTTGAGAGTGTCGAACGAGTCCAGCTCGTCTACATCCATTGGCAAAGCCTCCGTTCCTGCAAGCCCTGATACGATGCCACGTTTCCTCGCCGCCTCATCCTCAATCTCTGCAAACTTGGCCATGACCTTTTCGATAGACTCGTCCTCGTCGACATACGCCTCTGGGTGGTTGACGAGCGAGTTCTCATCTTCCAGACTGGTATTGGTCTTGGGTGCGAGAGGTCGAAGAGTCGCTGCAGGCTGGACTGGCGGGATATAGTCCTTGACCTCGACCATCTCAAGGTCGTCATCATCGTCGCTCTCCCAGCCCTCCTCGTCCTCCTCGTCCTTAATCTCGCTCTTGATACCTGCAGCCTCGGTCTTGATCTCTTTCTTGGTCTGATCACCCTCGTCGTCCGAATCGAGCTGAACTGGCTTGTCGGCTGTTGCTCCAGTTGTAGGTTTCCTGCCGCCGAGAACCCAACCGCCTTCCTCATTCTTGACCAAGAGGTACTGTCGATTCCGCTGGGAGGCAATCCTCCCGGGTTTGACAGTCTCCTCGACCTTGCTGACAGTCTGGTTGACAGTCAACAGCTTATGGGTGACAGTGTTCCTGCGAATGACGCCTTGGACCTGCAGTTTCGAGAAATCCATCGGCGTCTCAGCTAATCGAACCATCTCCTGGACGCGCTCAAAGGACGTCACTCTGGACCGTTGACGAATCTCTTGCAGGATTTCATATTGCATCTCGGAGGGAAGGGCCTTGAAAACATCCGAGTCGATATTGTTGAGTCCTTCCTCTTTCTTGAAGTCTTCCAAAAATGCGCTCACGTCATCCTCGCCAGCGTGGTAACCGAATCGCTCGTCGTTGCTCCTGATTTTGGCAAGCGTGTCAAAGTCGGTTTCCATTGGTGGCAGCACATATTTGTCCTGAACCCGTTTCGCTTTACTGCCTCCCCCGTAGCCACCGATTCCGGTATCGTTGTTGGACGTGAGATCTGGAGGCTTGTCCTTTTTATCGAAGGACTTTGCAGGATCAAGAGGCTCTTCCAGATAGACCGGGTTCTCAGTTGAATCGCGGACAGCTCCTGGTTGCGAGTCGTTCAACGCCTTTAGATCCTGGTTCCTTTTCCTATGTTTGCAAACCATGCAGAGAAACGTGTCAATATTTTGTCGCATGAACAATAGTTCTTACATTTTCTGTACAACATGCGCAGAAAAATGTCAGCCTTGAGGTCGCATAAACAACAGCCTTCATGGTAGATGGTAGAGAAAAACCTTCATAGTAAAAAGTAACCTTCGTGGTAATTTGATTAGATGGTTACCTGGCTAGTTTGCGTTGCTCTAGTGCTTGAAGACGAAGTTGGGCTGCGAACAGTTTCTCGGCTGTCTTTTTGACCATGTTTTCATTATTTCTCCTCTGCTTTCTTCGCTCGACCTATATCGTATCCATATGAGCACACACAATAAAAAAGAGACGACGACTAGTGTAAGCATTATATAGCAGTGGTTCATATACATTATAACAATAGCAAAAGGACACAAGATACTACTTACAATAGTGAGACGCTTGAGGGCAGGGGTGCCACCATCAAAGACAAAGATGGGCTTGACGTTAAAGTAGAGCAGCTTGCAGATGCGACGATAGAAGCCGAGGATGTGGGCGTTTCCGATGGCCTCCCCGTCCTTGTCGCGCATGCCTCTGAGGAACTGGTGGAGCCAGATGCTTGCGTCGATGGCGAGGTGTTTGTTGGAGAGGGAGTCCATCTTGATGGGGCGTGCTACCGGGTGGAGCAGCTCCCACAGACCCTTTACTCCCATTCTCGCGAGCTCAGGATATTGCGGAGATAATTAAATTGTTCGTTATTTTTGAAAAGTGCGTGTGTACGAGGATAATAAGAAACAGGAGATGAACCTCCTCTATCTTTCAAAGTGAGAAAGAGATGGAAGAAAGGAGAGGGATGAGGGAGTGGTGGGGTGTGAGATGCAGCGTTCTGTCAAAGTGATTGCCGTAGCTGCAGTAGAGAGGGAAAGTGCGAAGAATGGAAGAGGAGCAGCAAAGAAGAGGTGGCAAACGAGAGCGGGTCAAATAAATAGCATGCTGTCCTCGTTTGACCTTCGGCGCCTCTCACACGGCGGGCGCACCATCTCACCAGTCGCCGTCACATCTACTCCATTTTTAGTGGCGGGGGCTTAGGCCTTGAAAAATCAACGAACGAGTCTCCTGAGTACTCTACAACATGCACACATGCATTCATACATGCAGCAAGGGGACCAGCCATGGACACGATCGCACCCTTGCTCCAGCTCGACCAGCAATGCTCAGTATGGGCAAACCACCACTCTCACTCCTGCAACCTCATCGCTTCCCTCCTCAACATCACCCGCCAGCGTGAACAAACACTCGCTCAATTAGATCAACAATCCACCCCTTCCTCTTCCTCCTCCTCCCCCTTCTCTTCAGCATCAACAGGAACTAGCAAGGCGCCTTTACTCGCCTCAAGGTCTCTCCAGTTACTGGTCCACAAACAAACGCTCGAGATTGAATCCGTTCTCAACCAATTGTATGATACCCTCGATACCTTCAAGAAGACCGTCCAGGCCATGGTCGCACTCGAACGACAAATCGAGTCTACTATCCAACGCATCGATACCTCCAAGCTCCTCGAGACCATCCACCTCCCTTCCTCTTCCTCTTCCTCATTGTCCTTGTCGTCATCACCCCAAACATCTCAGCAATCATCATCAACAGCTGCAGCCATAACCCCACCCAAGGGATCAACAAGGGCGAAATTCTCATCTGGACCAAGTCTGCTTGAGACTGCAGAAATTTCCCCGCTGGAAGTATTGGATTGGGTCTCGAGGATCCGGGCCATGTACGGTCAAGAGCTTAGTCTGAAGGAGTCTCAGATCCATCCGGGGATGGTTGCCCTGGAACGATTCGAGTCCCTGCAGGACCTGCAACGGAGTTGGGGACTGCAGCGTCGGATTGATTTCGGGCTTGAGCAGGAGATTGTTGAGCGGATCAAGGCGTACAAACGCGTACGCGAGTTCTCATCCCGGAAGTGAGTGTCAAGAATCTGTTGGATAAAACGTATGAGAAGGAGCCACCTCTGTCCTATGTTTCGCCAGGTGAAGACAAGCAAAGCTCGTTATTAAAATGGGTCGCGTTCGCTGATTCGATTCGATTCGATTCGCCTCTCTTCTTTTCATCTCACAAGAATGCCGCTCTTCACCACTCTCGAAAAGAAAAAAAAAATGAAAACTTTTTGCACAACCTTCCCACCAACGCCTACTTGATAATCACATTCAAGGAAAATCCTCTCCTCTCACAACAAACGACAACGGCAACCCAAAACGACTACACACACAGCAAAACAACGAAAAGAAACCAACACGTGCAGTTCCAGCAACAAAGAAAAAGAGCATGTCGTTTCGTGATGCGAGCGAGTGCCCTCACCATACTTCAACACCCTCCAGACCAGGCTCAGCAGCATCTAACTGTAGCCGCTGGGGTTCCTTCGACGCCTCCAACTGCCCTGGCGGAGTTCTCAAAGGCGTCCTCCAACCCTCCTTAGAGGCCAGGCAATTTTACGCGAGAACTCGACCTGACGCTCGACTGGTCGACAACGTACAGCGACCTGAAGCATGTGAGGGATGCCGTCTTGAAGGCACCTCAGATCCTGAAGCTGCGGTTGGACTACGGGAACCATAACGGACCCACGACGGATATTGCCAACCGTGGCAAGCGAGGCAATCCGCTATTCCAGATCATGATGCAGCACCCGCATTTGGTTCAAATTGATATTGTCGGCTCCGATGGGTTCTTTTCAAGATCGGCCAACAGTGCCTTTGAGGACACAAACTCGCTGACGGGGTTTAAGGGTGATAGCTGCAAGTCGGTGTCGGCACCTTCGAGTCGGAAGGACAGTCTGGCTTCAGAAATGTCGATATCATCGTCGACAGCCACAGGAATGCCGATGGTTTCGTTGGCATTTACGACATTGTCTCTGGGAACCCTAAGGGAAAGTGAAAGAGCAACACAAGAGGCCCTGACGATGCAACTGCGGGAGGTCCATATCCATGCCGGAAAACTATCAAGCCCTTGACCAGGCTGTAGTCACTGGCCCCACACCTTGAGATCTTGAGCATGACTGATTTCGACATTGAGAGCACTGCCGACTGGGAGGGTGTATTGGGCTCCATTGGGCTGAGGGAGTCGAGGCAGATATCGTTACACGAGACGAATGTCGATGGTCACCGATTGGCGCTGTTCATGAACAGAGTTCCTGTGGGGTCCAGTCTGAAAGTGATGGACCTGACAAAAACAGACCTCAATGGGTCAGGACGTCGAGGACTTACGACGAGTCATCATTGAACGGATCCCTGACTGTCGTCTCGTCGTTGGATAATTGCAATAATCTTTTTTTTTCTTCTTGTTACATGTCAAATACAAATAAACTAAACTACTTCATAGAATTATCGACGACTGGTTCTACTACTCGTGGCACTGTTCTGTGACCGCGGCAGGTCTTGAGCAACTGCCTCCCGGACAATGTCAACCTCAGTATCATCATCACTGCTCTCGTTGCCCTGCAGTAACCGTCCTTCTCTCAGGCGTCGGCGGTTGGCAGAAGAGCTCCGGTTCGACCATCCCAATGATCCCAGACTCAGACTCGACGTCTTCTCTGTCTCCAGGAGCGAAAGTAGCACGGGCAAGAGCACGAGGCCGTGAAGAGCTCCGACAACCACAATCGCCAAGTACATGCGGAAGTAGTACACCTCAAAGATCTTGGATCGTGTAAACGCCAGAACAAAGATACCCAAGAACTTCGTCAGCGTGATTCCAGAGAACACCTATATATGTATGCAATGAAAAATGGTTAGGTTCAGTGCGTAGATCCACACCAAATTATACGACATTCAGGTAGGGAAAAACTTACGGAGCTGCCGACTTCAACAAGGGCACCAAAGACACGCTCGTCAGGGCTGCCTTCGGCTTCGACCGAGGCACGGGCGATGTGTGAGCAAAACTCGACACTGATACCCACGCAAATGACCAGGTTCACAAGCGAAATGGCATTCAGGGAGACACCCATCACGACCATTGCTCCAACCACATCGACCATAATCATTGCAACCACTCCGACAACTACCAGGGCGACCTTAATACTGCCCAGTATTCCTGCAGTCACCAGACCGACGGAGACCATGGCGACAACCAACAGACGAATCGTCAGAGGGATGATGTCGACGTATTGCTCAAAGAAGATGTAAAAGACCGAGTACGGGAACACAGTCGCGCCTGTCTCCTCAGAGACCTGCTCAGCAATCCTGTGGGCACTCTTGTATCCTGCAATAAAGTCGTGCTGATTGCGCATTGGCGTATGGTATGTCCGGAAGTGTGACATCTTGACTTTGTCGCCCGCAGAGTTTAGCTTGATCGCATCGCCATAGGCAGCCTTTCCAGCCAGGGGACAGAACTCGTCAGGGCTGGCCTTAAGCCACTCTCCCAAGTACTTCATAAACTCCTCGCCTTCGGGTAGTCCGTTCATCGAAATGTTCCAGCCAGGCTCCTTGTCCGCATAGCAGATGTTGCACTCGTCCTCGTCGTCCCAGGGTCCGCACGGTTTGGTAGGGTCGTTCTTACGGAATCGACAGCAAGTTTCGATGGCGGGGTTGAGCCAGTGCAAAAAGTCATCAATCCAGACAGAGGCTGGCTGTTCGATAAAGGAGACATGGGGTCGCTTGCGCTCTTGTTCCAGAACATTGGCGATCGAAGAGTCGGAGCAAGTGGAGAATCGCGCGCAGATCTGCTGTTGACCATGTCTAGTAGTGGTGTCAACGTCCTGAATGACAAAGTAGACAGGTGGTCCGACCCTGAAGTAGCCATCCAAGTCGTTGAAGTATTGCACCATGTACGAGTCGCTGGGCAGCGCCAGGCGTTGGTCTATTTGGTTACAAGAGCATAATTAAATATTAGCATCCATTAACCACTGTCGAATAAAAAAATAATATATGGTGTGATGACTTACCCAATCCAATCTCGAGGCTAGGCATGAGGCAGAGACCGGCGGTCAAGAGACCCAGGAAGGCAGCAATGACAATCTTCTTGACGGAGCTGTTGAGAATCAGGGGCCCATAGTACTTGCGCACCCACGCTGGGAGAGCACCTTCGGTTTCGATCGCCTGGGGTGCCTGGATCTGGATGCATGGGACACAATCAATTCGGTCCTCCTCCGTCCTCTGAGCATCCAGGGCAATACACGAGATAAAGGCAGTGACCTGGAGCAAAAAGTCGACCCAGACTGCCATCGCAGCGTACATTGCAAAGACGCTGACAGCAGGCATGGTCACCATTCCACCAAGCGCAAACGCAATCGTCTCACTCAAGGCACTCAGCAGAATGCTGGGACCCATTCTGCCCAATGTACGACCAGCACACTCCTCGATGCTCTCCTCGGGGTGGTTCATCTTGCGTCGTTCAAACTCGTGGCAGAGAATGAAGATGTTGTCGACACCGACAGCCAAGACCAAGAACGGAATCACCTCGGCGATGATCAGCGTGATCTTGTAACCTAGGAAAGAAAACAAGCCGACGGAGGTCGAGATCGAAGCCAAGACAATAAAAATGCCGCTCATGCCTAAGGTGAACTTGGAGTCGACAATCATACGCCGGGGGGATGAGAGTTGAAATCGACCAAGCGCCAAGGATGCATAGAGGAACATGGCGAGATAGGACAAGATCACGGTCCGGACGTCGGTGTTGCTGGACTTGTTCAACTCAATCTCGAGAGAAGCCTCAGAAGAGTACGAGATACGAAGGTCCTCTGTGTTGATGCCCTCGATGCGGTTGTGCACAAGGTCGTCCATGAACTCCAAGTAGCGCAGCTCCCATTCGTGAGCAATATCCGTCACTGTCTCGTTGACAGAATTCTGGATGACATAGGTGATGATGAACGCCTTGGCGGTCAAGTACTCCTCATCGTCGAATCCTCCCAAGATGATGTCGGGTTTGAGAGGCTGCTGGAACTCTGGAAGACAGTCGGCAGGGTTCCCGGTACAGGCCTCAAATTCGTCCTTCCACGAGCCTGAGAATCGGTTGATGTCGTCCTCCCAGTAACCTGTAGGCGATTGGATCACACATGCATCGCTGGTAGGATGTAAGCAAATGTCCTGAAGGGTCACTCCTCGCTCCGTCTTGAGAGCCTTAATCTTGTCGTTGATCATAAACAGTCTGCGGAATGACCTTTCGTCGACGATGGTGTCCTGGCTGTCCTTATAGGAGACAATGACCTGGGCCGTCCTGTAGAAGGGTCCAAAGTTTTGGTCAAAGATGGCCTTTTGTGTGGCACTGATCGAGTCTGGCGCCACCCAAAGCTTAACGGGATCGGTCTCGACACCGAAACGCGACCAGCCCAGAGAGAAGAAGGCGACCAGTCCAAACGAGATGGCGATGGTCCTCCACGCATGCTTGGCGCAGATGTATCCCTGATGGTAGAACCATTCCTGCAAGAGAGCGCTGACTACGTAGCGACCGGTGTACTGATCGGGATCCAGTAGGTGCTGACTGTACTCGTCGTCTTCCTCGTCCTGACGTCTCACGGGTTCGAATCCGATCAGATCCTTGGCGGCGGAGATCCGCTTGCGGATAACAAACATACCAATCGCCGCACCCAATGTCACAGTGTAAATGAACGTCAGCGAAAAACTCCAGCAGGATATGCCAAAGACTGTGCAGGGAGGTTTTTCGTCGGGGGTGGGTGGAAGAACGGGGCAGACTGGAAGGCAGTCGACGCAAGAACAGCGGTACTGCACATCGGTGTCGTTGCACTGTCGGGTGATGCCTTCGAATGGTTTTAAAGTACCGGTGGGATCCTCGACAGGAAAATCGATCTGGAAAGGCGATCCGAGAGGTTCCCGCTCGCGGCCCATAAAAGTAACCATGTCCCTCCAGTGCTTGGCGCCTCCTCCGATCAGGTCCATGACGTATCCATTGGTGGCCGCGAACTTGACGTCCTTGCACGAGTCAAAGAATCCAGAGCCGTATTGATCCGAGACGAGAAAGTCGAGTCTGGTGACGACGGCCTTTTTGTCAGTGGAGATGCCTGTCTCGGTGACGTTGAGGAAGGTGGACTGGTTGGGGGAGCAGGTGAAGGTGCAGAAGAAGTTGAGGAAGTTTGTCCAGCAGGCGGGGCAGGCGGATATCATGGGTGATGCCTGCTTTGTGGAGGCGATCAGGTCTTCGACCTGGTCCTGGCTGCAGCAGGCTTTGGAATGCTCAAACGATGCTCCACAGGTCGACACTAACAGTTCGCGCAGTTCCCTATCCGGCTATTGTACATGGCGATGATAATGATAATGATGGTGTGTTGCGTTAGCTCATGTATGAGGTGGAGAAGTGACAATTGAATAGGAAGCTGCGCTGTTGGGGGCAGTATGTCACGCAACGCAACGGAGAGCAAAGGGAAGGCGTGCATGGTGAGGGTTCCTTAGCATGTTTGCATGAAGGAGCAGTATGTCACACAGCGGAGAACAAAAGGGGGAAACAGAATAAAGGCGTCAATTGAAAGGGATCCTTGGCCAAAGGGTGGTGATGTTTGTTCAAAGGAACGAGTGACTAAGAGTACAGCTGTAGGAACGTGGCAAAATGACATATGTATATGAACAGCCACAACCACCACCACCACCGCCACCCTGCAACAAAAGAAGATATCTGTCTGTTTCGCTATAATTTGACCATTGGCCATTCATTTGGTTTGGCAGTGGCAATGACGAGCAAAAGGGTGGATGTAGTAGTACCTCTAGGGCGGGTTGGTTGAAGGGACAGGGGAGTTGTTTGCCAAAGGTGCGTTTGCTGCCACAGTTGTCGCGCATGACGCAGTAGCCCTCCTTGTGAATGTCGCTTGCGGTCGCTGTGGGGGCGAGGACAAGGAGGAGGCTAACTGCGATGGCAGCGAGGACGAGGAGGAGACTTGTCCTCTTTGCCATTGTGCTCTTGAATGTTTGTTTTGGCTGTTTATATGTAGGTGTAAGTGGAAGAAGGTGAGTGAATGAAGGGAGAGGTGTAACGGCGGGAGAGGTTGAAGACGAGAGAGGTAAAGGAGAAAGAGGAGTCGAGGGGGGTGTTGAAGGCAGAAAGAAAAAAAAAGAAAAAAGGTGGGAAAACTAATAGCGTGAAGTGAAGGCATACAAGAAAGAAAAAAAATCACCTGACTGACGAGCTCTTTACTTGGACCATGCCACATGATATCATTCTTGTTCAGCTGTCCAAGAGAGCAAAAAAACTTGTTTGTCCTTTTTCTTCTTTCGAGTGATGTTAGCACGCATTTATTACACCAATGGCCCTGTGGTTAATGGCGCCACTGTAGAAGTATCGGGATTCCATTCCGACTCTATTGAATGTTGTGCATTAACACCCATGTCGCTGTCAGAATAGATATATACCCAACTACTCCACAAGGATATGTCTGCCTCGAGTGTTGATAAAGCTGTAGTGGCTAAATTTGACTGGCTCACCCATCGGATTCAACGACGCCATCAGGCTCTCTGGTGACTTGTCCTGCTCAGCCCAGAACGGGCGAAGACCCGCCGCCTCCACTCGCTCCCACCACTGTCTAAAGTCTGAAAACGATACCTCGTCCCCGTCCTCTTCCTTCAAATGGATCTCAACCAGCAGCTGAGAGAATGGCAATACATCATCGTAGTGCTCCATCCATGTATCCAGCAGTCTGTACTCAGCGCCCTCTACATCCAGCTATTATGTTTGGTAATGTAATTGTCATTGCAAGATAGTCGGTTGGTATTAGCAATCTGAAAACAAGCGATCTTTGGACTTTGATGGTACTTTGACACTTCAATCAAACAAACTCAAGCAGGAAGCTTCCAACAAGTAGCATGTACCTTGAGAAAGTCGACCCAGAAATGACCATTGTCCTTCATGATGGTAGGAAGAGTCATAAAGGGTGTTCCGTCGCGTGAAATTCGGTCAGTCTTGCCAATCGCTGTCTCCACGAAATGAACCTTTGGATTGTCCCGCAGCTCAGGTTGGTCTATCGGTCCATAGACAGCATGAGCGCGCGTACATTAACAAAATGGTACATCTTTGTACACTCCTGTCCCAGTTAGCCAGACAGTTTCGTTAGAAGGAACACTTACTGGTCACCTTGGAAGGCAGAGAGGGAGCATAAATCCAGACTTCACATCCTGCACGCTTAATGAGCTCGAGTTCGAAGGAGAACGTGCTAGTGTCTTTGGTCATTGAATACACTACACATGGCTTTGAGTCTTGTTGTTGTTGTAGTTGCTGAGTGTCGTAGAGGCTTGACCCACACGTCCAAAGACCACCTCTTGAAAACTTGCCGATTCGTTCGACTTCCCAAGGACAATTGAATGCTGGCTGAAAGTACCACCACCATCCTACGTGCTCACCCATCGGCCTCCATGGATCGAAGTTCCTATTAGTATTTCATAGAGTGTTTGGAAAAAGGATATTAGTGTTTGGATTATACTTTGTAGCGCGTCTATTACAACACCTTGTTGCACTTACTCTCGGTACCCACTGCGAGAAGTGAGGTACTCCTTTCGAGCTGCGACATGTCGTTGATAGAGAGTTTCAGAGCGGGCAAGTCGAGAGGCGGTCTGTGACGTGAGGCTGTTGGAGAGCTTTGTACCGATTTGAGAGACATTTGGCAGTTGGTGTTGACCGCCGTGGTAAATGATGATGAAGACAAAGCTGAGGAGAATAGCCAGAACGGTCAATGGTCGTGTCCTGACAAAGCGAAGTTTGGGCTCAACGGCCATAGTGGAAGCTATAGATATAAGTCAGTGAGTAGTGCGGCAAAGGAGTAGGCAGGGCGTAAGTATACAAGAAGGGAGGAGGAAGAAAGAAAGAGAGTCAAAAGAAGAAAAAGGACTGCACAAAAAGTAATCAAACAAGGGAAAGCACGAGAAAAGAGTATGGAGGATGTAACCCCTATTGAAAGTCCTTTTTTTGTGCTGCAGGCAGCATGGGCTGCAAAAAGGGGCGACAGTCTTCGTTCTCGCCTTTTCTGCTTTGTTCCTTTGCGGGCGTTGAACAACAAATATAAACCACATTTTCCCCAAGTAGCCTACACGTCGTGAGTAGCGAGCGACCTTACTACCAGCCTGGAGTGAAGTAACGCCTCTCAAACGGGATCAAAATGGCACCTTTGTGCGTAGTAAACCATCCCATGACGCTCCTCTGAGTGGTCGCATTAGGAGTGAGATTGATAGAGTCGCCAACATCATTAGCCAATCAGAAGCGTCCTACCTTATCTCTGACGTCATAGAAGTGTTGATCCGCTGCAGATGCTGCGCCCACTCTTTCGCTAAAGTTGATCACTGTAGAGCCATGCATTCATTACCTTCGTTCATTTACTCTGGACCATCGTCAACCCTGACTAGGCTGACCACCACCCTTCGACGTACTACTCAAACGGACAGCAAGAGCTCACAAGATAATTTCAACAACACACTTGCAAACCAGCAACAACATCAAAAACAAAGACGACAAGTAAACAATGGCTCGTCCTCGCAGCCCTGGCACACGCGACAGTCCAGGCGACCGCTCGCCTTCGTCCGCCAAGCGCTCTCGTCTCTCGTCTCCAACCGCAGACTCGCCAGGAGGATTCAGCTCTGTCAAGTCCCCACCGTCCCTAGCCTCTGGAAAATACACCTCAGGGACATATGGCACCCTGCGCTCAGATGCAATGACCATGGACCTCGACGGACGAGATCACCATCGCTCATCTGATCGCGAACGCCACCACCGCGAGCGCGATTATGGCAGGACAGATCGGGACCACAGGGACAGGAATCACGGAGACCGGAGTGCAGACTACGAGCGAGATCATAGAGATCGATATGGAAACGATCGGTCCAGGGACTATGACAGGGAGAGAGACTATGCGAGGGAATCGCATCGAGACTACAACCGGTCTTCCCGTGACAGGGATGGCAGAGATGGACGGGACCGCCATGACAGTCGAAACCGCCGGGACCGCGAACGAGTAAGGGATCGGGAAGGATATGACCGGGAGCGAGACCATGGTCGGGAACGCCATGACCGGGACCGCATTGAACGGTCGGACCGAACCAGGTCCACCTCACGACCTCTGGACGATCGTGAACGGAGCTTAACACCCACGACCACAGGAAGCACCATTACCACACCTGTCACCCCCGCCACATCCACCTTGGCTTCATCTTCGCCTGTCATTGCAGCCGATACATTGGCCACATCAACCTCGTCCCTGCCTACAACCCCAGGTGTTGATGCAGCCTCGGGCGCATCAGGAACCCCAGTTCAGATTTATACACCTACAGCAGATTCGACCACAGCGCCATCTACTCCAACCTTACCGACGCCAGCACCCAAGGAGAAACCTGAGCCAGTCGCAAAGCCCTCCGGCTTCACACTCATTTCGATGACACCTGTGTCTCCCAAGGTAACACACGTCGATGCTATTATTCTTTCGCTATGTTACTACTTTTCAGAATACTAACATGGGCATATACACTCCAATGAAAATTATATAGACTTTGGGCGCAATCTCAATCACACGGACTCCTTTGACTTTGACAGCACATCCAATGTCGACGGCGTTTGCGGATTCAGACGCTGCGAAGAAGAGAAGGGAGAATGTCATGCAGTGGAAGCTCGGGAAGGAGACCGCAAAGCAGGCAGAGGGCCAATCAAAGCCAACTGGATTCAACTTGCATCAAAAGGCGAGCGGAATCAAATCAGCTTCAGGATTGTCAACTGCAACTCCCAATGCATCAAAGGCGTTCAATTGGGACGAGGATGACGAGGACCAGGAGGGTCCCAAGAGACCACCTCTGCCCCTCTCCCTCCCTACCGATGAGCCACAACAAGATGAGAATGGTGATGTCGCCATGGGGGACAATGATGATGACGAGAGCCAGACTCCTACACAGGATGACAATGCGATGGATGAGGATGAGGTTGACCCTCTGGATGCCTTCATGGTGGATGTTACAGCAGAAGTGAAGCAGCTGGAAAAGCAGGAAGCCAAGCGGAATGTCAAGCTTCGAAAGGCACAGGAGGAACTCGAGACGGAGGACAACTCAGAACCCAAACCCGCCATTCAGGATGATGAGGACCCAGAGGATCTTGAGGAGTCGTCCGAGGAGGAGGACATCTTGGCTGCGGCTGCCAAAAGGATCAAGAAGAAGGAAATTCCTACGGTGGACCACTCCAAGATGCAGTACGAGTACTTTCGCAAAGACTTTTATCTTGAGCCTCCAGAGATGGCCGATATGACACCCGAGGAGATTCACGGTATGAGACTGGAGCTGGATGGCATCAAGATCCGTGGAGCAGATTGTCCCAAGCCTATTAGGAAGTGGACTCAGGCTGGTCTCCCACCAGGATGGTAGGATTGATATTCTTGATATGTTTCATTTCGTTCTTATCATTGAAGAGATGAGAAGTATGCTTGATTACTAACGAGGCTTTCATTGCTCGTTGTTACTTTGTTAGTATGCAAGTGATCAAGGACAAGTTGAACTATGTGGCGCCGACGTCGATCCAGTCGCAGGCAATTCCAGCAATTATGAGTGGCCGAGATGTCATTGCAGTGGCCAAGACAGGATCAGGAAAGACGATTGCGTTCATTCTACCAATGCTTCGACATATCAAGGACCAGCGACCTCTAGAAGGCATGGAGGGACCGATTGCGATTATTATGACGCCGACCCGCGAGCTTGCGGTTCAAATCCACAAGGAGTGTAAAAACTTTTTGAAGGTACTGAACTTGCGGGCAGTGTGTGCGTATGGTGGGTCACCTATTAAGGACCAGATTGCTGAATTGAAGCGTGGAGCCGAAATTGTCGTCTGTACACCCGGAAGATTGATCGACTTATTATGTGCTAACTCCGGCAGGGTCACCAATCTCAGGAGAACCACCTTCATGGTCCTCGATGAAGCCGACCGAATGTTTGACATGGGTTTTGAGCCCCAGGTACGTCTTCAGTGTGCTTTTTTGGCGGGTATGTTGATGTTTCTTTGACTCTGGAAGGATTCCTTCAAGTTGCTGACATTTTTTTTTCTTTACTTTCACCTATTCTTTTCTTATGGCTGCATAGGTCATGAAAATCGTCAACAATGTCCGTCCACAGCGCCAAGTCGTCCTCTTTTCCGCAACGTTCCCCAAGCAGGTATGTATCATGTTTTTATATTTATTACTGCGTACGTTGTTTAATGAGTTGGTTCAAAGCCTGTAGTTTTTCTTTACGCCGAATACCTTACAATTTCTTCACTTTCTAATAGATGGAAGCCCTGGCTCGCAAGCTGCTAAGACGCCCACTGGAGATCACTGTTGGTGCGCGATCTGTTGTCGCGGAAGATGTCACTCAGTTTGTCGAGGTCCGCGAGGATGATACTCGGTTCAATCGACTGCTGGAGATTCTCGGACAGGCGTACAATGATGATCCTGAGGCACGCGTGTTGATCTTTGTCGGTCGACAGGAGGCCGCCGATAACTTGCTCCGAGACTTGAACCGTCGTGGATACCTCAGCATGTCCATCCATGGTGGCAAGGTAAAAGCCTTGTACATGTGCGAGACTTGCCTATTGTCTATTTGCAATTTGGTCAAAAAGTCGCATTCGATTAATATTTTTTATTTGATTTCGTCTGTCTGAAATAGGACCAAGTGGATAGAGATAGTGCAATCTCAGACTTCAAGGCGGGGGTGTGTCAGATCTTGATTGCAACCTCGGTGGCAGCTCGTGGATTGGACGTCAAGAAGCTGGGGATTGTGATCAACTATGAATGTCCCAACCACATGGAGGATTACGTCCATCGTGTGGGACGGACAGGTCGTGCAGGAAACAAGGGAATCGCCTACACGTTTATTACCCCTGAACAAGAACGGTTTGCACCGGATATCGCCAAGGCGCTGACCAACAGTTCACGGGCGGTCCCACCAGAGTTGCAAGCACTTGTGGATTCCTTCCATGAGAAGCTGAAGTCTGGAGACGCCAAGCAGACAGCCTCTGGATTTGGCGGCAAGGGTCTTGAGAAGTTTGAAAAGGAGCGCGACAAAGTCCTCGCCATCCAAAAGAAGGTAACCTTTGAATGTTTGCGTGCCTGTCATTTATGTACTTTGTTTACTGTGACGTACAGATACTGATGTTTTTTACACTGCATTGCATTTTACACTTGATAGACATATGGAGGTGGGGATGATGAAGGGTCGGATGGAGAGGGCGGCGGAGACGCGAGCGAAATCGTTGTGGAAGCAAAGCAAGTGCAAGCAGGCATCACCGCAGGAAAGGCTGCTGCCAATGCGGCAGCAGAGGAGAACGCCGACGGCAAGACAAACGCTGCAGCAGCGTCTGGTACAACTTCTACAGCGACTGGCTCCGGCTCTGGGTCAGCAGCAGCAGCAGGCGGTGCTCCCGGTGCCAACAATGCCCTTGCAGAAGGTAAATATATAGTTGGGCTTGTTGTTTTCCGGACTTGGGATGGACTCTGTTTCTTGGGGTCATTGGAACATGTTAACTAACGACATGTCTAAACTTTCGCTTGATCATGTTGTAGCTTTGCGCAAGGCCAAGGAGGCAGCGGATGCTTTGAGTCAGTCGCTTGGAGGCGATGGACGACAGCGTGCGTTGGAGGTGATCAGCAACCTAAACAAGTCGCGACCAGGTGCCCCAGGAGCAGGTGGAGCAGCCGATACCGCTGGATCTATGGGTGGTAGTGGTGGTCCTGGAGGAGCTGGTGGCCATCGTGATAACGGCTTTGCGATTGAGATTGAGATCAACGACTACCCGCCCAAGGCGCGTTTGATGGTGATACAAAAGATGATGATTGATCAGATCTCTGATCATTCTGGAGCCGCGATTACGACGCGAGGTGTGTTTGTGGAACAGGGCAAGCAGCCTCCTCCGGGCGAGCGCAAGTTGTATCTGTTTATTGAGGGCGACTCCCAGCTTGTCATTGACAAGGCCAAGAACGAGATCACGCGAATCTTGAGGGAGGAGGCCAACAAGGCTGCGGATGCGACCAACCGTGGAGGAGGGCCTGGTCGTGGCGGTGGAGGGCGCTTTCAAATTGTGTAAGTGAGGTTGAATGGTGGCTTTTGAAGAATAAATATATCTGCATGAACATCATGTTGTACTTGCTGTATGAATTGGGTATATGAGATATTTACTATTTGTTGCTTTTGGCTATGGTACATGGAAAGATAGATTAGAGAGGAAACGAGGGACAAAAACTACGTTACAAAAAAGGGGAATCTCATGGAGGAGATACAGTCGAGGAAGGAGCGAGGGTGAGATGCTTGAAGACGGCCTGGAGGCGCGCCAATGCCACAGCCTTAAGACGCTCATTTTCATCCATTGTGGCTCCACCTGCTGCTGCTGCTGATGCTGCGACGGTTGCGGTGGTGGCTGCAGAGTCGAGTTGTTTCCGGGGGTCCTTTCCAAAGATCTTTTCCCAATTCCATTCTGCGGCCAGAAACTTTTTAGGAGCCTGGTGTTGGTGATCGATGGGGGTGGCGGTGGCGAACTCTTGAGCCCATGCGCTGTTGGTCGATACTGTTACAAAAGGAGAGAGGTGGGCAGCAGCCGCAGCTAGGGTAGTAAGGTCGACGTCGAGGTCTTGAGAGGGAACGGTAGCGGAGGATGCGGGGGGGTAGTAGGTCTGTTCTGCGAAGTGAATGTCCTTGACGAGGGAGAGGAAGCGGTCTTCTGCTCGGATGGGTTTCAAGGGAGCTGGCTGTTCCTGGTGGAGATGATAGTGGTGCGAATTGGGTGTTGTGGAGTTCATGATAGTAGGGGTGTAGTTGAAGGACTCGAACTCACTCACACAAAAGTCGCTGGAGTTTCCTGGATGAGAATGCTGGTACAAGTTCTCTTCTGAGTCCAACCCTGGAACTCGTAGCCGACTCTGGCCATCCGAGTTGGCAGCAGCAGCAGAGGCGGCAGTGTCCATGGCGGTAGAAGGCGAAGGGACGCCGGTCATCATCCACGAATATGAAGACCGAGGGGGACCACCAGAGGTGACCCGCTGGCGCTCACGCTCTTCGGCAAGTCGAGCCTCCTTGAGACGGTCTTGCTCTTCGATCTGGCGGAATTGGGATTGGTGGGTGTTGATGTAGGCCTGGGTGAAGTGGTCGTTATTCCATTCTTCCCGGAACTCGTCCTCGTCGTCATCGCTTTCCTCGGTTTGGCTGTTGGCACCCTGAAGGAGCGTTGCAGAAGAAGAGGGAACTGGTTCGGTGTGGACCATCTCTTGGGCCCAGAGACTGTCGGCGAGGGCTTCTTCAGAAGGGGACTGATAGTAGTAGGCGTCAAACTCTTCAGTGGACAGATCTTGTCCAGGAAGGAGAGCGCCACCTCCTCCGGAGGAGATAGCATGTTGACCGGCTGTCGTCGATAAGGCATGGTCCCAAGAGGAGATCAAATCGAGGTCCTGGAGATGACGCTGATTGGGTATCGGTCTTTGGTTTGTGTTGCTGAACTGTGTTGCCCACGGATCTGCCTGATAATGGTGGCGAAGTTGGTCCTGTTGGACTGAGGAGGAAGTTGACCAGGCGTGTTCGAATGCAGTGTTATCATCGATTGTCTTGTGTTTGTTGGTAGCCAATTGGTGTTTGGCATAGTGTTGTTGTTGTTGTTGTTGTTGTTGTTGCAGGTGCTGGCGGGGGAAGAGTCCTCCTGGGTGGTATCCTTGACCTTGTCCTTGTCCCTGTCCTTGGTGGTGATACCGTGTTGACGAAGAAGAAGCCGATGACGACGAAGAAGGACGGAAGAGGGATGTTTTGGCCGAGAAGGTCGATTCGCCGAGGAACTGGTTTGCGAGGGCGTGGAGGGGTGCGCTTGCTGAGGAGGAGTAGCAGCCGGCCATGATTTTGTGGTTGATATGTTCTCGGACGGATAGAGAGCAGTGGTTGTACAAGAAGGAGGTAAAAGGCTTCTGCGATCGGTTGGCTGGATCTGCTTATCGGAGTTGATGGGCTTGGGATGGCAGGCAGGATGCAGGTTTTCCTGTTCGGAGATAATGAAAACGAGAAATATGTTCTGAGCAGGTATAGCACGCGCGAGGGGTATGAATGAGTGTTGGATCAGCAAAGAAGAAGAGGAGGAGGAGGAGTGAATGAGAAGGGAGAGAAAGAGAGAAAAGAAAGTGAAAGAAGAGAGAGAAAGAGAAAGAGAAGAGAGAGAGAGAAAAGGAGAGAGAGAGAAAAGGAGAGAGAGAAGAAAGAAGTGTCCGGGGAAGGGGGCCAAGAGAGATGATGATTAGGGGAGTGTGTGTGTGTATATGTGTGACAAAGTGAACAACAACAACAAAAAGGGTAAAAAAGAGTCAGTATAAGGGGGCCAATGGCATGCAATCTTATCTCCTCTTTGGTTGTTGTTGTCTCCCCTTGGCCTCGTGGTAGTGCAATGCTTCTCTTCTGTCTTTCCGTCGACTGAATACGATTGGGAACTGCCTCCTACTTCCTTCCATCATGGACGATTGACGGTCACTTGTGGTGGTTGCACTGTACTTGCATCGATATGCACACCATCATGCATCGCCGTCTTGGTTATTATTGTCAGACAAGACAAGGCACTGTATCAAGACACTTCCTTCAAAGGGACACAGGTTCGATTTCCTCCGAGAGCAAGAGACAATAATGACAAAGAAAGAAAAAAGATCTTTTGCTCCACAGACATGTGAACATCAAAATCACCCTCTTCTCTCTTCTCTCTCCTCGTTTGTGACCACTGAAAAGATTAGCTGCTCTGGTACTGGTCCGTCCTCTGTCCTCTGTCGCGCCACATATGCTGCGGTCGCAGACTAGCAGACACTTCTTTCCCTTCTCCATGTGCGAGAAACATCCATATATCACTCCATGCAGAAACACGCACAACAATTACAACCTAAAAAACAACAACTACAGAGATATAGCCAGAAAACAACATTGCTCCCCCATATTCATCATACCTGCTGCAAGACGCTTTCTAACCTCCCTCCTCATATTAACAGTTACACTCTTGTCATTGACCATCAACGATCACCATGCTGCAAGATTGACGCGTCTATGTCCTCTCTAGGAAACACTGGGTGATCTACTTACAGTGCTCGAACCCGAAAAATTGTCCTCCACCCTGTTCTTCTAAAAAACACTTGCCCGCCGTCCATCTATTGGGGAACACCAACCAATAAGTCATCCTGACTGAACAATTGTACCCATCTCAGCTCTTCTAAAAGCCTTGCTCGTTGCTTATTCATGCTCTGTTACTCTGTCCTTTACCAGTGCCTACATTCTCCCCTTCCTTTTCATTATATAACGCCTGTTGCTCTTTCTTCCGTCCTGGTAAAAAAAGGAACATGACGCGACTCCGCGAGGAAGAAAGAAGGAAGGAAAGAGGAAAGACGACTTGAGCTCCTTATTTATTCATCTGTTTGATCGCCTCCTGAACAATGTACAATAAAAAGAAGAGACAATAGTGACCCTTTTTGTTATGGTTGTTGACATCATGAGAGCCGGAACAGATGGAAGGATAGCTAGCTTTGACTGTTTAGGCGAATATATACCGTGTCCTCTTTTTCGAATTGAAGGTCAAGAGGAGGTGAGAAGGGAGAGCGAGAGTTGTGAGCAGGAAGGGGGACTGTGAAAGAGGGAGTATCGGTTTAGACACGGGAGACATGCGAGTGATGAGGAAGACAAAGACGAGGACTAGGAGAGGCAGGAAGAGGGTGATAGAAGGTAAGAAAGATATAATCAAGCCGAGAACAAAGAGATAAATGAGAAAGAAAGAAAAGAAAGAGATAGGATGTATGGCCCATGGTCGATGGTCCCTCAAGAGGGTGTGGTGTGTGCCACCAACTCATTTTTTCAGGATTCAGGAACGATCAGTTCAAAAATAAAGTAAATTTGGGTTGAGTGGCCATGTCTCAGTCTCACCCACGCCGACCTCCAACTTTACACTTTATCCACCCCATCGTCTTGCCTGCTGGCCGTCTCCTTATTTTACCCTTTTCTTCGTTCTTTCCCTTTCTTTTCCCTTTCTTTCTTCTTCTTCTTCTTGTTCTTGTTCTTTGTTCCTCTTTCGTTCCCCTTCACTCTTTATCCCTTTTTTATTTTTTTTATTTCTTATTCCCGTCCGCCTTACTTCCCTCCAATCCTCTCCATTCATCCACACACCTAAAGGAAGAAGGCACCATACACACAAACAAACAAACAAGCATCATACATACCCTCTCGTCCTTTCTATTTCCCTCCAATAGCACAAGCACAGCGGACATCATACCATCCAACAACTACCTCCCCTCTACCTTCGTGCTACAGTCTTCCTCCTTCTCGTCCCACCCTCTCTCCCTCTCACCGACTGACTGACTTATTGACCAAAACTACAAAAACTCATTCAACCAACATCAACAAAGAAAGGGATCTTGACTCCAGATGATGTCCGATTCCCAATGGCCTCATCAGCCACAACCAACAACCGCCCTTGCCAGTCTCGAGACCGTCGACCAGGCCAGGGCCGAGCTCGAGGCTCGCCTCATGGGTATCCATAACGACCTTCAGCTCACCCAGACCATCGGACTCCTCTTTGTCAAGCGCCAGGAGGACCTCAAGCACTGCTTCGACCAGCTCCAGGAACTCAAGCTACAGGAGGCTGCATCAGCAGGAGCAGGACGGCAACAGCAACAATACCAGGAGCCCTTGCCGGACATATTACGGGAACAGCTTGCAATCCTCGACAAGGACTTTCAAGAAGGGCAAAATGGCATCCTGGGGCTCAAGGGACTCATTGACGCACAGCTGGTAAGAACCAGGACTCTTTCTTTTCCTCTATCAATTGGGCAGTAAACCCGACATTTTTTTCTTGCGTGGTGGGCATTACTTTTTACTTTTTTTTTACTCGGTTGCACCTTTTCTTCTCTGATAGGCAAAGAGCAATGGAGTGTTACTTCTTTTATTACTCATACGTGCCTTTTCTTGTATAATGCGCTTGGAGACATGAAGGATTAGTTTTGTTGTGCAGTACTCTGGTGTATTTCTATTTTCTACGCAAGTGTGCTGCGACCACACATTCCTTACATTCCTTTGAGTGTTACAGCCTTTCTCCTCTTTCTCCGTCTCCTGTGCACACCTCCTTCTTTCTCTCTTTTCCCTTCTTTTCCCTTTCTTTCTTACCTTTTTTTTTTTTTTACACTTTTGTCCGTTGGAAGGGGAGGAGTGAGTTTGCCCTGTCCATGTTCCCATTCCAGCGAACAATTGGTACAATTCGCACAAAATAGCGCTAAACCACCAACCAACCACCCTAACGACCATCCTTTGCTCTCGTCAACACCCACCAAAGAGAAAATCTCCATCTAAAAAAATAAGTGCTCTCAACATATTCAAGTGCATATGAAAGTTAATTACATTGCGGCCCCTATTGGGGGAGGGGAATGGAATAAGGAAGAGAGAGGGGGGGGGAGGGGCTACTATGAACCAGCTTGGGTTTATTATTATCGCTTGCAATTATTTACTTGTGTTGGGTACGGTATTGGGATGTTCGGTGTACAGGGTGGGAGTTTTGTGGCTCTCGTCTTTTTTATTTTCTTTGTTTTTTGTTTTTTTTTTTTTCTTTTTTTCTTTTTTTCTTTTTTCGTCTATGGGTTTCTGGGAACTGAGGTTCGTCTATTCTTGGCAGGGATTGAGGGTATTGCATGCAAGCTTTTTCTACTAGCAAAGCCATATGAGCGAGTAGAGCGGAAGGGTGACACACAGATAACAATAGGGCGATGGTCTGTATGTATGCGCGAGAGTGATGAGAGAGGACAATACCCAAGAGCACATCGTGGATAGGATACCACTATGTTTTGTTGTTTTTAGTGAAGAGCAAAAAAGGCAAAGAGCAGTAAGTAGCTGCGGGATGGATGATTTAATCCTGTCACGTCCTCCGAAGAGGACAGGGGGACAGCGAGTTAGAGCAGGAGAGAGTGGAAAAAAGGCCATGAGTTGTCTCCTCCTTTGCGAACAAGGTGCATGAAGACCTCAATGAACCTCAATGACAACACCTCTCCCAGTACTCCTTTTTTTTTGACTGTTAACGGTGTCATGCAATCCTTTCTGAACATCCGCCTTACTCTTTATTGTTGTTTGAATTATAGCCTACGATAGCGATCCAGCCTCCTCAGGGAGACTCGACGACGCGGTCGGGGTCGAATGTCCTTGGACCAAGTGCATTGCCTTCAAGCATCCTGCCAACACAGACAATCACGAAGCCTCGGCGCCACAAGGTCGTCGTTCCTTCAACGCCTTCGATCAACGACCCTGCATTCCCCGTTCAGATTCAGGAGGAACTGTTGAACCAGGTCCGGTACTGGACTTCGCAGGCAGAGATGAAGGAAAAGCTGAACCAGGAATACGATACCAAGATCTCTGAGCAGGAAAGGATCATTGATGCTCTCAACAAACAGCGACGCATGCGCGAGGAGAGCGATGGTGAGTGTCTGGGATACAGCTATTTTTCCTTTTTTTTTTTTTTTTTTGAGCACTTTTTTGCTGTATTGTTTCAGCTCATCACGTTTTTTTGCATATGTAGTTTTTTTTTGTCTACATGCATGTGCGTTTGATTATATATCTCAGCTAACATGAGGGTTTTCCGGTTCTTCTATGATTAGAGCGCCTGAAGGAGGACCAGTGGAATCTGGAGTTAATGAACCAAGAGCTTCGGACACAGTGTGCGGATTTTCAACAGCAACTGTCGCGGTCTCTGCACGAGAACGGCAAGGTCCAGAAGGCACTCACAGCAGCATCGGAGCAAGTGGAACAGATGAAGGACAACGAGGAGCGGGCTGCTGGCCAATTGGAGCTGACAAAGTCTCGGCATGAGCAGGACATGGTCGCCATGCGGAAACATAGCGCAGGAATCCAACGCGAAAAGTCTGACTTGATCAAAAAGATGGAGGAACTCAAGGCGACCATGGCGGCCCAGCAACAGAAGCTGACCAAGAAGGCGACCATGGAGGCGATTGCACTTGCTCAGGAGAAGGAAGAGTTGTTGCTCGAGCCCGAGAGCCCCGTCGAGGCACCCGTCTTGATCCAGGCACCCCCTCGTCTGCCCAGTAACGATGATTTGCCCGGTGCTACTTCTGCAGCTTTGATCCCTGGTACAGTCGAGCCCAAGGTTGCCTCGCTGGCCCGAGAGACCTCGTTTGCTCACCAACAGTCGATCATCAGCGAGCTCCAGGCCAAGTTGAGCAAGGAGATCTCGGAGAAGGAACAGTTGGTGGCCACCAAGGCCGAGTTGCAATCGGAGAAGGAGGAGCTCGTCAAGATGTTGGCTGACAGCGAGGAGACCATTGAGCACCTGCGTTTCGGAGGACTGGATCCCGCTGTTGCGGGTATTGCTGCTGTCGGTACCGGTGTTGTTGCTGCTGGCGTGACACAATCAGTCTTGGGAGGACAGGAGGCAAGATCTACTGCGGACGAGGAGGAACGCCACCCGATCTCGCCTGTGCATGTTGGTGGACTCTTTGCGGAGCTGGCTCTTGCAAAGTCGACTGAACCAGCCAAACCTGCAACAGAGTACAAGGATCAGGAGACGGTCTCGGAGCCCATCGAGAGCTGGATTCACTCTATCCCCGGATTGGTCCCCGCCCCGGTCGTGAAGGAGAAGATTATTGAGGTTCCAGTTGAGAAGATCGTGGAGGTTGAGAAAATCGTGGAGGTTGAGAGGATCGTGGAGGTTGAGAGGATCGTGGAGGTTGAGAAGATCGTTGAGGTTGAGAAGATCGTTGAGGTTGAGAAGATCGTCGAAGTCCCAGTGGAGAAGATTGTCGAGGTGGAGAAGATTGTTGAGGTGGAGAAGATTGTTGAGGTTCCCGTCGACAAGATCGTCGAGGTTGAGAAGATCGTCGAGGTGCCGGTCGAGAAGATCGTGGAGGTTGAGAAGATTGTCGAGGTGCCGGTCGAGAAGATCGTCGAGAAGATCGTCGAGGTACCAGTGGAGAAGATTGTGTACGTTGATAAGATTGTCGAGGTGCCCGTCGACAAGAGCATGCTGATCGAGAAGATTGTAGAAGTGCCAGTCGAGAAGATCGTTGAGGTAGAGAAGATTGTGGAAGTGCCAGTCGAGAAAATTGTTGAGGTTGAAAAGATTGTTGAGGTCGAGAAGATTGTTGAGGTCGAGAAGATTGTCGAGGTCGAGAAAATTGTCGAGGTCGAGAAGATTGTCGAGGTCGAGAAGATTGTCGAGGTTGAGAAGATTGTCGAGGTCGAGAAGATTGTCGAGGTCGAGAAGATTGTCGAGGTCGAGAAAATTGTCGAGGTCGAGAAGATTGTCGAGGTCGAGAAGATTGTCGAGGTCGAGAAAATTGTCGAGGTCGAGAAGATTGTCGAGGTCGAAAAGATCGTCGAGGTGGAGAGGATTGTTGAGAAGATAGTCGAGAAGATCGTTGAGGTCGACAGAGTCAGAGACGTTAAGGACGTCGCTGCCGCTAGGGCCGTGGAGAAGTCCCAGGCTGCCACCAGCTCTGTTGCCACCAACACGGAACCCAAGGCGTCGACTAGCACCACCGCCACCAACACTGATGTCGCCGCCACCAGTTCGACTGCCACCAACACCGACCCCGTCTCTCTTCGTAAGAGCTCTGCTTCGACCGCGTCTTCTGCACACAGGAGCGGACAGCTGCCCGACATTGTCACAGGAAAGGACGCCAAGAGCGGCACTCTTTTGGACTCGCAGGCTCTCGCCACTCCTACCATCGCCGGTCTCGAGGTCGCGTCTGTCCTCATCCCAGAGATTCTTGACCAGGTTCAGCAAATTGCTCAAGTCAAGACCACTGAGCCAGCATTTGTCGATCCCTTCACTGTCGATGAGTCGACTCCTCCCCAAGCAGCCAAAGTTCTCAAGGATCTTGAGCTCGATGTCACTGAGCCCGTTCCCCGCTTTGTTCCCTCAGAGATTCCTATGGATGACGAACGTCGCCACACTTGCGACATGAGCCAGAGCATGCCTGACTCGACCCACCATGCTGCTCCTCCAGTTCCTTCCCTGCCCAAGGATATCGTTGCAGCATCCAGACCCCAGACGGCCTTGATGACCGATAACAACGGACAAGAGTTCCGCGTCTCCTTCGGATCGGCCTTTGGATCGGCTATGGAGACTGGCCGTATCGAGCCCATCTACGCTGACAAAGAGGCTGCTGCTGACGCCGCTGCGACTGATAACGATTTCAGCGACGTTGACAGCATCCACAGCAAGCACCAGCACCAGGCCTACCAGCACGAGAACTCTCAAAGCATGATCTCGCCTGGCCGCCCCGCGACTGGCCCACCCTCAAGCCTCTTAGCCCGTGCGGCCGCAAGAGCAAGCATGGCATCAGAGTTGGATGTCATGGCTTTGAACGAACCCTTTATGAATACCCGTAATGCCAGCAGCAGCAACCTGTCTGTCTCGGGAATGACCACCAACAACACCGCCACCACCACAAAGAGCATCATTCATGGCCAGCTTGGCCATTCGCTTATCAGCAACTCTGGTCCTGGTTCGCCTGGACCTATCACTTATCCCACCCGAGCATCGTCGATCCGATCGGAGAAGCGCTTCGTCAGCACTTCACCCCCTCAGTCGTCAGGAATCTCTCGGCCACCCATGCCTACTGGTGCCGCTGTCATCTCTTCAACTACCCGCACCGCCTACACCTTCCAGAACAGCTCCAGCCAGGTGTACATCCCTCAGAGCAGCAGCAGCCAACAGCAGCAGACACAGTACCAGCACATTACGGACTCTTCTGGAGCGAGCATCAGCCATCACCGCTACCGTCCCTCGCCTAACGGATCCGTCTCGAGCATGTCGACCGACTATGGTGGAAACCAGCATGAGCGTCGCGGTTCGGTGAGCTCGAACTATGACAGCAACTCGACATCGACCGACCCGACGATGATCCAGGCAATCACGCAGACCATGATCGGAGACTACCTCTGGAAGTATACCCGTCGCCCCATGGCCAGCGTGATCAGCGAGAAGAGACATCGCAGATACTTCTGGGTCCACCCTTACAACAAGACCATCTACTGGAGTCTCAACAACCCCGCCGCCGATGGTTCTCGCGAGCAGCGCGCCAAGTCTGGTATGTATCCTTTTGTTCACGTTGTTTTGATGGGTTGGCCAAAGCGTTGGCAAAGAGCATTAATGATAGCTGACACGTTCTCCTTTTTGTATTCACTGTCATTGAATGAATAGCTTTGATTATTAACGTGTTCCAGATTACGGATGAGAACACGGCCGGAAACTCGGACTTGCCTAACATCAGCTTGCTTGTCCAGACTTCCAACCGCAACCTCAAGCTCACAGCCCCCACCCGCGAGAAGCACGAGCTCTGGTACCAGGTAAATTTCTTCATTCTGTCCTCTTACATTGTTTTCCGCATGTTCTCATTTGTTTTCAAATGTTCACCTTGTCATTGCAGAATATTAATAACCTTATCTCCTACTTTTCGTGAATGAATCTAATAGTCTCTTGCGTACTTGTTGTCGCGTCCTTCGACTCCTGGAGTGGATATGCCAAGCGACAATCAGACATGGTCGGAGGTACAGGCTGCACGTGGAGCGCCTTCAGATACCCTGTTGACGATCCGCAATGAGAAGACTGTCCGGAAAAAGGGTTCCTTCAACCGACTTCAGTCCATGTTTGGTCGGTCCAAGGAAAACTCTCCCGCCGGATCCCCCCGTCAACAACAACAGCAAGGATCACTGGGTATGAACTCTGGGATGTCGTCGACGTCAGTCAACTCTAGCGGTATGCCTCCACCCCCGCCCTTGTCAGGGGGTAGTGGTAGTGGCGGCAATGGCAGTGTTGTGAACAGTGTGGTTGGATACCCAAGCCATATGGTCAACACACAGAGCCCGGTTGGAGGATATGGGACGATGAATGGAGGACCGATTATGTCGCAGCAGGGAAGTTCGTCGGTGGGTACGAATAGTATAAGTCCACGGTCGAGGCTGGCGTATGAGGACGAGTACCGGGGCGAGGGCGAGTATGATGACGAGGATGATGAGGATGAGGATGATGAGGATGATGGTGAGCTTCCTGAGCATGTTCGCCAGTGCTGTGATGGCAAGCATGATATCGGGTCCCTGGACCACCACCATTAGAAAACATATAACCGACACGTACACTAAATAACTAATAGTACACACCGACCAAGCAAGGTTGATACAAATACAAATGAGCATGAAACAACAGTACGCTTTATCGTTTATCATTCTACCGTTGATCAATTGATCGTTTCCTGAACGGATGTTGCTTCGTTATTTCACAAGTGATGGTCAGCTGAAAATATGGTAAGTTATACCCTTTTCTTGGACCCTTTTTTGTATGTTGAAGAATACATTCCCTCTTCTGCGTGAGTGCTTGGACACTAGCTGCTGCATTGTCAACACTGTCAGTGTCCCCCACAGCCCATTCCGAGTCGAGTCGACCCTCTCACTCAGTCTCTTCTACTCTTTAGTCACACTCGATAACTTTAACGCTTTTCTACCCTCAGGATAAAAACTCAATTGAAACCTTTTCATTCCCTCTCACTTGCTTGCCTGCTTGCTTCCATAAACCCAGCCCTCTCCTTCTTCTCTTCTCTTCTCTTCTCTTCTCTTCTCGTCTCTTCACCCATTCCTCGCCCTTCTTCACAGCAACATCATTTCTCCAAATGGCATTCGTGGCGCCAGATCCCAACACGTTCTACCCAATCCCGCCTGGCCAACTGCCCCCGGGTTTCATCCCTCCTCCTCCTGGAACAGCCGTCCGCGGGATTCCCATCGTCGTCCCCCTAGGCCATGAGATGCTCATCTCTCCCGAAGGGTTCCCAGTCTTTGTACCCGAGCGAGCACTCGTCCAGGTCAACGGCTCTCCCGTCGTTCTCCAACAACAGCAACAGCAACAACAGCACCAGCAGCATATTCAGGCGACACCTCCACCTCCAACACCGTCGGTTCCAGGTCCGCCGACGAGGAATAATACCATGTCTTCACAATTTTCAGGTGGTCCTCCTGCCACAAGCCAGTTCACACCCCCACCTCCAATGCCTCCACTGCCAACCATGGTCTCTCAACAACTTACAATGCCATACCCTGTCCCGACAGGAAATCCTCCTCCATTACCAGCACAACATCAGACAAGTTATCCAGCCCCGAACCATGGCCCACCACTGACGCACGCACCCCCGCCTTTCCCGCCACTGATGACTATGCCTACTTCAGTGGCGCCCCCTCAACCCCAGCAGCCAGCACAGCAGCCCTTAGCGGCAGCACCAGCATTGACGTTTGCAAGTATTGTGACCTCTTTCAGGACATCTTCGGAAAGTGTCCAGGCGTGGACATTCTACTCCTTGGGACTGTCTCAACACTCTGGCCAGAAGGAGATTGTCATCACGCTGCGTCAACGACCTGGCCAGTACACCCTCGAGAGCGTTCAGCCCATCATGTACCAACTCTTTCACCAGATTAATTCTCATATCCAGTCCTCAGGAGGTCGACCTCTCGGTGCTGGACAGGTCTTCCCGTGTCGGTTGAATACTCCAGATGTTGGGGTGTTGGAGAGGGCGGTGTTGTTGATTCATGCCCCTGCAGAGTGTAAGGGCCAGCTGGAGAACAAGGATGTGCTTTATGGACTCATTGCAACCATGGAGGAGATGGCTGTGTTCTCGAAGTACGGCGCGGCGAGATGTTTGACGAATATGGGCAACGACTTGGAGACGTGGCCGGTGCCTCTGTGGTCAGACTGGTCAAGACAACCGCTGGTCAGTTTACAGAACTTTGAGGGCTCGTTGACGGAGCGGGTGAGCGTCTTGGCGACCAAGAACATTGTCGCGACCCTGGATACGATTTCGCATCGGTTGATGTTGGTCATCTCTGCCAGTGCTCTTGAACTCATCCAACAGGACTTGAGGAGGTTCCCTCCGGCCAACGGGCCCGTTGGTGGAAGTGGGTTCTCGTCAGACTTGACAAGAGTCACTTTCTTGTTGGATATTGATGCGGGCGCACAAGCGTACTTGACGTGGAGGAGTGGACAGGAAGGACCCGCCATTTTCAATGCACGCCCGAACCCAACGAGTTTCCATGGATGTTGGATTACAATGAGCGGGATTGGGGCACATGAGGTTGCGAACATTCAGGAGGGAGTTACGCCGAGGGAGGATGGAATTGAGTTGAAGATGCGGGCAGCGACTTGGGAGCGGTTTTATCAGGCGTTGATCTCCAGGACCCCGGCTGTTGTCCCAGTCGGTGCTGAGACTGTCCAATTAAGCTATGCTTAGTATAATTGGAATTGGACCCCAGGAGGACTATCTAGGATGCCTCTGCTGAAGGGCCTCGTCCGTTTAATACCCCAACCTTGTTTCCTCCAGGGTTTTACGCTGCCTTGACACTGTGTGTAGGAACAGGCAGATCCAGGCTGGAAGTTGCTCCAACTGTTTTCTAATAATAAACTAGACAATAATTAGAGTACGCACGTGATGCACGTCTAAGTGTGCTGTCCAACCGTCGCGTTCTACCTCTTTGCCATTGCTCAAAGTTCATCTCTTCTCTCTTCTTCACACTTTACAACACATTCCTCATCGACACACAATGGCCCCGACGACACTCAGGGCCAACAAGGCTTCCAAGTCCAAGGCAAATACAGCAGGCGCAGGCGCCTCTTCTTCTTCTCCTAGTCCGCACAGGACAACAACCACCACAACAACATCATTCACTACGACAACGACGCACTCATCAACTTCACCAGCGACGACGCCTGAGGCACCCAAGCTGAAGAACTTGGCAGTGTACCGGTACGCGACCTGGTTGGAGGAGAACCAGCTCAAGAAGACTGCCGTCTGGATCGCCGTTGCCGCCGCCGTCCTCGTCCGCTGGACCGTCGGTCTTGGACCCTACTCTGGTACCTTTTTTTCATCTTGTCGCCTTTCGTGCATCAATTAAAGTCGCTATCTCAATACTAACCAGAGGAATGCGTTGTGTATGATAGGCCAGGGAGTGTCACCACGGTTTGGAGACTATGAGGCGCAGAGACATTGGATGGAGCTGACGATCCATCGACCAATCCGGGAATGGTACTCTGACAAGTCCAAGTGGTGGGACCTCGACTACCCACCCCTCACCGCCTACGTTTCCTGGATCTGTGGCTTCCTGTACGTTCCTCTCTCGCTTTATTCGATATCTGGTGTCATTTGGTGTTGACTCAGTTGTCGGTTGTGTTGCTTTTTTTCCGGCAGTGAAACTGTCTTCTTTACTGACTTCTTCGTTTTCATTCTCTTGGAATAGTGGCGCAAAGATAAACCCTGAATGGTTCGCATGGGAGACTTCCCGCGGGTACGAATCCACCGATGCTAAACTCTACATGCGCTCAACAGTCTTAGTCTTTGAGCTCTTGATCTACATCTCCTCAATCGTCGTATTCACGCAACGCTGGTTCGCCCACAAACCCTGGACACGTCAACACACCGCCCTCCTACTGATTCTCCTTCAACCAGGCGTTATCCTCATCGACTCTGGCCACTTCCAGTACAACACTGTCATGCTTGGATTGGTGGTTTGGGCGGTGAACTTCTTTTTGGGAGATCAGGATGTCTTGGGCAGTGTGGCATTCTGTTTGGCACTTGGGTTTAAGCAGATGGCACTCTACTTCTCCCCTGCTGTCTTTGCCTACTTGCTGGGCAAGTCCTTCCGCCAAGGCTTCTTTGGCTGGTAAGCTTTCTTTCATCTTTCTTTCATACGTAGAGTATGCGGAGGAAATTGTGGCTCGGGGACAAGGTTACTAAATAACCACTGTGCATCATTCCCATACACACAATAGCATTTGGAAGTTGATCAAGTTGGGAGTGGCGGTCATTCTGACTCTTGGACTACTGTTCTCGCCATGGATGGAGTCAAAGGAGGAGATTCTGCAGGTGGTGCAAAGGATCTTCCCAGTCTTCCGCGGACTCTACCAGGATAAGGTTGCGAATATCTGGTGTGCCGTCAACATTGTCATCAAGCTCCGTGAGCGCTTCGCCATCCAGGACCTCATTCGCTTCAGGTATGATCTACATTTATTTGCTAGCACTGCGACTGGATCAACTACAACCATGACTAAAGGCTAACGCGAATATCTATCTAACTTCCATTTCGTTTACTTCCCTAAAAGCACGTTGGCGACGCTGTTGTCGTTCTTGCCCTCGCTTGTCCACTTGATTGCAAAACCAACAAAGCGCGGTCTGATCTACGGCTTGATTAATTCATCCCTGTCGTTCTTCCTCCTCTCCTTCCAAGTCCACGAGAAGTCGATCCTCCTACCTGCTCTTCCAATCACCCTCCTCATCTTGGACGAGCCAGCCTTGGCCGCCTTGTTCAACACCTTGGCCACATTTAGCATGTTCCCGCTCCTGAGACAAGAGGAACTGACGATGCAGTATTATGTCCTTTTGGGATTCTGGGTCTGGATAACCACCGGAACCTTTAACAACGTTTCCACCCTCCTCAAGTTCCTCTCCGCCGTAAGTCTTTCATCTCTTTTTATTTATACATCTCGTTCGTATTTCTTTGCTACGATTTCTCTACCAGAACACCTTCTCTTGCTAACAACTTCTTCGCTCACTTCCCTTCTATCATTAGTTGAACTTGCTGGTGATTGTGTCGATGCATTTGGGAGAGATGTTTGTGGCTCCTCCAGCACGGTACCCGGACCTGTACGCGGTCCTGAACTCGCTCTGGAGTGCAGCAGGGTTTGTCTTGTACTGGGCCTACTTCAACTACCGCCAGTTCACTCTGGTCAACACCCCCAAGATGGGCTTCCGCGTTACAAAGTCCAAGACACACAAACTTGCCTAGAATCCCTTTTTGCCCTTTACGCTATTGGGTGAATAAAAAAAACCCCCTCGAAGCTTTGTATCCCAATGCGTATTCCACGTTTCTATTGTATATTTCCCTTTTTGTTGCATTTGCGAATCATTGCATCTTCTGTCTTCAGACTGGTATGGTGTTTGCTGTTATGATGTTTTATTATCGCTGTTGCTTGCTTGCTTGCAAATTCAATCCCCCCCCCCCCATATACCGTCTCCCTCAGGAACCAAAAGAAAAAAAAAAGGATTTATCCACGGAGTGCCCGAAGACGCTCAGAGAGATCGTCCTGCTCCTTGGCTTCGGTTTCCTTGGACTTGTTGAGAAGGGTATCGGGTGTCTCTCTGAGCTCTTCATTGAGTTCGAGACCATGTTCGTCTGCGACCTGGTGCATCAGCGTGTCGACCTCGTCCTGGGGTGTTGTCAATGCCGACTGGTTGCCCATCGTGTTCTCCATGTACTGTGTCTGTACGTCCAGATCCTCAAACTGGCTCTCAAACTTGTCCATCACCATTGATATCTTGTTGGGGTAGGGTACAGTTGTAAAGAAAAAAGGATTAGATATCACTAGGCAGTTGGCCAATACCTAGACCTTTGCTTGGATCACTAGTGCATAAAACTGAAAAGTAGATGATATACCTTTTCGAGGTTCATGGATTCCATGGCTTTATCCATGCCTTTGACGACGCTGGTCATGGACATGGTGACGTTGCGCATGGTGACGGCGGTCTGGACTCGAGAGGCGACTGCGTCGATTCTGGAGGAGAGGCGGAGCAGGTTGAGGCCCTCGTTCTTTTTCCGGATCGCGTTGGCAGCGTAGATCCTTGCTCCCTCCATGTTTCCCTGTTGGATTGCCTATTTGTGTCAATGATAATCAGGCATGACATGTACGTGTGTGTTAGTTGAGATCAATTGGGAAGGTGTACCAAAGGAGAAGAGTCGAATGGTAGAAAATAGCGGCGGTTCTTCGTTTGTTCGTCCCTTGGCTTGGCGAATTTTTATACCATTCAGAAGAGTAAGAACAGTCAGAAGGTCGAGCGAGGTTTACCTTCTTCAGCTTGACCTTTTCGAGTCCTTCATCCTTGGTGCACTTCTTTGCTTGGCGCTGCAGTTGCTTCGTCGTAAACTAAAGGAGTAAAGGGCAGGGGTTGAAATGAAAATAAGGAATGGACGACGTGTCAACATCCGTGTGGCTGTTTCGAGAACGTCATGTGCGAACTCCCATCGTTTGCTGCGTCTCGTTGCTGCCTTTTTCCTCCTGTCTGTCTTGCTGTGAGTGTTGTGTGAGTTGACGGGTAGTTGTTATTTTGTTATCCTGAGAGTGAGTAAGCAAACGCCCTTTCTTTCCTCCTGTTGACGTACTTTGAGCTGGAACAGACTTTCTATTGCAGCAGAAGAAGAAAAGGTCAAAAGTGTGAGAGAGAAGTACTTTACAAGTGAATGAAGTGTCCTTGTTGTAAGAAGTGATCAGGCTGTTGTGAACGTACTCTCGAGGTTGCTCATGGTTTGAATGTGTGTGTGGGGGGTAGTGGGAGAGTGCGGTAGGAAGAAGGGGGTGTGAAAAGAAGAAGGAAGAAAGAAGGGACAAGAAGGAACCGTTGGAAGGTCAAGAAGGAGGGAGAGGAGTAGAAAGAACAAGGTTGGCTGGAGCTGACTTTTCTTCTTCTTGACCCCTATACGTCTGTTACGTGCCACAAGAACAGAACGGAAAAGTGACGCAAAGCCACGGTGATTGAATGCGAATGCGGTCACCTCTTACTTTTCAAGTATGGGCTGTGGCATGCTCCCTTTTGCTAGCTTACCTACTTCCATCCACAAGACACACCCTCAACCCCATACGAACGATCCATTGGAGACAAGCAAGTGCAAGCATTTGTTTATTATTGAGTTGTAAAGTAAATAAAAGGAGGAGGATCAGAATCTGTGTGTGTCTGTCTTCATGTTTTGTACAGAAGTACCTGAGATAACATCATATCCTTCATTCTTCTCTTTCCTCTCTCCTCCAAAACACTCTCCTTCGTCCTCTCCCCGATCCAATTGCCCTACTGTAAAAAGTCTTTTGTCGCGTATTCCCTCCACACCCCTCGCACACTGGTATCTTCTCGTCCTGTTCGCCCACACAAAGAAAAAGAGATAATCAATGGATCGTTGTAGAAGATGTCTGGCGGTTAAGCAGCACTTCCTTGTTACATGAAGACAAGTACATGAGGGTTTACACCTGTCTTCCAAAGAAGTGCTCGAAACCAGAACTCAGACTAGACTATCAGTCAAAACAACAACAACTACCGCTTGAAGATCTATTATTTTTTTCCCTTGAGGACGAAAGGAATGAGGAGAACCATAGCATAGGGGCACAAAACTCTCAACTGTGAAAGAAGGTGTGTGTGTTTGTGTTTAGGGCTCAACAAAAGAGGGTTTCTACTAGAGAACGATTAAGAACGAAGGGGAAGAGTGAGATGTTGGATGGAAGTTGGAAGTTGGAAAGAAAAGGTATGATGATACGATTTCCCTCTCTCATTCTGTTTTCAAGTGGGTCGAATCTACCTGAATCGTAAGTCTTAGCAAATGTGATTGGTTGGTGTTTTATTCTACGGCATTGTCATGCATGTATTCATGGACACACCGCTGGAGAAGGGAGTAAAAGAGTACAAGGGGAGAAAAAAAAAAAAAAAAAAAAATAAGAAGAAGAATAGCAAGCATTACGGCGAAAAACGATAGCAAAATGGAAAAAAAAATGACACAAAGTAAAAAAAAACAGGAGTAGGAATGGTACACAGAGATCAACTCTATCCCCACCTCTCTCTCTTCGTCCTCTTCTCTCTCTCCTCTAGCTTGCCAATTGAAAGGCAAGCTTCAATCATAACCATATCGCTATACTTTGGGCTGCATGCACAGCTTGCGCCCCCTGAACAGACTCAAGTGTAACCGTGTCTTTGATCCATTCGTCCTCTGCAGCACAATCTATCGTAGTACATATCGACACATGAACATGTTAGTCCATATGGGTTGTCTTGTCAAATGCCATGTCTTTCTAACGATCAATGAATGCCAAGGTTACATACCCAATCGCTTTCGAGAGCGACGTATTTGGCATTGTACTTGCCGATAGAGGCATCCAGAACCACAACCGCATCATTGGGTTTGTACCAGATACCGTCTACCATACACCGACTGCCATCCACATAAATCTCCACATCACTCCGTCCTCCTATTTCACATAAAAGTAGGTGTAAAAGTGTTGGTGTTTTGCATTAAAGTAAGGCTGTTGCGGATCAAATTCAGATATCAAGTTAAACGAACCATAATATGTTCCTGTAGGTGGCATGTTGGGCGGAGGTAGAGGCGGATAGTCATTCACACTTGGCCATCGGCTATTCGAGCCATACCTTGATGATGACGATGCTCCTGCTGAAATGGGTATCGATGGAGGCAATGGCCCTCCGTGTCTTTGTTGATGATGTTGTTGATGGTGTTGGTGTTGATGATGATGTTGCAACTGTGGATCTACACCAGCGGGTTTTGGCTGTGGGAGTAGCCTCGCGAGCTATTTTGTTCAACGGTATAATAGGTTAATTAGCAGCAGTGAATATGATCCAGTCGTATAAATCTGCCCGATATCGTCTAACACCATGAGATACTTACGCCCATGAGTGCAAAGTCGTCCTGGAGTTCTGCTTGGGTTACCGTCGATAATTTGCCACTCGTAGGGAAACCACGCTTTTCGCTGATCGACTTGAGTTCATTCACTTCTGCTCGCTTGTGTTTCCGGGCTCGCAGCAAAACTGCCTTGTCAGGAGTAGCAGTCGTAACTATGCCCACCGCAACAAAGAGGAATGGAAGGTCAGCTTTTGTACAAAAGTAAGGACATTACAAACAGAAGCATCCAAAACAGGCTCTTACGTTTCCTCTTGCGGGCATCGAATGATAGGTTGAACTCGAGGTTGATTTGTCGTCGCTTCTTGCCCATGTCATTGACCATCTGGGTTCGGGTATTACGCCTTGCGGACTATGAAAAAAATATGACAAGATAGAAGAAAGAACATTGTCATCAGCCTACAGTGCCTCCGCTCATCATCTCAAGGCTTGGAAACAAGTCGACGGACGAAAACGGAATGCATATAAGAGTCCTTCTTGGTCGTTGCTTACCTGGAAAGTGCAATGGGCCTGGTATACAGTTACATCGTGAGCGTTTTGTGCAATTTCTGTCTTATGCTTCCTGCCCATGTCTGCAATGTGTAGCCGATGTTCACGCTTCTGTTCAATCTCCTGCATCAACGACGACAGCTCTGGGTGTGTGCCTATTGCAGCATTGAATTGAAACACATATTTTTAGTTAATAATTGTCGGATAAATAAATAAGGACAACCAGATACCCGAATTGCATAAAGTAACGACTTGCCATCGTTGATCATCTCCACCTCTCTGTCGAGTTCGGTCATGCGCTCCTCGTACATCCTATGTAGTTGGAAGTACCAATGTCGGAGAACTGTAAGTCATAGTAGTGATGGGTCCCGAACTTTGCAAGTAACAACAGGGTACCGTTTGTTCCTGACACGTACTTGTCCCGAAGGCTTGCAAACTCGATCTCTATACTCGTCAAAGCGTCCAATGCGTCCTTGTGAAGTTGCTTCATCTCGTGGTCTATCTCATCAACAAAGTACAAGTATTTCAGAGTTAGTTACCAAATGCTATGTACAAGAGTATGACATATTCCTTCTAATGCATGTTCTGAATCGTATTACCTTCTTCTCCTTCTTCGTCTTCCTCTTTTGTTGTCTTCTCGGCTTCCTCTTCTTCCTCCGCCACTTCTGATTCCGACTCCTTGTCCGACGGCTGAGTATCTTCCACTTCAGAGACACGTCTCTTCCGGCTGCCAGGTTCTGAAAGTCGTGCGCGTCCACTAGGGATAGGGATCTCGACCTGATCCTCCTGTTCCGACTTGATCGATTCATCCTCTGGTTTCATTGGTTCCACAGTGGCTTCATGGAGAGAACGCTTGCGACCTCCTAACGTAGGTTTGAGTGTTGTTGTTGGCGCTGCTGGTCCTGTGGTAGACGCCGCTGTTGATCCTGTTGGTGCTGTCGCTGCTGTTGGTGATGCCGGTGGAGCACTAACAGGAGCCTCCTTGACGGCGGGCTTGGGCTCAGGTATATCATCATCCTCGTCGGAGTCATCCGTGTCATCGAATTCCGACAGATCCGACAGCTCGTCTCCACTGTCCTTGAGTTCCTCCTCTGTGATTGATGGGCGATGAAGCGTTGGCTTTTGAGAGAGAACGGTATCCTTCTTGACTGGCGGCTTGATCTCTTCCTCCTCTTCGTCGTCATCGTCATCTGCATCCTCGCCATCTGCGTCCCCCTCGTCATCGTCGTCGTCATCGTCGTCCTGGTCGTTATCGCTTGCATCCAGATCTCCAAGATCACTGTCAGAGTCCTCTGATTGAAGGGCCTCGTCCCGTTCATCCTGATCCATCTCATCATCCGAGTCCGGCTCCTCTGACTTTGCGGTATCGGCATGTGACGTGGCTCCGGGAGTCTGTGCATCCGAGTAATGATTGGTCTTGTCTGTGGAATCGAGTAGAGGGCCATCGAGGTCATCATCGTCATCATCATCATCGCTAAAGTCGTCATCTCCGTTCCCAACCTCGGTGTCCTCGGTGTCCTGATCAAGGTCATCATAATCATCCAGGGCACCATCCAAGAGACCGCCATCGAGATCTTCCTGATCGATGCCCTCAGGAATGCCTGAAGGCAACTCGCGTGGCTTGACAATCGGAGCTGGGTCAGCCATGGGTGTATCCTCCTCGATCACATCGGTTGTAATGGGTGAAGCTTCTTTCATGTCCTCGTCCCCGTCCTGATCAGCAGTCGGTTGTGTGGTAGCAGAGTCCTTTGAATCATCCACAGACCCCTCAGAGTCCGCGGCAGATGCGACTGAGGAATCCTTGGCCTGATCGGTTTGCTGCTTGCAGGAAGCCTCCAATGACGGATCCTCTGTGCTGACGACCGTGGCGGTGGCTACGATTGGGGTCTTTTCCTTGCCGTTTGCCTTCATGGTTGTTTGTGTTGTTGATGCTGTTGCTCCGGCAGCAGGGGTTGATATCGTATTGGAACCTGATTTCTCTGTCCTGAGGGAATCGGGCATAGCTTTCTTCGTTGTCCGGTGTTGTGTCGTGTCCGTGTCTCTTGAACCGGGTTCGCTTGCAAAAAAAGGAAGGGAGAGACGAGTGCAATGAGTAGAGGGGGAACGCGACTACAATACAAGTGTTGGTACGGTTCTATGAAGTTGAAAAGGCAAAGGTGTTTTTTAGTAATGAGTTGAATCAAGTTGAGTTATGGAATCAGCTTTGGGGCGGACCTATGGGGACCTGTGAGAGTCGCGGTTTGTGAAGGGCGGTTTTATGAGGTACTCCAGGTCCAGAAGAGGGAGACTTACCGTCCAAGGGCAGTAAGAGAGATGAGAGTTGTTGAGTACAGAAGAGTAGTCTGGCGGCGAAGGTAGGTGGGGTGAGTGAATGAGGACAGAGTGGAGTGAAGTTTGTGTGGGTGTGAGTGGTATGGTAAGAAAAGAAGAGAAGAGAGTGGGTGGGAAGAAGACGGTCAAGTAAAAATGAAAGGACAAATGAGAGGGAGGGAGGGAGGGACAAGCACCCTTTTCAATTAGAAAAGATAGAACCCGGTTTTGAACACAAACATAGCAGATGCTGCATTATTTGATCCTGGGAATATACTGTGGTGCATTCTCTCTGCTGCTCTAGCGCCGTTCTTTCAATGATAGTGTCTATTCACCTATTAATTGCTTGGCGCATCCACCTGTGGTTCGACTGGCCATGCATCTTATTCACCATCGACAGCCTGAAATACAGACAGACAGACAGGCGACAGTAAAGTAGGGCTCCACCTCTTCAATCTGAACCATACCTTATTTCTGTGACTGACAAGTAGAATGCAGCAGCGACCAAGCCACCCGACAAAACAAATCTTTGCCTTTGGCACTCTCAAAAAAAAAAAAAAAAAAAAAAAGGAAAGGGTGCCGAACAAACAAACAACACCGCCGCACAACACCATACTTCCCTTTTACTCCCCTCTCGCCCCTTTCTAACATCCCTTTCCTCATTGAACAAACAGACATACACACATAACAATGTCTTTGACCTCTGCACTGCTCAAGGGCAAGACCGTCGAAAGCTCCCTCGACTCGCTCTTCAAGAACTCTGTATGCCTTCCTTTTCACCTTTCTTTGCCTCTTTGCACTGATAAATACCACAACATCATACCTGTCATAACTGACAACAGACTTACCCTTGAATACACGCTATGCCCTTCGACCCATAGGCTGGACCCACTAAACCTCAGGCACCAATTGCTGCCAAGGTGCGCCAACCATATCCCGAAGACTTGACCGATCAGCCCAAGAAGAAGACAAAGACCCCTAAGCCTAAAGTCCAGCACGTCTCCAAGAAGAACAAGAACGACGCCGCTGCACAGGAGGAATCCAACAACAACGACAACGACAACGGTTTCGAGGATGACGAGGACGAGGAAGAAGAAAACAGTAATAAGAAAAAGTCAGGAAAGAAGAGCGTCGAGGAGAAATACGAGGCCAAGGTCGCTGCCACAACAACAAAGCCCGTCAAGGAGTCCAAAAAGGCCAGGAACGCACCCAAGGAGACCAAGGACCTGATCGAACAACAGTCCAAGCACGAATACGGCGAGGATGTCGACATGGAAGAGTCCAAGATCGAGGATCTCGTCCACGAGTCTTTGAAGAAGCCCGTCAACAACAAGCGCAAGGCAGAGACCGAGACTAAGGAAGCCGCAGCATCAACAAAGAAGGTCAAGAAGGACAAGAAGGCTTCATCAACGACAGACGGAGGCGATTCGGACGACGAGGATACTTCACCCGACACCAACAAGGATGGCACCAAAAAGTCGGACGACCCCGAGAGACAGGCCAGGACAGCATTCGTTGGCAACTTGGCAGTTACCTCGATGACCAAGGGAGACTTCAAGAAGCTCAAAGCTGCCTTTGCTGCCTTCGGACCCGTCGAGTCGATCCGTTTCCGTTCGATCGCCTTCGCAGAGTTGCTGCCCCGTAAGATCGCTTTTATCACTGGAAAGTTGCACCCCGAGCGTGATGTCTTGAACGCCTATATTGTCTTCAAGAGCAAGGCATCTGTCCCTAAGGCTGTTGCCGCCATGAACGGCCAGCTTTTCTTGAATAAGCACATCCGTGTCGACACCGTCGATGGTGCCAAGGTTAGTCCCCCTTTTCTCACTTTGCCACTCTCTTGTCTTTATGTGTTTGATATCACTTTCTTTTACTTCAAGCCATGCTTGTCTTCTTGCCTGCATTGTCGCTCTACTTTGTCTAATCGATATTTGTTCATGTGCGTGTTTTTTTTACACTCTCTCGTGTTTTTTACCTCCTGCTAACCACAATACCCATTTGACAAATCGATGAAATTAGAAACATCAACCCAAGAAGAGCGTGTTCGTTGGAAACTTGGCATTCGATGCACAGGAGGAGGATCTCTGGGAGTTTTTCAAGGACTCGGGAGACATTGAGAACGTTCGCATTATCCGCGACCGCAAGACCAACCTCGGCAAGGGCTTCGCCTATGTCACCTTCCAGGACCGCGCCTCGGTGGATGTGGCTCTGAGACTTCATGATACCAAGATGGGCACGCGCAAGATGCGTGTGGTCCGCTGCAAGCGTTTGGAGGAGGAGGCCAAAACGGACGGTACTCAGGCCCGCACCAAGACTGGTGTTACCGGTGCCGGTGGCAAGAGGGGCAAGGATGGCAAGCCTGCGAGAGCACAGCATGCGCCTATTGCGATGGACGGAGCTGCTAAGCGTCTGGCGTTCAAGGACCGCAAGACCAAGGAGAAGCATATCTTGATAAAGAAGAAGGTTGGCGGTGTTGTTGAAGGAGAGCGTGCGCAGAAGGGGGCCAAGGTTGATCTGGGGATCAAGAAGGGCAAGTCTAAGGTCAAGGCCAATATCCCCAAGAAGAAGGTCGTCAAGAAGTAGATAGTTGACATCCTTATTCACAAAAACCCTTTGCATTTCTTTGTTCTTTTTTACACGCGCATAAACACTAACATTTATTACTAAACTTGGCATCACACATCATCTTGCATTCCTACTGTAAAGCCCCTTTATTACTTGTCCGGGTGCATGTCACTTCTTTTTCTCTCTTCCTCACTTTTTCTGTCCATTCATTCACGACACCTTTTTCGTACCATTGCAGTGTGCGCCTAATGCTCACTGTCAGTCCTCATGTCATCACCCAAGCAGAAAACCGCGACTGTCGTTCCTCCTGCAGCTGAAGGAGGAGTTGTCCCCCAGTCAAGCACAACAACCCCAACTACGACTGCGAATGCTACCCGCAACACCAGCAACGCCAGTTCTAACGAGAAGGATAAGGCTGCTTCTAGTGAGGCTTCAACAGCAGCGAGCACAAACACAAGCACACAACCAGCTCCGACACCGACACCATCGCCACTACCATCATCGTCCTTTTCAAGCACCAAAAAGCCGAGCTCTAAGGAGGCTGACCAGTATCGTATGTCCATCGTTGATCAATCGTTTGATCAGTTGTCTCACAGATAACTTTAAGCCTTCATAACGCTCTGGTTTTGATGACTATCAGTTATTAATGCATTTACCATACTCCTCGCTTTGACGATGATGATGATAGCCCATCATGTCATCTTTGTCATCCATGGGATGGGTCGGCAACTGGAAGAATTCGGAAATTATGAACGCAACGGTGAGTGCTCTCTTTCAGCATCTGTCTGTCTGTGCGTGTGTTTGCATTTTGTTGCCTATAATCTAACACTGTGCATAAACACCTAATAGTGGGATACTTGGTCGAGAACACAAAGACGGTGCTGCAGAGCCAGTTCCATGACCTCAAGACAGATGTCCACATCATCCCCATCGAGTGGCACGCCAAACTTCATAACATGGTCGATCAACGCATGTCCCTCACCTCCCTCAGAACCGTTCCCAAAGGTATCGATCGATTTGACACGAACGCATGTCAGCATTTGTGGAGAAGGAATGAAACCCCAATATTCGTCATATATACGATACTGATTGCTCATTCTTGATATCAAATTTTTTTTAGTGCGATTGGTCATGAACGACTACTTTGCCGATATCCTCTACTGTAAGCACTTCGTCATCACAATGAACTCCTCTTGGTGTTATGCAGCTCAAAACCACATGTTGAAACTAACTTGCACGCGTACGCTGTACACTAGATTTCAATAACTATTACGGCGCTGAGATTGTGCGGATGATTGTGGAAGAGTTGAACGAGGCGTACTCGACATTTATTGCCAAGCATCCAGATTTCAATGGCAAGATCGCAGTCTATGCGTTGTCTCTTGGAGGAGTCGCCATCTTTGATATCTTGACATGCATGGATGATGATGACCCTGAGGATCCTAATGACGCAACTACTGCAACCACAACTGAGGCAGCGACAGCAAAGGATGCGACACCTAGTGCAGATAATGCGAGTGAGGATGCCAAGCAGGCGGAGCCGGCGACCAAAGCAACAAAGAGTACAGAGAGCCCTGCAAGAAAACGGATCAGGAAGCAGGATCAGCCAAAGTACCGGTCTGTTATTCCCAAACTCAAGTTCAGACCGGACTTTCTCTTCACCGTCGGCTCTCCCGTCGGTAAGCTTTCTGTCCATCACACGTTCATATCAAGCACTAATGCATGCAGATACTCAATTAACTCTCAATTTCCTTTCCTGTGGACCACGCATACTAGGCGCGGTGATGGTGATGCGGAACTTGGATTGGGAAACATTCCACCCACCAGAGGACATCATCCACCACAACCTCTTCCACCCCTTCGACCCGCTTGCCTACAGAATCGAGCCCCTCATCGACCCCATCTTTGCAGCCATCCCGGCCGTGACGCTCATATCTACAGGCAACTCACAACTGTTTCCAATCTCGTTGCCGTCGTTAGCTTCGTTGCCAGGGATGATTCCGGGTACGATATCGTCGTTTCTGGAAAATAGGGTGCCGAATTTGCCGATCCCTTCTATCCCAACGGCCGTGCAGTCAACGCTTTCGCAGATGACACAGTCGCTCAAAGCGGGGCGGTGGCTTGTTGGAGGCGGAGGTGGGATGGAGAGGGGGAGTGGGGCTGGTACGCCGACCGGAGCAGGCATAAGACAGGGGATCACAACAGATACAGGATCAGTCGCGAACGACAGTGGTAACGAAAGTCCTGGCGAGGATGCGGCGCCTGCAAAGGGCCAGAAGAGAACAAGCCTACTCTCTCATAGGACGGATGCAGGTGTATCAGTAACAGAAGCCATTGCGGCTGCGACGGCTGCGACTTATCTAGACCATCGGGATCGTGGACCTTCATCATTGACTCCCAATCCGACCCCTGGTGCTGTAGGATTGTCAACTTTGATTGATGGCGGAATCAGTACCACAACAGGGTCGCCGAGTGTGGTTATGAGTCCTGTAAGGAGACCGAGTCTCGGGCCACGGAGGATCAGTAGCCGAGTCGAGGGTGAGACTGTTGAAGAGAAGGGAGCGACAGAATCCTTCCGCAAAGCTTTACCAACTCCAGGAGAGGCAGATGAACAACTTCCATCAACGAGTCAGGCATCAGCACCAGGATCCGGATTTGATGAAGTACCACCTCCACTGCACATGGAATACTACCTGGGCATGGAGGAGGGACCTTCGACTACGGAGAAGGAGCAAGGGGAGGGTGCGAAATCGAGGGTTGTACAGGAAGAGATGGTGCGCTCAGTCCTATCGTCGCCTATCCGGGACACACACGCCAATCAAGAACATTTCTCGAGTCTAGACGCCATTACCATGGCAAATGCAGGAGCAAAGGAAGCCGAGAAGAAAGGTCTGGACGACATCCATGCTGCACATGAGGCTGCCGAGGCTGCAAAGCTGGATGGTGGAATTAAAAGCAAGAAGGCGACTATTGTAGATGACACTGAAGGATCCGATCACAAGGACAAGGGCAAGGACAGCAACGACAAGAAGAAACAAAATGAGAGCGAGCCTGTCGTCAAGGTGGATGATATTGGAACTGGACGTGGTCCTCTCCATGTTGGTGGACGAGAGACCAAGGTCCCTTATCGGATTGACCATGTCCTTCAGGAGACGCGTGTGGACCAGTACACCAATGAATACCTCCTTGGCATGCGCAGTCATTTCCGCTACTGGGGCAACCGGTAACAATTCGTTCTCGCGTGCTCTGAACAACGTGTCGAAGGTGTATATGGAAAGGTCTGATGATAATCTTTCCCTTGAACCTACTAGGGATATCGCATACCACATATTGAAAACCATTCTTCAGCAGGAGGGTAGTTTGGAAGGCGAGGTCTTGAACCTAAAACCTGAAATGCCACGACCCGTCTCGGCCCCCAAGAACGCCAAAGAGGTCGCAGAAGCCAAAGCCAAAGCCAACGCCGCATCCTATCACGCCGACCAACAGCAACAGCAGCAAGATCGAAAGTCGTTCTCGTTTTCGTCGCTCAACCCGTTTTCTGGGTTGGACCAGAGTGACGGTGAGGATTCTACTCTTGGCGGTAGCGCGTATTCACGCGGAGCAGGAGATGGTAGAAGCGGGTACTACATGAGTGGCAGTCGGGATGGCGGTGGACGGTATGGCGATGAGGAAGAGTTGTATGGGTACCGGTACTCAGATCTGGATTTGAGCAGCGCGGGGAATGTTGGGTTCAATAACAACACCTTGTTTCAGAACTCGCCCTTTTCCAAGAGCGCTGGCAGCTTTCCTAGTATTGGTGGCGGCAGTGGCAGTGGGAAAGGAGCAGGTGCGAGGTATCGAGTACCGTCGTCAAACTACCCACCAGGTACCTCTTCAGCAATCCAGCACCAACAGCGGGAACAGGATAGGAGGAGGAGCGGTGGAACGTCGTCGACTTTTGGCGTTGGTCAAGGTCTTAGTCACGCGCATCCCCAACACCAACACCAACACCAACACAACCAACACCAACAACAACGGCAGCAAGGAGAAGGTTCGCCGCCATCGGTGTCGGAGGAGGACATATTTGTGCCGAACCTGACACTGCCTCCATTATTGCACCACCCGTCCTCCCGGCTTGATGACAAACGGGAGAGATAATCGATTTTGAACAAGTAAAGTGAGGGAGTGGAACAGACGGAGGTGTCTGTAATAAACATACCATCGATAACAACAACTGCACGTACAAATAGCAAACAAACAAGCGATTAACAACAAAAACCTTCACCCATGGGCAAGATTTTGTTTTTTGGTTGTTTGTTGTCTGCTGTTTGCTGGTAAGACCACTACTCTTAGTCCCAGTGTTCAATTGCCTTCGTTCTCTCCTTTCCCATTAGCAATTCACACGGGCAATTGTTGTCGTACTGTTGTTCGGCATCCCCGAATTGATCACATATCCACACGTTGTCCAAGTATGTCTTTCAAAGTGCGTGTTGTGCCCTTCTCCCTCTCGCGTCTCGCCTACAATGTCTGTCACTTGCATGATTTTTTTCTGGGTCCGTTGTCCTCTGTACTCTTCCTGACAACAACCTCCCTTTTATTTCGATTTCTCCTCGGAATTGACGATCTCTGTTTGTCTATGAGAGGCAGACGTAAGAGCAACGAAAAAGGGAGATAAAACAAAGAGCAGCAGAGCAATTGGCGACTGTATTCTACTCTTCTAACCTCACCTCTATCCACTTACTTACCCACTCACGAGCACTCATTCACTCACCCGCCAACAAGCAGGGAGCGCGAAGGAAAAAGGGAGCAAGGGAGTGAAAAGGGAGCTGTGTTTAGATCTCGCTACTGTTCTCGTAAACTGTTCTATTCCTCAATTTGTCGCTTTCCTAGGATGCAAACGAGGGGGATAAAGATTGAAGAGTCGCTCGAGGAAGCACAAAGGTGGATGGATGCAATGGGTTATCTCTTGTTTTTTCACACACACAAGCGTGCACACACGAGGACATGAGACATGGGTACTAGTTTTACTTGCATACTCTTCAATAGTATAGATAGGAAGACGGCGAGAAAGTAAGGTCGAGATCGCCACTGTTTTCGCATCTCTCCTTCTTCTTCCTGTCCTTACACCATGGTGCAGATTCGCGCACAAACAAACACGCACGTATGGAGGGATATGAGTTGCGCATGGTCGCATTGTTGTTGTTGTGGTTGTCATTGTTGTTTGTAGTCGCAAAAAAAAGCGTGGGTTCATACAAATCCATCTTGCCTTGTGGTGTTTTGTACTTTGTTTGCTTTTTTTGTTTTTAGCATGGTTTATTTTCGGTCGATGGTACACGTTTGTGTCTTCGTCTTCTTCTTCTCTACTCTTTCGCTGGCACTCCTGAATCTTGTATGCCGGCCTTGCATGGCCCATGTAGCTTCTTTGTGTATTGTGTTTTGCATGATGAATGGGTGGGTAACAAGGGAGAGAAGAGAAGGTGCGAAGGGGTCAATTGCAATAAAATATACAGTGGCAAAAACAAGGCCAAGCGTGGTGCGTGCATATTTTATACTCCTTCAAGCACCTTCATTCCAACGCGTGTGAACTGTCTTTCATCGGCACCATCGGGTAAAAACTAAAGAAAGCAGAAACCAATACACTAAGAAGTGAGGTAAGAGCGCGGTCCTCAACTGAGATGTGAACCAAGAATGGAAGGATATGAGAGCACTTTGGTTTGTTCCCCTTTCTTCTTGCTCATGTTCTCTTTTCTATTCTAATCGCCGTGGGTGAATAGCATGCAAGGGTGTTGTCGTTGTTGTTATTGTGGTTGCAGGCTGCTGGATGTTGGATATTGTTTTTGTTTTTGGTTGTTCACTTTGCTCCCTACTTTGTGAGCTATCTAATGCACACCATGTTTGTTTTTCCTTTTTTTACTCACATACCCACATCCTACATACACAAAACAAGCGAGCAACAACGACTCTATCCGTCCCCTTGTTTTCTCTTTTCTCTCTCTACCTTTTCCAATAGAAAACCATTTCTTTTTTGTTTACTCTTACCTTCCTTATCCTTCCCTTGGCCCCTCTTTCCTTCTCCTCTTGCCCGTGTGCGTGTGTAAGTATGAACAACAGCAGGTCCAAGTGGCTCTGGGCCACTTCATTCACTTCAAATAGCCTGCTCTCTTGTCCATTGCTGTTGTTGCTACTGTTGTTGTCATGTCGATGTTACCTTGCAATCGACGCTAGCATCGGCATAATTCGAAGAGTAAACATCGATCTCCTTCAATGGTCGATGTTAAAAAGGTTGTTTACCCTCCCTTTTGAAATTTGAACACTTAAACCTTTTTTTTCTTTTCTTTTCTCCCGCGCTACTTTACTTTCCTTCTCTTCACTTTACTTTCTTCTCTTCACTCAACTTCTCTCTTCCCTCTTTCTTCTCCTTTCAACTTCTCTCCTCTCTCTTTCACTGTCATTTAATCTCACTCCTTCAACTCACGTTCCCTCTCGCACCTCACACAGTCATCCTCTCCTGTCTCTTCTTCTCCCTCCCTCTCTTCACCCCAATTACCCTCTCCACAACACAAACGCTCAGATGCCCGCGTCCAGCGGTCACTCCGATGGTTATCACAACCACAATCACCAACAATACCCACTTCCAACTGCCGAAGAAGAAGAATTCGCCAGAAAAGAGGTCCTCCTCCGACAACCGGGTCTCCTCCAGGAGATGCATCTCGTCACCCAGAAACGTATATCTCTCCAACGGAAACCCTCTACCAATCCCTCGGGTCCAGGGGCGCTCGGCACAACCCTCCCTTCCCTCTTTGTCATCCTCCCCACTGTGGCCACCACTCCTCCGAGCCATGTAGATAACTATAACCATTTCTACAACAACATCATTCGTGTCGACCGCGACCGCCTTGATTTCAGGCTGCATTTTGTCTGTCATTACGGTGAAGACGATCAAGTAGAAGGATGCTGTGAACTAGAAGGAGAGGGACAGGATAGGACACTGCCGTCTTCGCCTCGGCTACATATCTGTGAGGACGACTCGCATGGTTATGCCATCCAGGACACTTGGTCGTTTTGCGAAGAGTACAAGATCTCCCTCCTCTCCCTCCTCCACGCCGCCCACGCCTCTTGTTCACCATCTCATATCCAACAGCGGTATAAGGACCAGTTCGTCCATTACAACCTGCGTCATCATCATCTCTGGGAGGAGGTAGGAGGTGGTACGAATGGCACGGCAGCAGCGGCAGCAGCAGTCGCATCCTTGCACCTTGCATCCTCTCTGCCTTCGCCTCCTCTCTCGCCTGCGGGCTCGATCATCGACAGGATCGAGATTGCGATCCTCTACCTCCTTCGTTACCACTTCTCGGAGCAGGACCTGCAGGAAATCAGTCTTGAGAACGCGGAGGACGACTATGATGCCGACTCGTTGACACAGATGCAGCTTTCGGATATTGCCTACTCGGACAAGGAGCGTGTCGTGGCAACCATGTCGACTGACGGCAGGATCCTCGGACCCTTGAGGCAGAAAAATGGATATCACTATACTACCGTCAACAACGACAACAACAATGGGACAACAGCCATGGATATGGGTGACGATGCAACACCTAACGGCACAACTTCAACTGCCCACACAGGACCTGTTCAATGGCTCTGCCCTACCCACATCAACTGCCCAGCTGACACTTGGGACTTGTTCCGGAGTCTCTGCCACCCTGACCCGACCGACACAACGACGGCAAACAGCATCGACTGCTGTGTCGAGACAGACCGTGCAATTGAGGTTTCGTTCAGACAAAGGGAGCATGCACAGCGGTTCTATGGCGCCCTTCGGTCAAAGAAGTGTGTCGTCAAGCTCCGGATCCATTTCGAGTGGGAGGATCTCAGTAACCAGGACCTAGCCGAGTTTGCGACTGCAGTCCGGGAAGCCAACTTGAGCGATGTGACCCTAGACTGTTGCTGTTGCCCAGAGGGAGGACCTGACACCGGCGCAGTACCAGTGACAACAACGACAACATCAACTGCTGGTCGGTCAGGATCTGGCGTTGCCTCGGCAGCAGCTACAGGAACCAACACGTCTCGTCGGCAGAGTCAACATGACCCCTCTTCATCAACATCCTCCCGACAACACGAATACCATCATCAACAACATCTTCGACATGGATTGAGCTTTGCGCCTCTTTTGGGTATCCTCTATAGCCCCTTTTTGGTCTCGTTCACGCTCGAAAACTTTGCAGGATATTTCCCGACTCTCCGGGACAGCAACTTCAACGTCCATAATCATCAGGAGTACTCTTTTAACGACTATCAACGCGAGCTGTTCAACGCCAACTACCAGCTCGGGACTGACACTCAACTTCGTCTGCCCTTCACCAACTCGCTCCATGTCTTGGTCTTCAGTCGGTGCAGTCAGACAGCATACGCCCGAGAGATTTCATCCATGTTGCTGCATTCGCCCAACCTGACCGAGCTGCAGATCGAGTGCGACAATATCGACTCTGTCCTGCCAGCGGTCGCGGATGCTACACAGCAGTTTCGCCAGGTGTTGTTCTTGAAGCTGAGCGAGTCCTCGTGGGAGAGTGTCGAGATTACGTTCAAACGGTTACCAGTAAAATCGATCTCGGACATGGATGTTGACGAGAGCGGCAATGAGGACAGTGGGGAGATGGAGCAACAGTCAGACTCGGATCCCAAGGTCGTCGACCTTATCCTTCAGCAAGAGCAACAAGAACAACGACAACAAGAACAACGGCAACAAAAGAAGTCTCGGTCAAAAGCTCGAAATCGTCCATCCTCGTCACCCTTCCCAGCGGTCAACGACGTGCAAATGAAGCTTTACAACTCTTTCAAGAAATGGCAGCCCATTAGCGAACTCGCCCGCAAGACCCGTCGTCCTCCTTGCCCGATCCTCCAGATGTGCGGCGCCATCGAGAACCTGACGACATATTGCTATCTCCGTCTCTGGGAGGATCACCAGGAAGCGTTTGGACGACTGTTGGAGTACAACCCACGGCTTCAAGGGCTGGAGCTGATGTGTGAGACGCCTTCGATTCCACACCTGTGGCGGTTCCTTGTCGCGCGCCATTCCGCTTCCCAAAGCAGTCTCCCACCGGAAGAGCAGTCCTTCTTGAAGTTGCGGGTCAACGATGAGGACTGTAGCTTGATGGCTGTTACGCGGAACATCAATGTCTTGGTCTTGCACTCGTACTCTTTTGACCACCGGGAACCCCATCGGGAGTTGTTGAGGTCATTGGGGGATATCACGCCGGTGCTTTGTTTCGGATCCAACTTCCAGGACGCTGGCCAGATGGAGCTATTGAAGGAGCACCTGGAGGTGGATGGACTCATGTTCACAAACGTGACCTGGGTCCTAGGCAGGCGCATACCCTCGGACGCGTTCTTAAAGTCTCTGAGGCAGATCCTGACGACGGCCAGTCAACGGGACCAATTGGAGTGGTTCACGATCCGGGTGTATGCTCCGTTGTTGAAGGTGCCCGATCTGATCAGCTTGTGGAACGCGGTTGTTGCAGAAGCGCCCCTGAATGAAGCTGAACATGGTACCTGGATCCGGAGAACTCTAGGACTCGAGCTGCCTCTTTCTGCTCCACCTGATCAGAATGGATCAACACTAGTCCCAGTAACAGGAGTACCCTCTTCAACAGTGATTATAACCCAGGAGGAAATGACGGCGGTCTCTGTCAAGGAAATCCAAGACCGGGCCTCAGGCCTGAACCGCGGCTCATCCTCTTACCCATCCTCGTCCCCGACTACCACCAGTACTCCCGCCCCCCAACGGCTACGATTCTACCCTTCCACCGACTCTTCCACACCCACATCTACAGGCGGAGGACCCACAGAACGGGAGACTGGCAAATCGAGCAATATGTTTCCTCTAGATAGTGAGCATACGTTGGTGTTGTCGTCCTCCCATCGCTTTTATTCATCGCTGTCGAGCTCTGGCTCTTCGGTGGCGAGCCCTCCTCACTCGGCCGAGACGCATTCCCTGTCACTGTTGAAGATCCGGCAGTCTGTTCCTGGACCCCCATGATAATATATTTCCTTTTTTTTCTTTTATGTTGTTTTTGTTTCGTTTTGTTTTCCTGATGCATATTAAAAAGACTTTTGGTGTTTTCAAACTGCCAAAAAAAAAAAAAAAAAACTGTCGCTTTAGTGACCATGATGAAAAAGAGACAGAGAATGAAAGAGGGGGAGCAATGAAAAATAATATGTGAAAGAGATAGTTCTCCATCGCGACACCCACAAACCGTCGAGCAACGTATCGCCTCTCGAAAACGAAGCTTGCTCAAGTGTGCACAACCCTTATATTTAGCCTTTCTCCTTAGTGTGGCCTGAAAGAAAAGAAAAAGCGGGCATTTAGGCGTGCCACTTCTCAATCAAAAGAATGACGAGAAACGTTAACGAATGGTATGTAAAAAGGTATGTTCAGACTACACTATTTTTTATTTTGACAATCGAAAAAAAACACCCAAAAGTGCCCTTTTCAACAATCCGAAATAGTTTAGTAGAAGGTCGAGGGGCGCGAGCCCATGAAGAGGGCACGGTGAGCCTTGTCGGCCGAGCGGATGACGCGGTGGGGCAAGGGGAACTTGATGCCGGGGACCAAGATCTGCTTGATGTAGGGGCGACGGACATCGGCGTTGGCAACCTCAGCGACGCGGATGATCTGGATCGAGCGGGAGCGGGCGCGGTGGCGGGAAGCCATGTCAGAGTAGCAGGCCTCGACGGCGGCGTTGCGGGACAACTCGCGGTACTCCTTGTACATGTTGTGGGTGCCGGAGCGGGAGTCGTAACGGATCCAGATACCGAAGTTCTTGATCTGAAGGGGCTTCTTCTCGTGGATCTTTTAGATAGTAGGCGCGATTAGTTAGAGAGGGAGATAACACGCGTTAGTTTCTGTTTCTTTCAACCAACAAAAGTATCATCCATCACAACATAACAACCAAGTTCAAAAAGAGAATAAAGAAAAGAGAAAAGTACCTCGTTGATGCCGACGATCTCACCGTTAACCTTCTTGACCTTCTTCAGCTTGCGCATGAAGTACCAGAAGCGGGACTTGGCAATGACCTCGTTGGTGGCAAAGAGGCGCATGCGGAAAAGCTTGGGGGTGGCATCCTTCTCGGTGGGGAGGTGGCGACCGACCAATTGGTACTCGTGAAGCTAAATGGTTGAAGGGAGTGAAGATAGGGTGGCGTTCCAGGTTAGGATTGTTTTTTGAGGGCTGAGGTGATAGGGGGAGAAGTGATGAAGTGAAATTGGTGGCGTAAAGATATCGTCGGTTCCTGATCCAGATATTCTGAATGATCGAAGATGCATGACTTCGCCTCTCCTGTCGTCGATAGCGATTGTTCCTGGCGAATGGACCCTCCTCCTCAATGGCCCCACCACCAGAGTACTAAGTCTGTCTGCCAGGTCAGGGTCAAGGCCCCGCCACATGGAGCAGTCCCGTCAGAGTCCAGACCAGGGCGAAGCAAACTCCTTCCTCCTTGCAGACAGCAGTCCTCCGTCCAATGACAGCACAACCACCGAGGCCACAACAAACAGCAACAGCAAGCGATCCAACCACAGAACAACCGTGCTCCTGCGTGTGCCTCCCTGACAAAAGACTTCCACCAAATACTGTTAAGTCTGCACGCAGTGCACGGTCTCCTCTCCGCTCTGGTTCCTGGCTTGTCCGAAAGGACGAAACAAACCACCAACAAGGCGATCTACCTCCTGGTGTGTTGATTGGGTGTTGAATCAGAGGTTCGCCATGCATCTCTTCGCCGTCCGTCCCTTTCAGAGATGATTCCGATCAGTTGGTGCAAGTTCCTGAAAAAATAGCCATTCATCGATATAGCTGTCCTGAGTATATGCTGATCCCAATAGTACATTGGTCGAGCATTGAGGCCAATGGATGGGTGGATCGATGGATGGGATCCATAGATGGATGTATCATGGTAAAGGCACGCACTCTGGACATGATTGAAAAGTCTTCTGTTGCAAAAAAGGAAGATTTCACACCCGCACAGGACCGTCTTCATTTTGTACTCTTTCTAAGGATTTTACACGTGACACGCCACATTAAAAAACGATGTCCTTTGCTCACTCATACTTTCACTGCTTCAAGGACCACGCTGCTGATGGCTAAGTATGCTTAGGATGTGGTTTGGTAGCTATTGAAGAGGGATGGCGACAAATCAGGCATGATGATTTTATTATTAACGGTGTGGTGCTGCATGGTATTAAAAGATCAAAAGGAGAGGTAAAGAGAAAAGAACGAAGTTCTATGGTATGGGTATGTCGTGTTTTTGTTGCTTCGTGAAAAGAGTAAATGAAAGATGGTGCTTTTTTTGTATGTGTTTTTTGGTGTTAATGTGTCGTTGCTCGTTAAGAAAAGAGTATCGCTTGAGTTTCGAATATAAATAATTGTGACAAAATGATCGACGGTTAATCGATCGCTTTCAGTAATAGCCGGTTCTCTCAAAAAAAAAAAGCGACCTAGGCGGAGGGCTTTTTGTTGGACCTCCAGGGCAACAACCGGATGAGGGTAAACTTCTTCTTCTCTTCAGGAGCCACACCGCCGTTAGCAGCACGCTCGCGCTCCTCCTTCTCGCGCTTCTCAGCATCCAAATCGGTACCCTTGGCACGCAATGCCGCAATCCTACGCTTCAAGTTCCTCAAACTCTTGGGGAGGGCAAAGGTCTTGGCCCGTGTTGGGTGCAACTTGACCTCTGTTCCGACGGGCTCTGGCACTGGTGCTGCTCCGCTCGTCGTAGTTCCAACGCCTGCGCCCATAGACCGATCCAAGACCACCTCCTCATCATCAGTTCCGCCCTCTTCGACCTGCAAGTATGAATAGTCGTTCAAGTCGACGGCACTAGAATTGGAGTTGGAGGTAGGGTGCTGACCGTTTGTAGGAACAGCAAGGGTATTGCTCTGTGCTGTTGCAAGTTGTTGTGGTTGTTGAGATGGCGAGGAGGGTTGGGGATGGGGTGTGACTTGGTGGTTGCGAAGACTGGTGCCTGTGCTGTTGATGGTGCTGGTCCGACGACCAAAGATCCTGTCCAGTCTTGACCGCTTCTCGCCTCCAGTGATGCTGGTTGTACTTGGGCTCTGCTTGCCAGATGGGTATGGTTGCTGCTGCTGTTGTGATGGGTGTTGTTGTGAGTGAGGTGGCTGTTGAGAAAGCTGCTGTTGTTGTTGCTGTAGACGGTTGAGGCTGGTGTTGCTGCGGTTGTTGGGTGAGGAGCGACCCTTGTTGACGGATCGGTTGTATTCATCCTGTTCCTCAGAGATCAGCATCTCGGCATCCATATCGCTCGACTCCTTCATAGCCTCTTTCAAGACCTGGGCCTATCATCATCATCATCATGCATATATTCACGGGGAGAGAAAGAGAGAGGATTAAGTAAGCAAATCCTTGTGTAAGGATTCCTTGTGTTTCTTTTCTTCTTTCCATTACGCTTCGAATTCAGGTACACAGGGCATTTTTTTTTGGGACACGAGGCCCGTATGTTCGAGTCCCTTCGGCCTCCTGACCAAAAGAGAAACATACACCCTGGGAACTCTTTTCACTTCCTTCCGAGTGCTCCAAGTAGCAAAAACCTCTCTGAATAAAAAAGATCTGTTTATAACTCACCTTCTGGATGTTTTCTTCGACTTCACGCTGGAGGCTCTCGCGCATGTTGACTCGGTAGTTGTCAAACTAGCAAGTTAGATGAGAAGACGACATACCATAATGGGTCGTTCCCCGACAAATAAAACGGAAATTAGGCCGTTAGTTCAATGTCAACCCTTATTCAGAGCCCTGCCTGACTTGTATGTCTTTCATCTGCCAGTGAACGAAGACATCTATTTCTCATCTTGTTTTAATATTTGCATGTTCTCGTCGCTCTCATACTCTCTGTCATCATGGGATACACCAGGCAAAGTATGCATAGTCTTAGACGATTGCTAAAGATATTAAAAGGCCATGAAATGAATGTAAACAAGTACCTGGGCAATGAGATCGATGGCAAAAGAGGAGAGGACAGGAGTTGCAGCAACACTCTTCATCGAGTTTTTCCTTGGAGACGTGGGCGAGGCTGCATAAGGACGAGTCGGCCGGACAAAGTTGTGGGTCGTGGAGCTCTGAACACTCGTCATTCTTGTAGATAGATACTTGGTCCTGTTTCTTGTAGGTTGTTGGTGTTGGGGATAGCTGGTGTGGATATCAAAAAGAGAGTTGTTGCGCGGAAGGACTGTTGTCAAGAAAGAGAGAGAAGAGGGTGAAAGGAAGAGTGAAGGAAAAAGAAAGGTGTGAAACGAAGAGAGAAGCGTGTTTATGTAGGAGGTTAGATTTCGGGTTCAGAGTATGGTGTTGTGTGCGTTCCCCTGAAGGTGTAGTTGTTCGACAGAGCGACACCGTATTGTCAAGAGCAGAAAAAAAAGATGGCGGTGGAGTTAGGGGGGTTGCAAAGTACCAAGGAAAGAGATCGAATTTGATAGGGATGAAAAGCAGGGGAGGATGTAAGAAGAGAGAGAGCAAGGTGAAGAGGGGAATAGAAGGGGGGTTTAGTGGTTGCAGATAGGCGGAAGCTGCAGACGGTGGAGGGAATAGTAGGACAGTGGATGGTGGTGTATGTGGTGATTAGGGTAGGATAGATGGAGGGAAAAAAAGTTGAGAAGGAAGAAAAGAAGAAAGAGAAGATAAAAGGGCGTAAAAGACAAAAAGAATGCAAGGTATGAAATAATCTCTGAACAGCATTTGTGCATGGGTAGCAGTAAATGCACGCATTCATGCATCCACCTCCACCAATGGGTTCAACCCATTGCCGCAACAAACACAGAACACACACACACATATATCAACAACAACATAAACAAACAAGGAAAAACGCTCGTCGGCATATCGTTTCTTGTTGGCCATCATTCCTTTGACTTCACTACCTTTGACTTTGCCTTATCTTCCTTCTCGAGCTCGCTCCTCCTCGTCTGCCAGTCATTTCGTTATTACTTTAGCTCATACTCTCTCTACCCACTCACTCAACTCCAGGTAGGTCCCCCCTCTCTCTCTCTCTTTCCTCTTACTAGCCCCTTATCTCGCTTCCCATGCAGTGTGCTGACATATCCACACCATGGCATTTTTGTGATTGGAATCGAAGTGGTTGTTGTTCTCTAATTGAGTTTGCAGTACCAAACAAACAACAAACCTTCCTTTTTTCGAGGTTGTCTCTTCATCTCTGGGCCAGACTAAGACTCGAGTCCATGAAGAGAAAGGGAAAGGAGCCATGAAAAGAAAGAGAATGGATAACAATAACTCAAATCTAATGTTCTCTCATCTTGTATTTCTTGTTTTTTTTCCCTTGTGAGCAATTGCTTAATTTTGTCAAACAGGGGAGAAGGCGAGAAGGTGGCAGCCCATGGTTGGACTTCAATGGATGGTGCACAATGACATAAAAGGATCACGGTGGAGGTGAAGAACAAAAAAGAGAAAGTCAAGGAGAGAGTTTGGGATGAGCCTACCCATTCTCACCTTCTTGTCCCCTTTCTCTCATCTTCTCTCAATTCTTCTTCCTTCTTTCTTCAATGGCAACCATTTCGTATCCATTCTCCTCTTCCTCTTCTTCTCCGTCGTATCCCTTCTTCATATCTGGTACCTGTGGTGTTTTTTTTGCCACCACATCAGCATCGCGTCAATGCCATCATCACCAAGACACCATCGTTCATATTTGATCATTCACCTTGGATCATAGATTACACCAGGGTAATTCGTCCTAAGAAAATACCAAGACCCCCCCCCTGAACCACCTCTTGGGCGGAGCTCAACACCATCCCTTGCACAAAAAGTCGATTACCAAAAAGAAAGGATAGGGCTGTTTGACGGTTTTGTGTAGCGGTCAATTCGTTTTTTGTTGCTGAGTATGAAGGGGTGTTCAATTGGAAAAAGTGTCAAAAACACTAAAAAGAACAGTGGGCAGGGACAAGGTCAAGGAAGTTTGGTATGTTGTTTGTTGATGTCGGTGGAGTGGTTGGGTGGGACAGGGGAAAGGAAGAGAATGTTGAAAGGGGATACAGGAGGGCGGGAGGGAGGGAATCGGATCCAAGAAAAATCGAGGAGTGGATGGTGGATGGTGTATGGTGTGTACACGGGGGTATGTGTGGTGGTGGTGGTGGAGGAGGAAGGGACCATCTCTGTCTCTTTTTTCCGTGTTTGAGGTTGGACTCTTCTTTTTTTTTTTTTTTGCGCGCAATAGGATACGAAATAGTAGCTTATGATGGCGTGTGTACCTTGAAAGGGTGTGTCGGTTGGGTAAAATGAGCAGTTGTTGGTGTTTGTTGTGTCACCGAAAACAAGATCAGAGTGTGGTGTGATCGTTGATCAGTTGAAGAAGAGGAAAGGAATGAGTGCCGAAGAAAGAAGGCGTTGAATAGTGAATTGGTGTGAAGAGGTGATAGTTGTTGAAAGAAGGAAGAGAGAAAGGAAAGAAAAGAAGAAAAGAAAAGAAAAGAAGCGAAGCTTGAAGAGAAGAGCGTAAAAAAAGAGCGTTCATGGCTGAGAACGAACTGCCTCTGACTGTCCACCCACCTGTGTGGTACCCTGTCCTTGCTTTGTTGACTTGTCTACTTGCTCTACTCTTACTGCTTTCTTCTCGTTCGCTCACAATGATCCATTTGGCAAGTAACTGAGTGGAACTCGGCTGATCGACCTGTAAGAGCAGAAGCCTGTCCGTCAGTGTAAGCACTGGCCCCGTACCTGTCTCTCTTCCCTACCCCTGAACCCAATTAGCCCATTCAGGGTCAAAGACCACTGTCCAGACCGCTCTATGCAACACGTACATCGTCATTCGGCGGCAAAAAAAACCGTCGCTTCTTGACAACGTTCCTCTGTAGTTGCACTAATTGACATGCAAGAAACTACGTACCAATGCAGATGCACTTTATGCAAAACCACTGCAAGACAAGGCATATTGTCAACCAAGTCCCTGAGATATGTATGTGGCTATTGGAGATGCGCAGACGGCGGCAGAACTAGGCAGGACAGAACAGGGTGCCATTAAAAAAGTTTCGAGGGTCCCGTTTGTTGTTTTTGTGAAATGGTAAAACTTCGACTCAAGACCACGTTGTCGCACACATCGCATGTTGTCGCTTTTTGGAATGCATCTCCCCATCGTTGTCCTTCTTCCCGTCGGTATGTATGGTATCTTGGATGGGAGTACATCCTATGGCATGGCATGCACGCTATAATTTCATCCTCAAACCTTCCCCTCTTTTTTTCTTCCCGCTCTACCTCTTCTCGTCCATCTTCTTTCAAAACATAAACGCCACCACCAGCATCATTCGAGATGGAGGATGGGATAGAAATAGGCCATGGGCACACAGTACAAACTTTAATACGCAAGGATAAAAATGCAATTGAATATTTGTGTTTTCGTTGGTTGGAAGAATGAATGAATGAATGGGGTTGGAATGAGATCGAAAACAAGCGGTGTTTATGAGATGATGCATTGCATTGATACATGGCATGTTTACTTGTATTATGTACACGCACAACTTGTAACTTCGATAAGGACTATGTTGATGAAGAAGCCGAAGGACCAAGAAGGTCGGGCATATGCTTCATCTGTCCAGGAAAGAGCTCCCTCAGCACTTGATGGAACCCATCCCGGAAACCATTAGCACCTGTACCACCATTATCACCACTACCAACAGGAGGAGGAGGAGGCCCAAAGGTCGACCGATCAGCATCCCTCAGGATACGGATAGTCTTCAACAAATTAATCTTGGCCGGCGTCGACAGCCGCGGCTCATCCTCCAGAGAAGCATTCATCAACTGGATACCTGCCGCTGTGACCAGCGAGAATTGGTGGCGCATTAGAAGGCAAGGTTGAACAGTCGCGTCCGTCAAGTTGATAAGCGACTCTGCAAGGGACGTCATTGCATTGGCGGATTGGGCGCATGCAAGTCTAGCGCGGGACGGGATACAGGGTGGGTGACGGAGGTTTGTCCGGAGGAATGGGCGGTAGAGAAGGATCCTGATTGTGTGGAATGTGATTCCGAGGAGAGTTGATTGAACGATATCTCGTCTTTCCTGCTGATGTTGCTTGTTGCTTCTGCTACTACCGTCATTAGAGAGAGTCGTGACAGGAATGGTGGCAGCAAACTTCTGGGTGGAAGGTCTGCTGATCGACGATTTGGGTGGAGCAACGATCCCTGAAAACGGGAACGTCTGCCAATCCGCCAGGTCTCGATGCCAGTCATCCAGAGCACCCGAAAGCTTATCAAACGCCGCAGGATTGACAAACAGCTCATCTGACCAAGTAGACAGGAACACCAAGATGTCGTCCAGAAGTAGAGCCTGTCGGCATTGCTGGTCAAAGAACGATTTGGCTCGGTACGGAGCTGGAGGTAGTCCCACAGTCCGGGGTGAGGGCACTCCTGAACCCATAGGGATCAACTCCATTCCTATTGTTGGTGGAGTGTAGGGGTCGTCTCCTGGTCGTGACATCGAGATGATCTTGGGGGCCGGACCCAGATGAGTCTTATCGAACACATGCACCGGGATGTTCTATTAATATATCGATTTGACGGCAAATTAGGTTCCTGTTTGGTAACGTTCCATTCCGAATGAACAAACAAGAATGGGAAAGAGAACTTACAACGGGGCGGTTGTAGGCGGCTGACATCCAGCGATCGACAATAAAGCACTGCCACCAACAGAGCCTCTGCTCTTCATCCTTGGCCTTGTTCTCCCGCTGCGTTGCCTGCGCTGCCTTCTCTTCCTCCGACCTCTTTGCAAACTCCTGACTTCCCGACTGTCCGTGCGATCCATTACTCGAGTTCTGTATCAGATGCGCACGATCCCATCCAAGAACCAAGGCCATCGTAATCGCAGTGCCACCATACATGTACGCCTGGGTGTGATTCCCGGCCATGACGGCATACTCTCGCAACAACAGCAACGACTGGATCACCGTCAGTGAGGGCTCCTCATACTGAGACTTCAACAGCTCGGTCGCCCAACAGAAGTACTGCTCTCCTCGATCCCGGAAGTTCTCGCCGTCCAAGTCTCGATGTCCATGCTCGTCCGTCTCCATGAGATCCTGTAGCATTCCTTCCTGCAGCTTTTCCTTGCACCGGTGCTCGATCACCTTGCGGTCGTGGCTGTACAAAGACAAACCATCCTGGACACGTCGATACTTCTCCTCGGCGGTACTCTTCATGGGCGACCGGTCGTTGAGGTGTCGAGAGACCAAGGCCATCATCGACAGTAGCAAGAGTGGGCTGCTCCTGTAACTAGATTTCTCTGGCGCTTGCCTCGACGACGACGGCTCAGTCACAGCAGCGGGAGCAGCGGCAGCGCTACAACTACTCTTATGCGCCACTATTCCACCTTCGGTTGCATAGTCCCCTGAACACGGCTTCCCATTGAGCTGGCTGTGGATCTCGTACGCCTCGGGAAAGGGCCCATACTCTGCCCAGAACCGGAAAAGGAAATTGTTCTTGTGGAGGATCATGAACTGCGGGTGGATGAGCGTGAAGTACTGTTGGACCAAGTTGTGGAGCATTCCTAACCGCAACATCCCCTGAAGACCTTCCATGGGTCCCAAGTCTTTCTCTCCCAGTGGACTCAGTCGTGTGGCCTTGTTGGGGTATGGGTTGAAGGATCCAGCGTTTGCGGCAATGTCAATCGGGTCAATGTCCATCTTGTATGAATTCATGGGATCGTCCTGATATGTGGGAATGGTCCTGGCTGTTGTTGTTGGTGCTGGTGGGATCGACTCGCTGACAGCCTTGATCTTAGCGATATACTCTTCGTAGAGCTGATTTGCACGTTGGATGTTTTCCATCTCCACGGCATTCTTGCGTGCGCGGATGCTAGCGGTCGACAGCGAGTAAAGAACATCGCCTGGCGTCTGGGAAGTCCTCTGTTGCTGTTGTTGATTCTGCGCCAGTGATAGTGGTTGCTGCTGCTGCTGGTGATGTGGGGTAGGGTGGTGTTTTTTCGTGAGATTTTGGCGCTTGCTGGAAAAAGCATCGAAAGAAGCTGGCTGCAACAGACGAGGTGCAGTGAGGCTCTGGGCCGGGAGGATGGGCCGAACTGGTCTTGGCTTTGAGGCAGAGGATGAGGAAGAGCCGTCGAGGTCTATAAACAGAATTCAGGTGTTTTCGAGAGACGGGCATAAAATAGAGGTGGTAATACGACGGAAAGGCAAGGGAAAGGATGAGGAGGAAGAAGAGGTTAGATGAGGAGTAGTGTGAAGGCAAGGAGAGTAAAGCGGATGAAAATCCGGTTTGAGGAAACCGCAAACCGGTATGGCCGACACTGCCCAATCAAATTGTATTCCCTCCAAAGTACAGCAGACAATACAAACAACAAGGCAGGCCAATGCGCGTCGTCATTACCACGGTCAGTGGGCATTGTTGTCGTTGTTGGCCTGGACGGAGAGGAGGAAGAGGAAGAAGAAGAAGCCGCTGGTGCGGACGAGGGTGGGGATCGTGAATTTGAGTTTGCCAAGGAGGACGAAGAGGAGGGCGTTTTTGACAGGAGGGAGGAAGCAGATGTCAGGGGTGCAATGGACGAACCCATCGACAGCGACGATATCGAGGGCAAGGTCACTTTGTTGTTCTGGCGTGAATAATCCTGTTCTTGTTCCTGTTGTTGTTGTTGGAGGGGCGGAATTGAGATCATCGCTGCGTGGTTAGAGGTCTGTGGTGGAGACACCCTTATATACTGTGGAGGAGGACAAGGAGAACCGTGGAAGGACGACAGCGATGACCGTTTTTGGCTATTGTTTCTGTTGCTGCCCTCATTCGACGACGAGGACGATCCTGAGCCTGAGCCCGATGCGGAGCTAGAATCGGAACCAGAGGGAGAGCGAGAGCTATGTGACCCAGAGTGGGACCTCCGACGACCATCAGTGGCATATCGTCCCTTGTCCTGTCCTTGTTGTTGCTGCTGTTGCTGCTGCTGGTTATGGTGATGATGGTGACTTAAGTATTGCTGCTGATGTTGTTGCTGTTGGTAACCCGATGGAGAGGTATTGCCGTTGTTGTCATGGTAGCGCATGTTGCTGCTACTATCACCCTCGTAGTGACATCGTGCTCGATTCATTTGGCAAGTACTGCAGGGGGACCTTCCATCGCATAGCGTTCTCGACATGGTGCAGGCTATGCATGGTAGAGGTGTTGACTGTCCATGGATTTTAGGTCCAGCGAGGCTCTTTCCTTGCTCAGATGCTGGAGACAAAGAGCCATTGTTTGAAGGGCCATTGGCCGCTGGAGAAGAGGACGAAAAAGAAGTTGTTGCCTCGGTGGTGTATTTTCTGCTGGGATTGAAGCGGACAGGATGGTTGTTGAACTCTGACGAGGTGGATGTACCTCTGTGGTGGGATCGAGTGGGCCCCATCTCTTGGGTAAGAGAATCGCTTTGAGCTCTATGGTTCGATTTGAGCAAAGTCTGGGACTGCGAGAAGGAAGGGGAGGACGATCCCTGGTTGTGTGAGTCGGCGATCATGGGTTTACTATATATTTTTTGCCCATTATTTTGCTGCTGCTGCTGGAGTTGTTGTTGAACTTTTTGTTGCTGCTCTTGGTGGTACGATCTCTTCTGCTGCAGCTGTTGCGGTTGCGGTTGTCGTTGGTAGTGTCGTTGTTCTTGGTGCTTTTGATACTGTTGCTGCTGTTGCTGTTGCGATGGGTATTGGTGCTGCTTGTAATGGCCGAAGTCTGGGCCGCTACTGCCCTCCTGAGGGCGGAAGGAATGATCCGCCTGGATATGCGACGAATGGATCCCAGACGAGAGTTGTTGTTGCTGTTGTCTGAATGGTTCAGATGAGAGTGGCTCTGTTGAGTGAGAGGAAGTGAGGGTCGGGGAAGAGGAGGGGTGCATTGTGTGATGTTGAATTTAGTGGTGTTTGATGATTTGAGTTGTTGAAAGTGATTTTGAATGCGAGGGAATGAAAAAGAAGAGGGAGAAGTGAAGTGAAGTGAAGTGAAGAGATGAGATGAGAAGGAGATGCAAGTCCGGACTGAGCTCTCGGTTGATTGAGATCAGGATGGACACGAGGGAAGGTGGAAGGAAGGCAGGGGCAGGTAGGATAGAAGAAAGTAGGATGAAGTGTAGCAGGAGATGTTTCTATGTAGGTGTTTATTCGATGCAGAGGAGAGTAGAGGGATATAGAAACTAGTACTGGAAGCTAGAATCTAGTAGGAAAGGCAGGTGTATGGGTTGTTGAGAGGAGAAGAGTGCACCATTGAATGGAAACAAGAACAAGGGAAAGGCGAGATTAATAAATAACAAAAGAAGTTCAAACAGGAATCAAACAGCTATCTTGTCACCCTGTGCTGAATTTGCTTAGTATCTAAACATACCGCTTCATTGGCCCTGTACAGGTTTGCCATCTGCTTTTCCACTCTCACTCTGCATTGAACGCCTAGATGGAAAACAGATACCTTCTCTTTGAAGTCTCCCATTAGTCGCCAGGTGCCAGCCAGGCCGCCATTCACGTATGTTATGTACGAGATCGAGTAAGGGAAGGAGGTGCAGTCTGCCTTTTTTGGTCCATGTGGGCAACTGGACAACTGAATGAACAAGGTCACAGGTTCCCCTTGGCGCGAATCCACGTTACGACACCACTTCAGCTCATAAATGGCTTGACTACCCTGTCTGTTCAGTTCTTAGACCTCTTTCAACTTCTTCCCTCCTTCTCTTTCTCTTCTCGTCTCTTTCCCTCCTCCACTTCGATTATTGACAATCTATCCCTGCATCTCTATACCCCTCTTTCCTTCCCCTTCTCTCCCTCCTGCACTCCTAGTCCTTCCTTCCTTCCTCATTCATTTCCTGCTTCTTTCCTACACTCTCATTCAACTGCTTCTTTCCTGCTCTCTCTCGTTCTATACACCTTCCTTGTCCCTTCCCCACACTCACTTGTCCGATCCCCGTGCTCCCCATGGACCCTCCGAACGAGACCAATCTCACTGCCCACAGTTGGCTATCTGTGATCACCTTCTTGGTCGTCATCGTCATTGTTATCCGCCCCATTCGCATCCCCCTCCCCATCCCCGTCTACGAGAAGGTGACCGATGCCGCAACATCCATACCTGATATTGATACTGACGGCGATGGTGTTGCGAATCGATCAGTTCAAGAGACGCCACCAACTCTATCTGAGACTGATCAGATCCGGACTCATTGCGAGGGTGGTTGCCTTAGTAACAGCATGGCTGTTAATACTGATGCGCTTCCTGAAGGAGTCAACCCTCAGATTGGCCCAACTCCTTCAAGTTCGCAATTTGAAAATGGACAAGAAAACATGGACGACTCCCTGTCTGCCAAGACTCCAGCCACCACCAACATCATCATTACCAACTCCATCAACAATGACACCACTGCCACTAACAACAACAACACGAGTGACAATCTGGAAGGTGGCTCGCAGAAAAGGAAGAAAACTTTTCCTTATGACATCACACTCAACATTGCCACGGCCCCTGTCCTCGGTGTGTTGTTCTTATTAGCAACACGCTCAATTAACGGTCAGAGCGTGCGCGATGGGATCATGGGCGAGCCGTCCAGTGGCGTCGAACCCTACGCGGTTATGGTCCTGTTCTTCTCTCTGGTTCGTTCATCCACGAAAGCTATGCGTGTTAGAGTTTTGTTTCTCCGTTGGATTTCTTGTCCATCTAGAAGGATGTCAAGTATGACAGATATAAAAAAAAAACTCCGGAACATCCATGCACTAACCTTTTTTAATTCCCTCCTCCCCCTATTCCCTTTTTCAACAACAACAACAAAAGGCGTACATATGCATTAGTCTAGATATGACAGGGGTGTTCCAATACGCTGCGTTCTGGATCTCGCGACGAGGCGGTGGAGGAGGACAAAGGATCTTCTTGGCGTTTTTCTTGTTGTCGTCGATTATGAGTGGTCTTGCCAGCAACGATGTGGTCATCTTGACCATGACTCCCTTTCTGGTGTACTTCTCCCAGGCCGTTGAGTTGGCTACCCCCATTGCCTTTCTTATGGCCGAACTGCAGACCGCGAATATCGGTAAGTACTACACTTGCAATAGAGAAAACATATTACCTCATATCCTTCATATCCATCATGCCCCTCATATCCACTTTATGGATACACCCTCCATGGTTCCATTATACTTACAATGATACATCACACACACATCCACTAACATTGAAACACACTCTCTTTCAACAATGGTATATAAAATAGCGTCAATGGCACTGTACATCGGAAACCTGACAAACGTGGTGGTCTGCCAAGCCTACAAAATCTCATTCGTCGAGTACAGCGCCTGGATGCTCCTCCCTTGCATCGCATCCATCGCCGCCTGCTACATCATGCTCCGATTCAACTTTCGTCATGAGAGATATATCCCGAAATTGATCAAGATCCCCATGGTCGACCCACGGTCGTGTCTGAAGGATCCTGCGGGGGCTGTGTTCGGACTGGCGGTGTTAGGGTGTTCGTTGGTTTGTTTGATTGGGACCTCGTTCGCGCATGTCTCGGTGTGGATGGTGACGGGACCGTTTGCGATGATCGCTTTTGGAAGGGATGTTTGGTATGATGTTCGACGGTATCGTCAGGCTCAGGGTGGGCTGAGTGAGGTGGAAGAGAAGGAAGAGGAGGAAGATGGTGGAGAGGTGGATGTTGTTGGGTTGGAGGGTCTTGAGATGAACCAAGTGGAGAGTTGGCTACCCGAGATTGCTGTTCCTGGTCAGGACATTGTTCTTCCTGTCCAGCTCCACTCGCCTATGTTGGAAGCAGGCCAGTTGAAGGCTGGTGCCGTAGCTCAAGGAAAGGGTTCCATTACTATCGCCGACGAGGTTACCATCCCTTTCCCAATTGAGGTAGGATCAGTCCGGTCTATGGCTCTCAACACCAGAGCACCCAAGAACACCTTCCTTGGTCGCTTCCAAAGACGGTTCCCGTTGATCTACGGTATCGGGATCCGAATGCCCTGGTCAATACTCCCCTTCACCCTCAGCATGTTTATCATGGTCGAAGGGTTATCCCACTCTGGTTGGATCGCCATCTTTGCAACCTGGGCAACCCGTCTGGTGCCCAACTACATTGCCGCCACCTACGCGATCGGCTTCATCTCTGTCCTGCTCTGCAACCTCTTCAACAACGTGCCGATGACTATTCTGGTAGCCCGAATACTCCAGCATCCAAATTTCGCGAACTCGCCGTTGACGATTGACCAGCCGGCGGTTGTGAGGGGTTGTGTATTGGCGTTAGTGGTCGGGAGCAACTTGGGAGCGTGCACGACGTTGATAAGTTCTTTGGCGGGGCTGATGTGGGATGCAGTGTTGAGGAGCAAGAATAGTAATGTTGGGTTCTGGAACTTTTTTAGGTGGAATATGGGCGTGATGCCTGTTGTCATATTTGTAGCTCTTTCTGTTGTCGTCGCTGAGTTAACCGTCATCTATTGACGTTATTTTTGTTAAATTGATGCGTAGTTTGATAGCCATTTGCACATTCAACAAGCGACGCGTAAAAAAAACAGACCCTGTCCCAATACGTGAACGCGTTGCGATGATGGAAGATGTGCGTGTGTGGGGACAGCCAAGCAAGAGGTGATAGTGGGACTGCTTCTTACAACCTGAGGGTGTGGATGTGGATTGATGGGCATGCGAATGTGATGCGATCGTGAATTCTTCCCCCAGTGCCACCCTCATACACACGCCTCTCTTTTTTTTCTTTCTTCAAACAACATTCATCTCTCTTTTTTTTTTTTTCTTTTCTTTCGCACATACACACTCACATACTGCACTCTCAACCCACTTTCTTATTCACTTTCAATCACTCACTCAGGAGACAGGAAACATACACACTCGGCACTAACTCATACATAAAGCAGGACAGCAAAACCATGGCATCAGAAACAGAGCACAACTGGAAATTTGCACAGTGCTTCGGAGACAAGGGCGAGGTCGAGGACATCACCGAAGGTGAGTTGGTTCTATCACGAAGCTCGCGTCTATTCTCCACTCTTTCACTCTTTCACTATTGCCTACACTACAAGGAATGAAGAAGGAGAAAGGGGCTAAAGGGTACCATACATACATAGCACCAACAAAACACCACCACTACTCAGCACCAGCACAAAAAGTGAATGGAAATTACTCGCTTACAAAAAAAGTCAAACAATAAGATCCAACAAAAGGCGCTCATTTTCTTTAGCGTCATCTGTTTTACAAGAGTGATCAGATCGACAGCAACAGTGCCTGGCGTGTACGGCTACAGAATCACCACAGGAGTCCTCTTCTCCTTTGCCAGTCAGGACTTGCGTTTCATACCATACCATGCCCCATCTACCTACCACCACTACCCTTTTCACACATACCATACTGGAGAATTTCAATTCTACTTTTCCTCCTTTTTTGTTTATTCGCGTCTCTGAAAGAACGAAAAGAAGAAGAAGAGAAAAGAAGAATGATTCAGGATGAGAATAACAACAACGACGAGCAAAGAAGGACGAAGGGGAGAAACCCCGGTCGTGTCGTGTCGTGTCGGGGATACGTTCCTCTCTCTCTTTATGTTCAAAGCATAAAGCTTGGACCTTTTTCCATCCTCCGCTTTTTTTTCTTTGGTCTTTCGATCTTGATTGCAAAACAAAAAGTGTGAATGGTAACAAGGAACAACAACAACAACAATAACAAAGGAAGACAGCGAGCAGAGCAATGACGAGGCAAAAAAGGGCCTTTGTTTGTTTGTTTGTTTGTTGTAGTGGTTGTTGTTTACGGATGTTTTTTCACGTTTATCGTTTATGCACTTTTTTTTTACATTCCGTTCCTTGCCCTACCCTACAGAAAAGAGAAGTGTGACATTATGGGTGTATGACAAACACAAGTAGGCTGGAAGGTGTTGTTGCGTGGATGAGAAATCGAGATTCACTCTCTTTTCTTTTCAATGGACAACAATCGGGCGTGGAGTGAGGTATTGTTGGTATGGGGCGAGCTTGGAGCCATGAATGGTAAAAGACGTCATACCATTCTTTTTTTGGGCCTGCTGGTACACAAGGTTGTAAACAAGACAAGAAGACAAGGCAACAAGCAGGGATACCGATAGACAATAACACAATCGCCTCGACTGTGTGCAGACAGGCATGGATATTCCCTAATGATAGCAAACTACAGCCCAAAGGCACTCTTGTTGTTGTTCTGCTATTTTGACATTGGATTACCGTCAATTGGACAGGACAGAACTTTTTTATTCTTGTAAATATCCCTGGACACATGAAAATAGCAAGCATTGGACATATAGCATTTACATGCTTGGGTTCCAGGATATGAGGACATCAGTAGAGCCGACAGCGTGAATAATAACTGGGAGCCCAGACCGGAGACAGGCGATCTAAAGAGTGAAAGGGTGTTCAAACAGCCGAATGTTCTCAGAGTCAAGTGAGGATTGGGGGGTCCCCAGCAAAGCGATTCGTGTTTGTCTCGGAAGTCGCAATCCAAACCACCCCTTCCTGTCTTCCCTCCTTTTTACAGTGCTACATTGCTGCTATGCAGGGGGTAGCACTTTTTATCTTTTTTGTTGCTGTTGCTGTTGTCACAGTAGGGAAAGAACATTCCCGGGAGGATGGGGAGAGGGGACAAAGGAACGATGGAAGGAACGACAAGCTAGAGTGAGGGGATAGTGAAAGCAATTCACCTTACTCTTGCTCAATTGCTCAATCTCCACAGTAATTGAGTACTAACACCTATGTTCTTGTTTGTCAATATACCCTTATAATAGCCGACATTATCTCGACAGTCGAGTTCGATCATACTGGAGACTACCTGGCAACTGGAGACAAGGGTGGACGTGTCGTGTTGTTTGAGCGTAACGAAGGAGTACGTTATCGTTGTCTTTTTGTTTATGTCGTCTGTTGATACTGTCCTGACATGTCACGATATATCGAAATCCCCGATGCTGAACTGTACCATGACCTCTCTCACTCACGCGCTTAGAAAAAGGGCTGCGAGTACAGATTCCACACCGAGTTCCAGTCACACGAGCCTGAGTTCGACTATCTGAAGAGTTTAGAGATTGAGGAGAAGATCAACAAGATCAAGTGGTGCAAGCGCCAGAACTCGGCCCACTTCTTGCTCTCGACCAACGGTACCGTTCACTGACTGCTTCACCTGTTATCCAACTGCAGCACGAAATGAAGACTGGAAAGCTCACTCTACGAATTCTTTTCTCAACTTTGTACTTCATAGACAAGACGGTGAAGCTATGGAAGGTTTTTGAAAAGTCGATCAAGGTTGTGGCAGAGAACAACCATGGAGATGGCCAGCACGTACCGACCGCAGGAGCCCCCCTCAGACTGCCCAAGCTTACACATCACGACACCATTGTTGCGGCAGTACCCAGGAAGGTCTATGCCAACGCCCACGCTTACCACATCAACTCGATCTCTATCAACTCGGACGGAGAGACCTACATCTCTGCCGACGACTTGCGCATCAACCTCTGGAACCTCAACATCAGCGATCAGAGTTTCAGTAAGTCCTTGGCACCCTTTGACATCTGTACGGATTCATGCTTATTTTGCATTGGCGCCCTCATTCTCTGACACAAATTCTACCCATTGTTTTGTTTAGACATTGTGGACATCAAGCCTGTAAATATGGAGGAGTTGACTGAGGTCATCACTGCGGCCGAATTCCACCCTGTCCACTGCAACCTCTTTATGTACAGTAGCAGCAAAGGAACCATCAAACTCAGTGACATGCGTGAATCTGCCCTTTGCGACCAACACGCCAAGTGTAAGTTCTTTCTCCATGGATTCAAACACGGTATCAAAGACGCGACTCAAGTACTTTTGGCCTCTTACTAACAACGCCTCTAATTGCCCTGTGAAAACGAAATAGTGTTCGAGGAGGAAGAGGACCCAAGCAACAAGTCGTTTTTCTCGGAGATTATCTCGTCGATCTCGGATGTCAAGTTCAGCAAAGATGGACGATACATTCTTTCGCGCGACTACTTGACATTGAAGGTGTGGGATATCAACATGGAGAGCCGACCTGTGCAGACCATCAACATCCACGACCACTTGCGCAACAAGCTGTGCGATCTCTATGAGAACGATTGCATCTTTGACAAGTTTGAGTGCACATTCTCTGGCGACGGAAAGTAAGTCCTGTTCTATTCTTGATGTTTGTTATTCTTTGTTGTCATTCCCAATCAGCTATTAGCATGTGGAATGTTTCTATACATTTATTGTTGTTGTTTGTGTTATGTGCTCACACGCAAACTATGTGTGCTCTTGATATTTCATCTATGCACCTACTAATGTCTTTGTTCTTGCTCTCTCTGTTTAACAATAATAACGACACTAATAGCAATGTGTTGACTGGATCGTACAACAACAACTTTTACATTTACGATCGCAATGGCAAGAACGATGTGACTCTTCAGGCGGACAAGAGTGCGTTCAAGGCCAAGAGAGTGGGATCGGCCAAGAACAAGATGATGGCACGGACCAAGAACGGCAAGAAGGACGATATCAATGTCGAGTCGATTGACTTTACCAAGAAGATCTTGCACGCGTCCTGGCATCCTAACGAGAACTCGATCGCCATTGCCGCCACCAACAACCTCTTCATCTTCACGTAAGTTTTCTCTGGATAGCTAGTTGATGTTGTGGTTGTTAGAGTATGATATTCGTCGTTGTTGCTCACGCGTTTTCTTTGCTCTCTTTCATATACATCCTCTCCGACAATGGGTATTTTCATGGCGCTTAGCGAGTAAGTATTGAGACAATGGACAAGTGCTTGCATTATGGATGTTCACGTGCTTATCCTTCGACTCTAACCTCTTATCCTTCTCCCTTGTAAACTCCTAGGCTGTAAGGTGGCTGCCATGCGTCGTAGTAGTTTCTCACTTTAAGGATAAAACCATTAACAATAACAAAGCAACAAAGAAAAAAGAAAGATTCAATGAAGACCATTGTAAATTGCCTACTTGTTCGACTGTGTGTTGAACTGCTTCGTGTGCCGTGTGTTTGTTTGTGGGAGATCGCCCTTGCCGACGTCCAATGAATCACAATCCCTGGTGAGCAAGTCCCGTTGAAGATTGACGCCACCGATTTCTGAAGAGACAAATTGAGAGAGAGGTATGTGCGGAGTTCCTGAGAGGTCTCTTTTTGTTCCTCACCTCTGTTCATTCCTTACATTTTCTTTACATCAGACTGTATGCCCGATTCATCCTCATGGAAATCGACAGCGAGGACAGCTTCCGGGGTAAGTCGTCAACAAAGCAACAGCCCGGCTTGATCACTAGCTGATGTGCTTGTTATACCAATGACAACAACGAAACATGTTTTTGACACTCCATCGCTGCCATGTTCGAAACCTTCTGACCCATTTATTTTTGTTATATTCTTTGTATTGGGTTGGCTTGCTCCGCATGCACAGACATAGCTACGCTTAGGCAAGGGATCCAGGAACAGCATCATCATGATATCTGCGAGATTTTGTATAACCCAGACACCACCCACCATTACTCTGTTGTCATCGAGTATGTTTCTCCTTCCCTCTCCCCCGCTGCTTTCTATCACACAGCTCTCATGTAACAGAGAAGTATCTTGTGGTACTAACAACCTCCTTTTTTGTCATCTTATGAAAACGCATGGGAAATAGTATCATGGCGTTGGTAGACTCGGGGACAGACCCAAGGCTGTGGTCGGATCTTGCCGTCTTACCCCACAAAGTCCTCCCGATCTTGGATCGTATCTTACAAGATGTGCAGATGGAAATCATCCGGCTGCATGATGATGATGATTTAGAGACGCAGGATCGTCAAAGACTTAGCAGCTACAGCTATAGCAACAACACCGGAGGTGGGTTTGGGCGGACGACGCAGTCAATGGGATCATCAAGGAGGATAAGTGGAGGAGGAGGAGGGAAGAAGAGACCGATGTATTTGAAGCCCAAGTGCTCAGCGAGGGTTATGGGTCTGCCTGCAGCCGAGTCTCGGCGAAGGACTGTGCCGACTTGTGTGGATGTTGGGACTTTTCTGTCCATTACTGCCACCGTCATCAGGTTCGGTGCACAGTTGTTTCCGTGGGGGGGATGACCCTGAGAGTCGTTTGTTTCGTGTGTGTGTTTTCCTTGCAAAGGAGGTTTGATGTATTAATGCTGTGTCGTTGTCTTTTTATTGCCTTGTAGGACGGGCGTAGTCAAGATGCTGGAGAACAAGAAACCAGTGCAATGTCTGATGTGCAAGAAGACGTTTGACGTGCTGGCGGATGTGGAGCAATACAATAAGGTGGCCATGCCGACAAGGTGTCAGGCTCAAGGGAATACAAAGCCTTGTAATGGTTACAAGTTCCAAATGGTTGAACCTCCACCTGGTAAGTTTACTTTGGATTTTTACTTGAGGGACGTGAATCTATGAGCTGTGCGAACATTTGCATGACGGAGGAAACTAAGTACTGAATTATGTTATGGGCTTTTAGGTCAATTGCCTGAGGGATGTCGGGATTATCAGGAGATCAAGATTCAGGAACAGACAAACAAGCTGACCATGGGAACCATCCCTGGATCGATGGTTGTTATTCTTCACGATGACTTGGTGGACCATGCCAAGTCTGGAGACGATGTGACCATCACGTAAGTTCTCAGGCGTTGCCGTCGGTCCTTAAGTTTGCATTCGATTTGTCGCTCCTTTTATTAACTCCTTCGTCAATTAAATCGCGATGAAATAGGGGTACGGTGATAAGGAGGTGGAAGAACCCGATGGTCGGAGAACGCTGTGATATTGAATTGGCGCTGCTGGCAAACCATGTCTTCATCCATAACGAACAGCGAGTCGGCGTCGGGATCACAGAGGAACAGCGACTGGATTTTGAGCATTTCTGGGAGCACGCCCGGTCCAAGAATGTCGACAAGCCCTTCACGGCACGCAACCAGATCTTGAGCCAGATCTGCCCAAAAGTCTATGGACTCTATATTGTCAAGTTGGCGGTCATGTTGGTCCTGACGGGCGGAGTGGCCAAGAACGATGACAAGTCGGGGCTCAAAGTTCGTGGGGAACCACATCTGTTGTTGGTGGGTGACCCCGGAACGGGGAAATCACAGTTTTTGAAGTATGCGGCCGAGTTGAATCCGAGATCGGTGTTGACCACGGGAATCGGGAGCAGTAGTGCAGGTCTGACGGTCACTGCTGTGAGGGATGGGAATGAATGGCAGTTGGAGGCTGGTGCGCTGGTGCTGGCGGATCGCGGGTTGTGTTGCATTGATGAGTTTGGGGGGATGAGAGAGCATGACAAGGTGGCGATCCACGAGGCGATGGAGCAGCAGTCGATCTCGATTGCCAAGGCGGGAATTGTGTGCAAGTTGAACACGCGGTGCTCGGTCATTGCTGCGACGAACCCCAAGGGGAAGTATGACCCCAACGAGTCGGTGTCGATCAACATCGCGTTGGGGAGTCCGCTGCTGTCGCGATTTGATATCGTCCTGGTGTTGATGGACACAGGCAACCCCAATTGGGACCAGAAGATATCGTCGTATATCTTGGACACGCGTATGCGGATGGATGGGCAGTTCGTGCCCAAGAGGAAGCGGTTGACAGGAAAAGAGATCCGGCGGCGGCGGAAAAAGCTGAGGAAGATTGCGAAGCGGAAACGGATGGAGGCGTTGGGTTTAGAGCCAGGTGATGATGGGTATGATAGCAGCATCTCAGATGATGGCAGCTCGCTTGGAGGAAGTAATACTCCTGGGCAGGCGGAGGACGATGATGAGGACGACGAGGAGCAGGAACAGGAAGCTACACCTGACCCTTGGTCACTCGAGAAAGTCAAGGCGTACCTGATCTGGATCAAATCGACCTTTCAGCCGAAGCTGACCCCACCCGCAGAACAGGTCTTGGTATCCTATTACCAACTCCAACGGAAAGCTGATCTCCGCAACGCCGCACGGACGACAATTCGACTTTTGGAGTCTTTGATCCGGCTGAGCCAGGCTCATGCTCGGCTGATGGCCAGGAATTTGGTCACCGTTCAGGATGCGGTGGTTGTTATTTCGTTGATGGAGGCTACAGCGCAGGGTGGAGCCGCGGTTCTGGGAGGTATCAATCCGTTGCATGCCAGCTTCCCCAAGAGTGCCGAGGATGAGTATTGGCGACAGGAGTCTGCTATGCTTGATCGGTTGGGACTGGCAAATCTTGCTTCTCAATTGCAGGAAGGTGATGATGTTGATGATGAAGGTCGAGGGGCTGGATACGGTGAGGATGATGTGGTCCCTGGAACTGACATTGAGGAGATGTCGAGGCCCGGTGTCAAGCGGCGACGAGAGAATGGTCATGGTGACGACTATGATCATCACCGAGATCACTACCGTGCAATATCCTCGCCTTCAAAACAAGGATCTCTCGGTGGCAACATTCAGAACCCAAGTCTTGTAGCAGCTAGGCCATCCTTTTCCGCATCGACAGGATCAACTGCCACCTTGTCAACCGGAAGCATGGTCTTGGACGACCAAGCCGAGGCAGAGTTCCTTGAGCGACTCAGACAGTCCGACCCCATCATCGATGACAACCCCAACAACAAAACGATGTCGCGGTACAGTAGCGGCGACGGTGGTGGATCTCTGGAAGAAGGGTTCGTGGGTGTGAAGACGGAGGAGGAAGAACCGCCTCTGATTGACCGACGGTTTGCCCTTCGTCAGACACAGACCCAGTATTCCGCGGGGGTTGTGTCGCCACCGGTTTCAAGGAAGGAGAATAAGGGCAAAGGTGTGGTGCGGAATCGAGATTTTAAGGATGAGTTCGACCATGACGAAAGTTCTTATTCTTAACGGCTCCCTCCTTCCCTTGTGAGAGCATGCCTTGTAGAGCATGCTCGAGAACTTGTATATTTAACCTTGTACAAAAGTAATAAATACAACCAAACGAATGTCCGCGTGTTCGTCTGTCATTCTGTGTGTCTGCTTTGAAGACGCGTTGATTACCCAATACGATTGGAACGCCATGTGAGGACCTGTAACAGTAGTACGCATCAAGACGCGTCAAATCGTGCTCGCAGGCGATATCTTTTTGTATATCAGACGAAGCAAAGTTAAGAATGCAATGTTGATTGGATGTAATGTACAAAACTGGTGCGACATAAAAGCTAACGCAATGGTCGTACATGGAAGGAAAATACAGCAAGGAACAAAAAAAAATATGAATCGTCAGCCGGCCAAGGGGTGCAAATACTTGACGCGAACAGCTTTTCCCATCCGGCCTTTGCCAACTCCGACCTCAACACGAACGCGTCTCTGTCGCGTATTCAATACTGACTTGTTGGACTCCCCTTCTCCGCCAGTTTTACCAGCCAGCATCTGCATCCATGCTATCCAAGCCTGCCTGCACTCCTGGTACTTTTCAATGCTCTCGAACCACTCAGCAGCTGGAATCGTCGGAAATACCTGCTGACAGACATCGCCCTTGCAGGAAACTCGAATCGTCTCGGCCTGGGGCTGGTGGGTGCTGCCAAGTGTGGGCTTATCTCTGAGCCAAAAGTGGAAGTCATGGTAACACATCTTTGGCTTGCTCGTCTCTTTCTTGTCAGGATCCGAGTGACAGTCTACACAGACAAATCTCCTCATGTCCTCCTGTAGCGGCTCCATTTTCATGCTGCAGTTGCTGCAAACAATGAGCGGAATGCTGAAGACACTGTCTTTCGCCCAGAACTGGTTCGTGATATCCTCAGGAAAAGTAACGCCGTCAATGTACCCGTCCACCGACGCGATCCCTGAACGTAAAAATAAAAAAGATTAGAAGCAACGAACTAGGTAAGCGATCAACATTCTGAGCTACTTCGTTCAGTCACTCGATCCCCACAAAAGACTATCTGCATGGTATGGCATACCCATGAAGCGGCTGTCAATGACATTCTTGACAGAGTCAAACATCTGTGAACATGTAGGTACGTCAGGGCCTTTTTCTTGAATGACAGTCGGCTCTCTTGTGGATCCGTTAATACGCAACACGCCATCCTCTTGGCTATATTGTCCATAAAACTCCATGTACCGCTGCGGCCTCAGGATGTCGATCCAGGAAGTATAGGAGGACCTAAAAAAGCGAAGAACAAAAAGAGATCGTCAGTCGCCTATTCTCTTCCACCAAGATTTGAGGAAGAATACAGACGAGGAAACAGGCATCTCTTACGTTTGAACCTTGACGAGTCGGTTCTTGGTCAAGTGGACAACGCCAATCTCCCAACCCTTGCTGTCGTCTCTGTCCACGTTCAGCATGTGATATACCACAACACCTCGAAGAGTGTCTCCTCTGGTCGGACCAGAGACAACCTCAGTTTCGCTGGTAGACTCGTCTCCAACCGCAGTCTCATCAACGGCCCCAGGCTCAATCTTGACCTTCTTCACCTTCTCGATCTCATGGTCAACCTTGAGCTTGCTCACCATTTTGTCCTCTGGCTCAAGCTTGACCGCAATCTTCATATCATCTTCAGGCTCCATCTTGACCGCGGGCTCAACTCCAGTCTCTACAGCTTCGTCTTCTGACATTGCTTCATTAGCATCTGGATCAGAGTCTGATCCGGTGGGCAAGTATGCCCCCGCAAGCGCACCTTGTTGCCAGAAAATACTGGCGTTCAAGGTCTGGTAGAACGAAGGGTCCCGTGCGATATACTGGTCATCATCGAGCAGATGGTGGCCCAGCGTCTTTCGCATCTTGACCAGATCGGCAAGGTGACCTTCAATGACAGAGTCGCCACGAAGCTTGGTCAGGGCAGCACCATCCATCCGAAACATCATCGATGCCCACCGTGTGCTGGCAACAGTCTTTCTTCTGTACTCCTTGGCCATCAGATCTATAAACGCGATTTCATTAATGTGGTGGTTAAAATACACGGCTCCTCAAGCTTCTTTTGCGTCAGGATTTAGTTTTAGAACTGCTTCTTACCTGTGAGGAGGACGACATCGCCCACTCTGCAAGACTCGACCCACTTGCCCTTGTCACCCCAAAGAGTAATGTTCAAGTGGATAGATCCCTTGTCGGAGATCGTCAGGCCTGCTTTGGAAGTAGGCTTTCCTCCGAATCCTCGCACTCCATCTTGCACTGGCGAGATCAACTGGATAAGGCCCATAATGTTGTACTTTCTCTGAGGCTCGTTCGGGGACAAGGCATTGATGGGCGTCAGTTTTGACGCGAACGAGACCACCTGTGGGTTGAGGGGGATCGTATGTTCTGCGGGCGACGATACGGATCTTGAAGTAGACGGGGCTGCAAGAGGAGCTGGCAGTTGGACCAGGACTGTCTTTTGGATAGGTTTCGGTTGTTGAACAAGAGTTGGCTTTTGAACAGGGGTAGGCAGTATGACAGAGGTGGGCTGCTGAACAGGTGTAGGCTGTCGCACGACCGTGCTGGACCTGACAACTGGATCTTTTTGCTTGACCTCCTCTCGAGAGATTTGATGCAACTTGGGTCCGAGTGGTTCCGGTGGCTTCAAGACTGGGCGGTTGGTAGTGGCCATGGGGATTGGCCGACTCGGGGTAGTAGGGGGTGATGCTATTACTCTCTGGCGCTTAGGAGCGCTACCCTCGGCGATATCCTTCTTGCCCGCCTCCCAGAACGCTTGCCAATCTCCATCCGAGTCCCCATCCTCGATCGGATCACTGTCATCTACAACCGAGAACTCTTGACGCTGGCGCTTCTTGGGTGTCCTCTTCTTTGATGTCGCCTTCTTGGGTGTGCTCTTGCGCTTGGGTGACTTGGTCTCGACCTCTGGAGAGGGAGGGGGAGGAGGGAAGAGAGGCTTGAACGGGGAGAACAGGCCCGAGCGGCGTTTGTTGGGTTGTTCCTGAGAGTCGGATGAGGATGCCGATGATGGTGTCGCTGCCGATGTTGTGGTAGTATTTGGACGAGAGATGGTGACGCGATCGTATTGAAGGGGAGGGGATGTTCGAGTAGGTATGCTGGAACCATTGGTACTGCGATAATGATCTGTACTCCTGTACTGATGGATGTCCTGCATAGCGATCTGTGTAGAGACATCATCGGGGATTATGTCCGAGAGGGTCCGTGCCATACTACGATGCTGTCGAGTAGGAGTCGAGGTATTTTGAACATGATGTTGTGGATCTGGTCTTCGTGGCGGAGACGTTGCTCTGTTGCTTGTTGTCCGTTGCTGTTGGTGTTTGGGTGTGAGATGATCGCTGCTCTTAAAGTGTTGGATGTTGTCGAGGACAAACTGGGTCGGGAGGTAGGCAGGCACCTCTACCGAGAGTCCAACTTGAGAGAGAGGCGGAGGGGAAGGGGAAGGACTTGAGATGGGATCTGAAAAGTCGTCATTGTCTTGTCTGATAGCACGTTGGCCAGGCCCGCGACCCAAAACAAGGGGCTGGTGAGTTGGTTTACGGGGCGGATGAGTATTGTTTGAGTTGTTCGTTATGGCGGGGTTGTTGTGTCGTTGCATGAGAGAGGCGAATGGAGCTTGCATGCTTGTTGTTGTTGATGTGATTCTCTTTGAGGGAGTTGTTGGGTTCGGCATTGGTGTCGTTGCTATGTACGTGTGTGCTGGGTTGCAGAGGAGGGGAGAATGAGAGTGAATGCAATGCGTGGGTGGGTGTGAATGTGGTTGTGAATGAGTAAAAAGGAAAGGGAGGGATCAAGAACAGAAAAAGGCTAAAGAAAGCCGAGAGTGTACACTTGGTGGCAACTGTGTCCACGCTCCATAATTTTTCATTTTACAACAGGATATATATGTTTCTAGTGCAAATTGCAACCGAGTTGATAACAACAGCGGCACTCATAAAAAGCGGCCGCAACCATGAGCTTGAACAAAAAAAAAGTGAAAGTGTACGAGAAAAAGAAAACAACGCGCCAAAGCAAGAACAGTACGACTTGACCGAACAAAAAGGCACGGTCACCTTCAGTACTGAATGTGGCAAAAAGAAGCTCCCTGGCGGGGAATTGAACCCCGGTCTTCCGCGTGACAGGCGGAGATACTCACCACTATACTACCAAGGAATGAGCTTGTTGTGTACGTATTTTTAGATTCCTTTATTAATCATGTGCAAATAGTCATACCCTTAAGCCGAAATTGGTGGCGCAAGTACAAATAAAACCCAAAAATAAAAAAAAAAAAAAAAAAAAAAAAAAAAAAAAAAAAAAAAAGACGAAAAATGCTGTGGTTTACTCTCGCATCAACGCTACTACTCAAGTCATCAAGAGAGATGCGGCCAAATCTCTTTCGGGCTCTATGCTTGTCGCTTGTCTAAACTAGAGCAACAGGCCTCTCGCTCGTTTTTTATTTCGCTCCTCGCCGCGCTTGTCCTAAATAATTCTTCCAAGGGAGTTTCTCCGTATGCATCTTCAATTCCTCCGCCGCCCCTCCCAAAAAAAAAAAAAAAAAGAGATCCTCCGATTCTCCTCCTCCTGTCTCCCTTGGTCAAGTTTTCACGGCGTGTTATTCACTCGGCTCGTTCAGAGTCATGATCGAGGTGTCGACGGAGAAATACAACTTGTTGTGGTCTGGACAAAACACTTGAACGCAACTGTGTATTCCTTTTCTTTTGCCCACACCCATGCCTCTCATCCTTGTCTTTGCTTATTCACTTTCCACATCCATGTCTCTGGTGCCTGTGCAAGCCTGTGTCAGGAGTTCATAAGAAGCACAAGAGTTACGCCCCTTGTTTTTATTAATTTGTTGTTTGTGTTTGTGTTTGTGTTTTAGTTGTTCCTCCTCAGACCTTCATTATCTAGCACCACCGTTCTAATCGTCAGAAGGGACATGGATATCATCATCCACATCATCCCCTCCCGCCATAAAATATCCACCCTCCTCCTGCTCCTCCTCCCCCTCATCAGTACCAATGACAACAATCCCATTAATAATCACATAGGCCACCATCGCCACCAATCCAAACGTCACTGCATAGATCCTCTTCAGATCAAAATCCCTCTCCTCCTGTGTCTTCTTTGGCTTTTCCGTCGTTGTTGTGGAAGAGACAGAATTTGATCCGGACAAGAAGGTGTTCTTGAACCATTCCTTGGGTGAGCTGATGGGGTTTGTGAAGAAGGGCGATGTCTCGGTTGGGAGGGCAGAGTCGGGCAGGTTGGCAAAGAACTCCTCCTTGCAGCGGTTGCAGTAGGCCACCAGGCGGGGGAACTGGCTGGTCAGGATCATTTGGAACCGGGGGTTGGGGATCTCGGGGTACAGTTGCAACGCCAAATATCCAAACGCCTTTGCGTCCAATGAAGTTGGCCTATAGGTCAATGGGAAAAATATGGGTTAGGAAGTGCCAATTTTTTTCGTCCATGAAGATCCTTCGATTAAAAGCAGAGGTGGAGGAGAAATGTGCCCATGCCCTATGCATATTGCATATTACTGCTCTCTTCTCTATCACTCCTGCTGCCTTTTCTCCTTCGAGCCTCGATTTCCGGCATGAATTCCCCGCATCCCTGCGTGTTGATCCGTTGACTTACTTGACACCAAAGAGGAAGTCGTTTTCGCCCAATTTCCTGTCCAAGACGCGGTAGCAGTCCCTTGCCAAGTCATAGATCTATATTTGTTGCATCGTGTGAAAAGAAAGAACATAGTTGTCAGTGGCTGCCCATTACTTTCTTCGCGGTATAATAGTACCATGCATGTTCCAACGGCATCTCGAATATTCAAACGATCCATATCACCCAGACGCGACGTGCGCTGTCTACTTACACGAGTGTTCTCGGCGTGGGTGAGGGATCCTGCCTCGACCTTTCCGCCATACTTTTGGACACGCTGAACGGCAGACTTGCGCATCTGCATGGGCCGAATATAACGCGCAGGAATCGAGAGCAAGTTCGAGTACGTCTTACGAGTCGTTCCCAAAAAGTTGTCGTCGTCCGCGAACCATGAGAACAGCTATAGTTTGTTTTATCCGAGGGAGAAAGAGGATGGATTAGGTGATCAGCATCGTATCATAAGAACGATTCCGTAGGATCAATTGATCCTTCCTCGTTCAATCCTGTTTGCTTGCTTACGAGAGAGTCCTGAAGAGATTCGTCGACGAGGGAAGAGTAAGCAACAGACTTTGCCAAATCCTCTGTGGAAAGATCCTCGTTGGAGTTATATCCCTACAGATCGACAAAGAAAAAGAAGAAACGAGAAGGCAACAGCAGGCGTAGATGTTAGGACGCCTGTTCTTTGTTGTGTTGTATGTATGTGTGTGTGTTTCCGCGATGATTCCTGCAGCGTGAGATTCCTCGTTCGGTGATTTACAGTTTTGCTCAAGTAGGCAATGATCCGGTTAGTTCCCGCGATCCAGTTCTTTCCATCGTGCAGCATCGGCAATTCTCCTATTTCACAATAATTCACCAAGACAATTGTTTAGTTTACTGGTTACTGTTCTGTTGGCACAAGAACATGGACGAGAAGAAGAAAGATCAAAAAAAAAAAAAAAAAAAAAAAAGAAGGTACCGGTGGGCGAGATCCCGGGGTCGTTTGATTCGACGATGGTGTATTCCTGGTGGGAGACGATGGAGAGGTAGGAGATCAGGGCCAGGCACTGGGGGTCGATCGAGGGCAGGCCAAAGGCGCCTCCGTAAATATAGAGCTCTGCGTCGGGCATTGTGAAGGAGGGTAAGGAGGAGGAGGAGTGAAGGTCGAGAGGGAAGGGAGAAAGAGAGTGTGGAATAAAAGAAAATAAAAAGAGGAGCGATGGCTCCGTGCCTGTCTACCTCTCGCCCCAACCTTACCCTTTCCGTGTCAGAAAAATAAATTTCCAAAAGGAGAATGCAACACAAACACACCCTATTCTCTTCGTGTCACATACAACAACACTTCAGAGGCACGCACTTTAATAAAGGTAACTACTCCACCTCATACCCGCGCAGTCTAGTCCGCAAGGCATGCTGCACAGTGGCCTGCTCGACCGCATTGCGTGTCAGCATCCATGGCATCCGGAACTTGCGAATCGCTCGATCCTTCACCTTGTCCTGTCCTTTGGAATCCCTAAGCAAACCATAGCTCACATTCGCAGACGCTGCACTTGACGTACTCGAGGGCGTAGTAGCGGTGGTAGCTGCCAAAGGCGTAACTGTAGTAGTAGAGACATCGATCACTGATGGCGGCTCACTCTCAGTGGCAGTAGTAACAACATCCTGGGATGACTTGGCCTGGAACTGGGCTTCAAGGCGTCGGTAATGAATATCGGTCCGATCGCCAATCTTCATATCAATCGCCTCCTTGTAGGCCGCATAGTCCTTGCGCTGCGTCAAAAAGCCTTCGCCAAGCATTTCCCACGGGTGTTGCTCTGGCAACGTCGGGGTGGTCGCAATGCTAATGGATCGATCCCACACTGCTGTCGACAACTGTGACTCCTCGTTCAGCGTGTCCGATGATGCATCCGTGGTCTCGAAGGTTGTCTCGCCCGATTTGCCAATATCGTTGCTCTTGCCGGTCGTAATATCGGTGGTGGTTGTCGAAGTTGCAGCTGCAGCTGGGGCGGTGGTCCTGAGGTTGCTATTGTTGGTACTGCTGTGTGGCATGGGAAGAAAGAAAGCCAGGTTCCGGAACACCTCCGATGGCATCCTGGAGGCATACAGATCCAACTCTTCCAGATCCGAAAACTGAATCTTCTTCAACAACGCCACCCACTCCGAGCTCTCTAGCAATAACCGGTTCACCCCTAGCTTGTGAAGCCGCAGTTCCGAGACAAACGCCTGAAGCCATGGCAAGAACTGGCGCGCGGCCTGGGACCACTTGACACAGTTTTGGGTACGAGGGCTGCCGAGAACGAATCCAGAGGTCGCCACCGCCTTCGGGAGAGAGGCGCCGATGCCTCGTTTGCCTACGCTGATCGACTTGCTCAACGCGCCGACAACAACCAGAATCTCTAGGAAAGGAAGGACCTTGGGCGTGATAGTCTGGAAAAACGTCGCCAACGGCTCTCCGTCGTCCATGGATCCGATCAACACCAGCTCATCGACACTTGATCCAAACCTGACCAGAAACTGCGTCGCCTCCTCCCACTCTGCTTTGGCGCCTTCGACCGGTGACAAGTAGACCGCAAAGTGAGATGACAGTTGTGACATAGGCACCTGGGATCGCTCGATGACCTTGGTCAGGTCCTCGTACCCCTTCTTATCAAGCCCCAAGATATTGATCTGAATACTGGCTAGGTGTGATCCCCTTGACCGCGTACAGGCCTCCAGTGTCTTGGCGTCGTGGTTCGAAAACTCGAGGCACTTCAAGTACGTGAGCATGTACCCAAAGAACATCAAGACCGTGTAGACGTTGCTCGACTTTCTAGAGTAAGTAAGCGACATTGGCTGTGCTGGGATCCTGTTTGCCTCAGGGGCTGTAGTCGATGAAGTCGATGTGCTTGTTTCCTCTGCGGCCGTTGTCGTTGTTCCATTTGCCGCTGTTGCGGAATCTGTAGTTGTTTCCGACCAGGTGAGACTCATGTCCGCTTTGTCTCTCAAGCCAACTTTCTTGGGAACTCGCGAAGGCCCTACCGCAGCAAAGGTCGCCTTGATCGCCTGGTAGACCTTGAAGAACTGGAGAGTCTCCGTTGTCACTCGCAGCTTTCTCAAGCAAGGGTTCAACTCGATGAGCTGCTGGAGAGCCTTGAGTTCCTGGTGGTTGTGGACTTCCAACCAGAGTCGCTCCAGCTTGTTGGCGAACCGAAGCGTGCTGTTGGACCACCGTTGGATGCGCATCGACTTGCGCGCCTCGTCCTTGCCTGATCGTATCGAAACCTGCTCGTTGTAGCTGACCATGGCCTTGAGCATCACCAAACCGACGTCGCCCTTGATCGCATTGTTCATGAAATGGAACCCACGCTCGAGGGTCGGACTGTTGAAGCTGAGTTTGGTCTTGGCATTGGGTCCTGCTGTCCTGACCATGTCGCACAACGCGGGGTTCATCCGGTCCGGGTCCCAGTCCGCGAAGGAGCGCGAGTTCATGAACAGCCGATCCAGAGACTCTTGGGTGTCCGGGTGGTCGGATGGGTCACTGATGTCCATGTAGAACCCTTGAATTCGCCGGCAGTCGACAAGGTGCTTGATCAGTTTGGTCTTGAAGTGACCCAGGATGTAGTTGGGATCATTGACATCGACGCCTCGACAGGGCTCCTTGAGGTTGATGGGGCCTTGAACAATATGCTGCTCGAAAGGGACAAAGAGCTTGATCGACACGGCAGTGGTGCGAAGAATGGTCGCCTGCAGAACGGCGATATCCTCCTCATTCACATGCCAGGCCAGCTCCAGGCCGAGTTCCTGCAAGTTCTCCGCCTTGACAATCGCCTCATAGAACTTCAACGCCTCCTCCCGTGAACACAGCGACACCAAAAGAGCCCCCAATGCCTCGTTGTAAAAGAATCGCTTCAGGACCACCTGCAAGACCTTATAATCGTTCTCCGGGAACCGCTCCTTGTAGTGGTCAAAGCAAACCCACTTGGCATAACCCTCGCTGGTAATGATCCTGAACAACGTCCCGGCCGAGCCTTCCTTGTCCAGATTGATGGGAGCGTAAAAGTCCTTGACGCGAGAAAAGTCCCAGCTTCCTTCCACCTTGCCTGAGTCCGGCTCATTCTGGATGTAGCTGATAGCGCAGAGGACTTTTTTGTATATGGGCGAGTCTTTGTTCATCGGCGGGACGGCGACTCCGTTGTCCTTGTATCCAAACGCCAGCATCTGAAGAATCACCCACATGTGGTAACCGAAGCGCGCGACAAACTCCTCGATGTACAGTAGGTCGTAGCCCTCATGCAGAGTAAAGTGAAGCTGATGAGGAGGAAATCTCCTCCGTTTCTTATCCACCCGGGTCGCCTCGTCGTCATCTGGCTGTGTGAGTTGACAGCACTCGCAGAGGAAATAAAGTCGGAATCCTGCTGCCGCGCTGTCTCCTTTCGGTAAGATGACAAACATTTTGGGGTCCAGGTGCTGGAAAACGCCATAGTGAACGCCGGTGAGCTGATCCGCTTTGGGTTGAAGGAACTCGGGACGCATCTTCCTGAACAGCATCCTGGTCGAGTTGGTGTCCTTAATCACGGCCTCATACTGCATGCGGAGAGGATGACCGAACGGGATCCGTAGCTTGAGTCCAAGAAGGGTCGCAAACAGGATCCGTCCCCGTCTCTCGGCCTGCAAGATCTGGTAGTCGGTGGTCGATTTTAGGTACGCGTAAAATAGATGAGCGCATGTGAGGAGCTCCGTTTTGATCGACTCAAAGTCGGCCTTTGTCGCCTCGTCAGAACCCTCGGGTGGCTCGGAGGAGAGAAGGAGTTGAAGAAGACTTTGTCGTTTCCGTTTGGTCGCAGGAGGAAGGTTTTCGTTACTATTGTCGGCCGTGTTGTCACCATTACCGTTGGCGAGTCCTTTTAATGGCGGCACTAAGGTATGCAGGAAGGTTGTAGCTGTCGCCTTTTCCTGCTCTTTGAAGGATGCAACTCTGTGTATTGAAGGAGTAGGGGTTGTCGCTGGTTTTGGCGGGCATGAGTGCGATTCTTGCGGCGTATCCGACTGACTTGAAATGTATGTATCCTGTGGGCTGCCGCTCCTTTGCTCCTGTTCTTGCCCTTGCTCCTGCACGACTTCGTGCGCGATCTCCTCGATGGAATCCAGATCAGTCGAATGCTCACCAACCACATCATAGTCCTCCGAGTCTGCACAAGTCCCTAGCGACGGAGATGATATTGCTGGGGACTCTAGCATCGCTGGTTGCTGCGGCGGTTGCTCCTGGATGGTCGATATCGCCGTGTCCTGGGAGATGTCAATGGAGTTTGTTGTAGGTGTTGTTGTGGTCTTGGAGGTGATGGGCTGAACGACTGAGACCAACGATGACTGCTGGGGCACTGCAGCTGAGTGATTCGAATGCGAAGGGCCTGTCATGTCCAGAGTATTATTTAGTTCCTGCTTCTTGTCCTGTCCGTGCTGTTGCTTGGTGCTCTTTGAATCAGCTGACTTGTTGATAGAATCGACTTTGGATGGTGCATTAGCGACTGTGCGAGAAATTGAAGGCGAGAGGTTGTAGACGACATCGAGAATCGCTCCAGGAACACACTCTATCCGAAATGGCTTGATCCTATCCGTTTTGTTGTTCGGCGGCGGAACGCTGGTTAATTATTGCCTCCTTTACGCTCCAACTGAAGACATAGTACCCGAAGCAATCGGGGTTGTTTTTGTTACCTCCGCTCATTGTCGTCTCTCATATAGGTGACAATGATATCCTCATGTTGGACACGCAGTATCCCCGGAAAGGCGACTCGCAAGTCGCTCCAAAAGATGTATTTGCTGGGGGGTACTGAAGCGATGAGATGACCTGCCCGGGCCTTGAGACGGACGAGTGTGCCATGTGAGCGGAATGTCTGGTAGTCGCGATCATTAGTTGTTGTTGGTGTAGGGTGTTGGCTGTCCGAGGATGCCATTTGGTTTCCTGGATGTGTTTGAACTTTGAATCGGTCAGTTGGTGATGTACAACAAACGAGGGAGTTGAAGAAGGTGGGGAAGAGACGACCCTGATGTACAGTGCTTCGATCGAAGTAGAGGTGGAGGCCCCTTAAGCGAAGAAGCACTGATCAACGCAGGAATCACCAGCCAATTAAACTTAGTGATAGAATGGCAACAGATCAACAACGCGTTTGCAGTCCTTAATTGCATCTCGTGGCTCGTCTTTTCTCTTCCTTTTGCTAACCCTCGTGCTCGTTTCTTGCTTTTGTTCCCTCCTTCTTTGTACCCCACTCCTTACACTCTAATTATGGAAACACAAACACAACAGCCACAACACCAACAACACCCTCAACAGCAGCACCAACACCAACCGGCAACAAGGCTGGTCTCCCACTGGGCAAAGTCTACCCCCGAGGAAGGCATCCAGCTCATCTTCAACAAAACAGACACCGACAACGCTCCCGCTGGAGTCCGCATCCTCACCTCCCCTACATCCATCGAACGGCCCTGCCAATGGGACATCTGTCTCCGACTCGTTTCTTCTCCCCTTTCTTCCCTTGCTTCTTCTTCTGGTGGTTATCGTTCTGGTTCTGGTCCAAACGAGACTGTGTCCTCGCTTCCGAGTTCCAGGGAACACTCTACTGCATCCACGCCTCCACGTCGAGTACCGTCGCAACTACAACAACAAGCAACATTTCCGACTACCCTGTATCATCGATCAACAACTCCACTTTTGGTTTTGACCTTGCAGCGAGCCAGCATCTGGTTGAGCTCTGCTGAACATGGCGGAGGACAAGGTGGGGATGGTCAAGGAGATGGAGGAGGAGGAGGCGGGAATATGAACTTTGAGGATCCAATGAACCCTGGTCGCGCTCGGTGCGACTCCTACCGGACTATCTATATCTACAGCCCCCGACTTCGACGAGACATCCATGTCCAGCCCATCAACCGGGACGTCTGGCCCCAAACAGGTACTCTTTTTATTCTTGACCAGTGTCGTTTTGTTTTCCTCTGCGCATGTGCGTTTCCTTCCACAGCTTTTGCCATCACTACTATCTTTTTTTTTTTTCGATCACCCATCATGACAACGATCAGTGATCTTCGCCAAACATGAAATTGATCATCAATCACACACTTTTTTTTTCCCTATCTCTTCATGCGAAAATCAATCCAACCATAGTGGTATTCAAGTGCGAAGACGTGACCGACGAGGAACACAAGTACCACTTCCAGATATGGCTTTCGGGTGCCAGCCCACGCCAGACTGATGCCGAGACAGACGCTCGAACAACCCAACAAAAGAACCTGCTCTTTGCTATGCGTCAAGATACCTCTACTTGCAATGTCCAGATATGTATCAGAGATCCACCGCCTCCAATGACTGTCCCGCAGGCCTGTCTTGAGACTGCGTCATCCAGGGTGTTTGCCAAGCAGGCTGCGAATCTTGGTAGTCCTGGTGGACATTTTATGGATGGTGGTTGCTACAGCCGAGATTACAGCAACAACGGCAACTATTGCAATGCACCTTTGGTCACTGCCTCTTCCGCTCCTCCAGGAACGACATACGTCAAACACGACATCAAACACGCCCACAAACCCCATGACAACAACAGCAACAACGAATACTCTACAGAACCTGCCAGGGCAACATTCTGGGCACACAAGACAATCCTTGAGTCGGTCCCATTCTTCTCTCGGATGCTGAGCAGTGGGTGGTTTAAGGAAGGTCAACCGGGTCCGGATGGGATCTTTAGGATCAATCTTTCGAACGATATGTTTGAGCCCAAGATCATGGACACCTTGCTCGATTATGTCTACACCCGTGAGCCAATCCACGATGACGAGTCCATGGGTAACGACGATAATATCGACAAGACCAACAATGGCAACGGAAATGGCGATGGCTACTATAACAATAACAACATCAACTACAGCAACAGCAATGCCCGCTACGCGGAAGACTACGGGTCAATGACCGACTCGCCAACAATAGACAGACGCCACTATGTCAGCGCAAACGTCGCCCTCAACTTACAAACCGACGTCTCGGAACCCTCACCGGCACGACCTCACCACCCCCAATTAAATCCTTACTCTCAACCGCCCACAACAGCAGGGCGTAGCTCATCCTGGCCCTTCACACCACCAACAACCACAGGCCACGGCCATTGCCTCGACACCCCATCCACTCTCACTTCCCTGCCCCCACCAACACCCAACCCAATACACCCCTACAAATCCCGACACACAAACTCCCTTCGCACGCGCTTGAATCCCGAAGACTGGTTCCTCCTCTACCGCGCCGCCATCCACATGGAAGATCTCCCACTGCAAGCCCAAGCACTCTACAAGATCCAAGCTCAACTCAACGTCCAATCTGCTCTCGAGCGTGCTCTGACTTGGGGACCGGGTTACCCAGAGATCAAAAGGGTAGTGTTGAAGTATGTGTTTGATGAGCGACGGGCAATCTTTGGAGACGAAGAGCGCAACCAGTTGAGACCATACTTGTGGCCCGAGATTGAGGATCAGGTGGATGTTCTTGTCGAGATTACGAGCAAGATTGCTCGGCAGTGAGAAAGAAAAAAAGAGAGAGGGAGAGAAAGAGAGAGTCTAAGGAAGGCGCTAGTGAATGTGAGATGATGACAGGATGCGAGAGCGCGATATAGCGGTGAAAGGGAGATGGTCTCGCTGTCTAATAAAAAGAATAACTCATGCTTTTACTTTTGCAGCATGCAGGAGCAAACACAAAAATGTAGATACTTTGAACTGTAATGTCCTGCATTTGTTTCTTGAGAGAGCCGAGATCGAGGGTTCAAAAAGCAAGGTCGCTATGAGCGAACGCTTGGCTGCCACAAGCCGGTTATCCGTCTACAAGATAACCTTCCAATTAGCCTGTCTCAGAGACTGGAAAGGGAGGGTTGGTAGGTATCGCGTGGATGAAAGCTTTCTACTTCAGTTAAGAAACTGTTCCACCATCGCATGGTTTCCCATCCCTTAAATGTCCATTAAATGTTGCCCTTTTCGTGTTGCCTTGATGTTGACCCCTGATGTGGCCCATTGGTATTATATCTCGGTATTGTCTCTCGCAGAATCATTGCAAACCCGCCACAAGTCCCTATCAAGAACACTCCTGGGACCTGCACTACTCCCGCACACATATCTCCATATTCTTGACCCGGCTCCAGTAAGTCTATATGACAATGCTATTGCAATTACACTTAAGGAACAGCAATGTGCATTTATAACTGACCTATACATCTCCGAGATGAAGTCGAGATAACCCTCCACGGTTGGAGTTGGTGACGGTGATTGCCGCATATTGGCAATGTAATCAGCGGCACGAGCCTCGTGCTTGGCTGGGCGATCCTTAAATAATTTAACTATGAGACGCGTGCTGAGAGAAACGTAGCGATCGTCCTATGGAAAACAATACAAGTAAGAATGAAGAACGTCAAGTCAGAAACGAGCCCTAAATCAAGAGTTGTACTCCAAAGCAAGACTGCCAACGTCATCCCTTCGCCTGAGAATGTAGTCATATCATCCACAGCCGAGTCAATGTCAGAGTCACTGGTGATCGGGCCATCACCGTCGCTTACAAGCTGATCGTCGCCGTCGACATGGCTAACCTTCGCCATTTGTGCAGTCGGATTCTAAAAAGCAGAGTACAAGAGGAGAGAATTGGCCGAGTCAATATCACCGCGTTCATGGCGCGAAAAAAGGACAACTGTAACATCTGTGTCACAAGGCGACCTACCTCCAAAGTCTGATCTGCCGGCCGCTTACTCATGTTGAAAGTTCCTATTATCACAATCACCATCAATGAGATATCAGTGGGATTCAGACATATTTCTGAAACAGGACTTTGTGATTTCCTTCTAGCATACCTTAGCGATAAGATAGTGTTATGGTGTGCAAGTACGTTGTTTGGGTTGTGTTGGCATTACAATGAGCAGTGGCGAGAATGGTGCAAGGTAAGACACGGCATCATGCCCATGATGCAGACAGACGCCCCAACGCCTCCATTTGAGGAAACAGGACAATGGGCGGGCGATTTACTCACTTCGGTGACGTAATTCTCGCGCCCTTTTCTGCTACGCCAAAGGAACCATGTCTAACTGTGCCTCCTCTCCATTTTCTTTTTCACACACCAAAATCCGCAAGAGCAGGACGACGATACGGACCGCAGGACGAGGCAAGAAGGAAAGAGCAGGACAGGTAATGGTTTTGTCTGCGAAGGCCATGCATGGCGTTGTGTACGGATTCTCGAGAATGTGATGCGAGCAGGGTCCACCTTGGGTCCATGAGAAGCTATAGGCTATGCGAGGGCGCTGGACTACTTCTTGCTACGACCTCTCCACGGCGTCCTGTTGTGGTGGTGCTGGATTTGAACTATTGCCTTCGGTTGCCCCGTGGGTCCATGAGAGACGCATAGGCTATGCGAGGGCGCTGGACTGTCTCTCCATATGACCCCTCCATGGTCCGAGGTGATTTCTCTTCATTCCTTGACTGTGGTGGTGCTGCAATTCGAGCAACATGTTCTCCGTCAGACTCGTGGGTCCATGAGGGTGAGCAGACGAAGATGTGAAGAGTTACTCCCTCCGTACGACCCCATCCATTTCTCAGGTCCACTCCTCGCTGGGAAGAGCAGAGATCTATATCGCTTCAGCAAGAGATCGGCTCCTTGGGTCCATGAGAGGCCACAGACTATGCGAGGGCGCTGGACTACTTCTTGCTATGACCTCTCCATTCGTGGTGGTGCCGTCGATTTCGAGCTGTTGCGTGTTGGTTGCTCCTTGGGTCCATGAAAGACGCATAGGCTAGGCGAGGGCGCTGGACTGTCTTTCCATATGACCCCTCCACGGGTGAGGCTAATACCCTCTGCTTATGGTGGTGCTGCAATCGATGCTGTTGTCGTCTTCCGGGATGGCGATGGCTATGGTGACCAGAAGTCTTCGCCCAGCTGCGGTTGTTTTCACCGCTGAGTGACTGGGACCACTGTGTGTACGGGTTAATAGCATCAATGGAGCTGTACGGTTGTGCTGTCTCCTCGGTTCACTAACCATTACACTTTTTTTTTAATTAGACCCACCTGTCGTTCTTTATCGGTGAGTGATATGACCACTTTGCTCTCCACGGTGCAAGAGTATTTGTATGGCACTCGGCAACCCTTTACCATTGACCGGCAAGTCAACAATGCCTATGCAAGGAAGGTGACACTTTTGCTTCTCCTTGCTCGCATCTTCAAGTTCTGTTTGACTGTCCCCGGCAGCAATGGGACCTTTACCATTGCTAGATAGACTCTGCTACAAGTGTGTCCTCATGTGTTGTACAAGGACATATTCAATCTTCTCGCCATGAAGCTTTTCGATCTTGTAGATCACGATGAGCCACGTATCTCAAAGTTGATCCGCGATGAATACGAGGGGGCGAAAAGATCCCTCCTCAAGAGTGGATGTCAGCCAACAATCAAGGACGACACGAGGCTCCTCGTGGTCCACGACGAGACGCAGCTTCTTGGCGATGCACTCAATGGCTCCTTCCAGTCTATGTCGTCATCAGACGAGTCCCCGCGACCACTACTCTCTTCAATCCTGACGCGTTCCGAAACATCGGCGAACATCAGCTGGTCATCTCAAACACCCGTTCCAGCCCAAGCAGTGACATGGGGAGCACGGAACATGCGACCACAACTAGCTCTTCTTCAAAGACGGCAGATGAGCTCATCCTCAACAACCCCAAGACCGCTTGCTCAATACACACGGCCCTGCAGCAGACGCAAGCTGGACCCTCTGCATCAACATTTCGCCGCGCAGTGGGAAGACCACCAAAATCAAGACAAGGACAAGCACCCAGAGCTAGTTCAGCTCGGAATGCCCAGCGTGAAGATCATCCCCTACTTGCCACCGGAGGTTCTTGGACTCACAGATCGGCCACGGACGGTGTAGCTCCACATGCGACGACCACATTATCCAGTTCAGTTACGACCTTGTCCAAGGAGAAGGCCACTGACTACCAAGTCCGTTTGAACCTGCACAGCCAATCGTTGACCCACAAGGTTCCTGTCGAGCTTGAGGACAGCCCCGAGCTGTCTCCCCCTCCCTTCTTTCAGCCAACCGCTATGATCGAGGAATCTGATGATGAGGAACGACTCGTGCGCAACACCCGCAAAAACAGATCAATGCAGGGACTTGATTACGGATCGCACGCTTTGGGCGACCCCGTACTCCCATATAACGACATTTGCGACTTTGATCCAAGATGCACACTATGACCAGGGAGATTTGGATACGTCTGTCGACAGAAAAGATCAATGGATACTAGAAAAAGATCAAAGGATGTTGGAACTCGGAGGGCCAATCGGTAGAACCTTGCAAATGTAGAGATAATATTCGGCGGGTCAATCGGCCTTTACTATTAGTTTGTAGTCACTGACACAAGTTTAGCCAGCCACGCAGATTGTAACGGCAACACAGAGCCCCTCCTCAAGCTATCCAAATACAGTGTTGGGCGAACGGACGCCTCCAATGCACCCCCGTTTTTTTTCACCTCCCTCCGCGAGCGAAGCCGCGGGTAATATTCTAGTCACCATACAAAATGGTCAAAAGAGCATACATGTGCTCGTCAAGATATAGACAAGGCAAACTTGAGCTTTGTCGTTGGAGAAAGGTACAAAGAGCAAGGACAGAGAGAAAAGCGATGCAGTAATAAGGGTAATCAAGTTGACCATGCTAGCAATGAATTGATGGCATTTGCACTCAACTCATGCCGCTCCTATTGTTATGTGTCTTTGTTGTAGGCATCCGCCGTTATTTCTTGCTCCAATCAGCTAGAAGCGATTCCTGAAGCAGAACGGAAGCTCGATCGCCGTTAATAACTTGTAAAAAAGTGAGAATATGTAGACAACTCTTTTTTTTTTTTTTCAGACGGAACCTTGTTTCTAAATGTTTTTGATGGCAGAACGCGTTGACGCGTCTTGTGAGTCTGAGGCTGCGACTGATCAAAGTGCTTCATTTCACCTCTTGATAAATTTTCAGGGTTAGTGATCACCTGTGGAAGTATTACCTCTCTTTTCCTCTTCTTGACGTGAACTGCTGAGGTAACGTCCAGCGAGAACGTGAACCATGGGCGAACAACGTCGCCAAAAGAACATTCATGCTCGCTGAGGTCCACAGCTACAAAGGTAGACAGATGGACGAAAAAGAACAGAGATAACTAACAAAAGGCGAGGACCTTCTCGTTTTCTCCCAGAGACAAACCACCATCCCTTTTCGTGTCTTCATACTTCTTCGCATCCATACACATTCGCCTCAAACGCCTTGTTATCTGCGCGTAATCAACGAGAACAGTAGGTGGTCTTTTTTTCCCCTCTTTCTATTCCTGTGGTGTTCTTGCATTTCATGTTTTTGATGTCCGCTCAACTATGGATCCATGAGCATCAAAAAAATCGCGTTGACTCTTTTCAAGTGCTTCACTAGAAACGTTAACCCTTCTCACAATTCACCTCTCATCAGAAAAAAACATATACCCTTGGAGTTGGCATTCTACGCCCATCCTCTCAATTTATGTCCCAGCCGTGCTCACATATTTTTGACCTGCATGAACACTAATACTTTCCTGTGCCTTTTCATTCGCTCTATGAGAGGTGAAGCAAAGGGAAAGATCTCAACATCAAACCAAACACGCGATACAAACACACACCATCGTCATTCGGATGCCCATCCGGCCGCATGTCATTCACTTACTTGCGCTACGCGGGGCGGTGAGTCGGCTGCCAAGATGGATTTGTTTATCCATGTGTCGTGTGAATCCTTTTTCTTGTGAATGTTGTTTGGGGTATCCTTTATGGCGTTTGTTGTGAAGACAGGGTGGCTCTCAAAATTTGTTTTATGCAAGGGATACCGCATAGAAAATACCTCACTTCCCTCATTCTTCTTCTTTTGCACTAAGCTATTATAACGAAGCGCCTTTCGGGTGCCGAAGAGAGTTATCCAACGAGTTTATTGTATACTTTGGGGTGATAATGGACGTCCCTCAAGGCACTAGATAGACTGACATTGCTAGAAGATTCATTTGTTGGCGATTGGTGAGAGGGAGTCTAGTTTCTTAGGGCAATCAGGTTTCTAAAAATAATATCTGATGGTGCCTTGATGGCTGATGGTTGTTGATGGTCTACTGGTTCCTAGATGGGTCTGGTAGATAGTCAACACCTCCCTCCGTTCCTCTTTCTTACATCGTATTCATGGTCAAGCAGAAGTACAGGAGTGAGAGAGGAGGCGTTTTCAGGGCCATCCATTTTTTAACTTGATGGGAATTCTTGTTGCTTGTTTACCCACCGGTCTCTTCCTCAGGCAACCATTGGATGATTTTCGGCGCCCCTCTATCGTCAGTGAGAAAATTCAGCCATCTCGTCTTCTCTCCTCGAAAATGTACTTCTACCTTTACTTCTGCATGTTAGTTTGTGCTCTCATTTTTTGGGTCCAAATGGACCTTGTGTCATCAACTCGTAGCAATCTCGTTTAGGAAACGCCTAGTCGTGTGGACCAACAACACAAGGTAACTCTTTCAAGGGTTGCCTTCAGCCGAAAGGAGTGAGTTCAGCCAGCTCTCTTCTGTGGTTGCGTGAATGTACCTTTTCTATGAGGCCAAGAACAGTAATGAGAAGGCTCTCATTGGGGGTCGACATCTTATTTCACGCAACTATTTCGCCATCTCTCTTAGAGAATAGTGCGATGAGAGAAAAGTGAGCATGGCGAGTGTGCGGTCTGCATTCTGCTCTCTCTATTATTCCTTTCTATCGTCTTCGATTGAGGTGGCAGTGGCAGAGAAAGAGTGCTAAAATAAGGGATTTCAGAGACGACAAGAACGACAAGAATAAAAAAAAAAGGGACGATCGAGATGTGAATGAGACTGCATCGATCTCGTTCTTACCCTTGTTACATTTATACCAGGCCAACTGGACTTGCTTGGGCAACTCTCCCCTTTTTTTTAATTTCATTTCGTTTTAGCAATGATCGAATTTTCTTATTCCTCCGTTCTTGCAATCTCGTTCTTCCCTTACCCATTGAGCAAGCAGAGGGATGGATGAGAGGGTGATTCCCTTGCACATGTCAGGGCAAAGAAGCAATACCTGGTACCACTTCTACACATACCCCTTATCTTTCTGCTGACGCATGAACAGATGAGGGATCCTATAGGGTACGATTAGAGAAGGGGAGACGCCGGTTTGAGGGGTGGGCAAATAGGGCGGCGTGTGAATGTCGACAGTTCAGCCCTGGCTTAGGTTGAGCCAGGGTCTGACACAAAGGGTAACTCCCTCTCTCTCTCACTCTCTCTCATTTCTGTTTTGCCACCACCACTTCCTCGCTCGTTTATTACATCTTCGTACCCTACCTGATGTACTCCTACTTCAGTGAACGAATTAATGTCGACTCTTCCCTCCTTCGTTGCAGGATGATACACACCAAACCGAATATCTTCCCCTGAGAGTATCTATATTCCATAGCGCCTTTTCTTCAATATTGAGAGCAATTTCCCTTTTCGCAAATAACAGTCAGAAGGGCAACAGAGGGCTCAATCTGGCCCAGTTCCTGTCCAACTCCCTCTCTTTCGCTCGTTACACCTCGTATTTATGGTTATTGGTGTCCAACTGGTCTTGTTGGAAGCAATAAAATAAGCAAAAATGAATGTTTAATTGAGTGAGTGCGTTTGGATGAGTAGGGGTATAAAAGGCGATGGATCTCCCTGGAAAAAAGAGTTCATCATCATCCTCTCTCCTCCACTTCTTTGATCCCCCTCCTCCCTCTCTCCTCCCCTCTCCTCCTCCCCCTCCAACCAACTCACCTTCTAATTAACCCCTTCCTCTTCACATCGTCATGAAGATCACTGCAACCCTCATCTCCTTGGCCGCCGCCGCCTCCCTCCTCATCGTCGAGGCCCAGTCCCCCGCAGGAACTGCAATCCCCCTCTCCTTGAAGCCCAACCACAAGCGCAACTTCCGTGCCGCGATCGCAAAACTCGCTCACCGCTACCCCCAGCTCAACCTCGAGTCCCACCATGCCTTCCTCCCTCCTGGCACCCCCATCAACCACGGTGCCCGTGATAAGGGTACCGGATCTGGAAAGGTTCCTTTGGTTGATGTCAGCACTGATTCAGAGTACTATGGAACTGTTCAGGTCGGTACTCCCGGCCAGGCCATCCGTCTCGATTTCGATACCGGTTCCTCTGACATCTGGTTCCCTACCTCGGATTGCAAGACCAAGGCCTGCAAAGCCCACCGCCAATTCAACGCCAAGAAGTCTACGACCTACAAGAAGGACGGTCGCCACTGGGAGATCGGTTACGGAGACGGCTCCTCTGCCTCTGGAATCCTTGCTTCCGACATTGTGAACGTCGGTGGTATCAAGGTCCGCCAAACCATCGGACTCGCCACTAACGAATCTGCCCAGTTTGCCTCCTCCCCCGAGGACGGTCTCTTCGGTCTCGGCTTCAACACCATCGAATCCGTCAAGGGCGTCAAGACCTTCCTTGACAACGCCATCTCGTCCAAGGCTATCGCCCAGCCTCTGGTCTCTGTCTTCCTCCCCTCCGTCCGTCGTAACGGCGGCAAGGGCGGCAACTACCTCTTTGGTGCCATCGACAAAACCCGCTTCACCGGTTCCCTCAAGTACGTCCCCGTCACCCGCAAGGGCTACTGGCAGATTCACATCTCTAACGCCAAGTACAACAAGAAGGCCTTGAAGCAGGCCTCCGAGGGCATCATCGATACCGGCACCACCTTGATCATCGTCGGAGACGCCGCCGCAAAGGCCATCCACAAGAACATCAAGGGCGCCGTCGATGCCTCCAACGATCCCAACATCGGAGGCTGGACCGTCCCCTGTTCGCTCGCCAAGACCTCCAAGGACAACGTTGCCTTCACGATGGGCGGCAAGGACTTCCAGGTCCCCGTTGCGGATTTGGCATGGTCTCCTTTGGACAGCACTGGCAAGGATTGTTACTCGGGTATCCAGGGTGGTCAGGATGGATTGTGGATTTTGGGAGATGTGTTCATCAAGAACAACTACTGTGTCTTTGAGCAGTCTGCTTCCCCCCGCATCGGTATTGCTCCCCTCAAGTACTAGATCTTTGAAATATTGTGAAAAATTAGGAGGGAAGGGCAGATGGAAAGTTGGATGGGCCCTGGTGGCTTCTCCCTTCGTATCCTCTTACCTTTTTTTTTTCTTTTTCTTTTTTTGATACCATTTATTCTTCGTCATGACAAACAAAATAAAAGCATTCTGATGAGCATTAATCCATATCTCCATCATCAAACCAATTCTCTTGAAACCAAGGATGTATGCACATGCACATCCCTCCATCTCCTGTCAATTTCATCTCTCCCTTCTTTGCCTACCTCTTTTTTTTTTTTTTTTTTTTTTTTTTTTTTTGGTATCACGGGGAATGTCGTTCCTATCTAATGAAGGAAAGGAATGAAGGAAAGGAATGAAGGAAAGGAATGTAAGAAAGTGTCGCGAGTGGACCACATGGGTGATCGCACTAAACTGATTGATTTACCGACTGAGACCAAGAAGGTTTTTACTGATTGATGGGCACTTTTCTGTATGTTATCGTTGTCCATCAAAGATAACTTGTTGGCGCTTAACGTCCAGCAATTGGAGACCGTTCAAGTACTTGTCATAATGCGATCTGTAGCCATTTTCTGACATGGTCATAGACAGCGATGGACAGCGAAAAACTAGGATGTTGAAGCAAAGTACTTGTAGATCAAGTACTCCTTTTTTTTTTGCTGTGTTTGTATGTATCATGAACCAAAATAAAAAACAATCAAAGCTATGTACTGTACAAAGGATATAAAGAATCACGGTCTGAATCTGATCGTAACCGTGCCCGCCATGCTAAGAACAAAGAAGACAGATAATAATAAGACCGTTAGTGAAGAGATTGGCATCATAGATGACTGGAAATGCAAAAGAGCAAAAAAGAAAATAAAGCTTACTTGGCGTATTGAGAGGCGTGGGAGGAGGTGACGACAAGGTCATCAACACCATCCTTGTTCAAATCGGCGACCAACAACTGAGACCCAAAGCGGCCTCGAGAATCAGTGCCAATAAAACACTGCTTGATCCGGTCGCCGTCATTGCCGCCATCATCGTCATCATCATCTCCACCATCTCCCTCTCCATCATTCGAAAACACGAGCTGTTGGCCCCTCATACTAACAACATCCTTCTGTCCTCCTACTCTTCTTCTCCTGCGTCCACCGTTATCCTCATCATCACCTCGTCTCCTAGAATAATTAGGCTCCCACTCCAAAATGCGTCCATCTTCGCCTTTAGCATAAGGTTCGGCTAGCCAAAGACTCTTGCCATCCGTCGAGACCTCCATCGCGGCCGAAAGATGCGCCATCGACTGGGACCCCTGCAAAGAATCCCGGATCACATTGGTATCGTTATCCAGATCCGATATATTGACAATCGTCCCGTTGGCGATCTGCGAGATATCCAGGATCCGGACCATGCCCGCTTGCCATTGACGACCGAGCTTGGGAAGCGTGTTCAACACATCCTCAGACTGCGACCCAACAATCAGCAGGTCTTTGAATCCAGAGGGCGAGTCCGAAGAGGAATGATTGGAGGCAGCGAGACGAGATCCGAGTTGCTGAAACTTGGTGTCGCCCAGGATCGTAAACATCCACTGCGGCCTCAAAAACGGCTTGACTGGAGGCTTGGTTGAGGGAGTCACCACAGTAACATTGGGGAGCAAGAATCCTTGAATATGACCGCGCATGGCATCCTGCTCATAATCATCGCCTCCAAAAGTAGGCGACCCCACCACCAAAATCCTCCTCTCCCTCAGCTCTACTTCCTCCTTGTCCTTATCTTTGTCGCCTTTGCGGTTGAACCAAGATGGGATCAGCCACGACCACCTGGACGGCGTTGAAGGAGCAGTCTGCGAGAACGACTCTGTAATGACAGCTATCGAGGATCCAAACCACGCAAACTTGGCATCGCCCTGCAGTTCCCAATCCCGATCAATGTCAAGGATCGGACCTTTGTGCCTAGTAGAAGCCAAGAAAGCAACAACTTTGCCAGTCTGGCGAGCCAATTCCAGCGGGGGCTTGGTCTTGTTCGAAGGCTTGGTAGGAACGATACCATAAGCCATTGGCATCCCAACAACAAGATCCTTGAATCCAGAGCCCGTCAGATCTAGACCTTCGACGACATATCCCAACCCAGCAAGAGCTCCGACACTTTGAGGGACATCCAGCGCCCTGTCTTTGGTCCTGTCATGGTGAATAATCACGTCTGGCGTATTATTGAATCCTTGTCCACGGCGACCAAAGTAGACAAAGACCGAACCTCCATAGACCATATCCTTGGCTCCATGTCCCGGTGCACCAATCGCCAGATCATCAATCCCGTCCTCGTTCAGATCAACAACAGCAAGTGACCATCCAAACCGAGACTGGGGCTCTGAAGGATCGCCATGGAGGACATGTGAGGCCAGGGTGCGAACATCAGTGCCCTCGGGGTCATCCTGCAGATTGTCATCGTCGTCGTACAAGGTCTGACCGGGGACAATAAAGACCGATCCTTGGGAGGGAGCTCTGGGGTCAAAGGTGACATGAGGGGCAGCAATGGCTAGGTCAAGGATACCATCGCCATCAAAGTCTCCAGTAACCACAGCGTGGCCGAACGAGGAGTAGGCGATAGGAAGAAAGAGTGTCTTAACCTGCGAGTCGAACTCGTCCGAAAATGTCAAACAGGCATTGACACGAGATCCTGACGCCTTGATCGCTTCCATTTTTGTCAGCTTCATGTTGTGTGAATGGTGTTGTTGCTCCTGCTGTGCCAATTGCTCATCCTCGTCAACAGGTGCCACCTCAAAGTCGAGCCCCTCGTGTTCAACAGAGACATTGCCGTCATGTGGAATCCTCTCGATGGAATAGGTGACCATGCCATGCTTGCTGTCGGTATCGGTCTTGACCTTGTACCCAGCCTGCTTGAGTCGCAAGAGAGCCTTTGCACCCTCGATAGCAGCATGTCCATACCGGGCTTGTCCCTCTCGGGCATTGTCCAATGCATCTCTGCGATATGTCTTGGTCCGTTCCTCCCAGAGAGCGTAGCATAGGTTGAAGGTAGTGTTGGTTCCAATAGGGTCGATAAGGTCGGGTAGTGGTCGTACCTCGTCCAGGTACTGAGCCAGTCCATGCCAACAGTCGACTGTCCACTCTGTCATGTCCCTCAGCCCACCCAAGGGGTAATCCTCGACCTGCTCAATCAAGAACGGCGACTAATTCCAATTGAAAAAATATATATTAATCCATGCATACAAAAGGTATCTCATTTGCGCAGCACCATTCACCCTTATTTTCAATGACGTCAATACAATGATAATGAACTGTCCATTCCAAACTAATAAAAGTGTTCAGTGATGAATGTAAAACGAAATATTACCTGGGGTGCGTAGATAGGGAAAAGCTGGCTCCCAAGACGGGCGTTTGCCTGGACACCTGCAAACCCATTCCTCATACAATGGCTCAGAACAGGGCCTGGAACGCGATACCCCATCCGCTTATAGATCTCTGTAATATCCTTCACTGGCACCTTCCACGACGTGATCAGGTGGTCAATCTTCCCCATGTGAGACAACACAAACTCGGCTCCAATGTCTGCGAGCGTATGGCCCTTGGAGTAATCCCCCCCAAAGCTGGTCTCTGCAAGGACCCCGATGAATCCTGAGGAGAGGCCTCTCAAGGCGTGCCAGGACATGTCTCCGAGTGAATGCGACACTGTTCCAAATAGAAACGTGATCAATTGCTAAAAATAAGTTGTCATCGTTTCGTCAACAAATGTCTCTTGTTAATAAGAGGGGTACACTTGTTAAAGCACTAATGTCGTGTCGGGTGACAAGGGAGAGAGTGGTCCTAGCTACCTTGGTGTGGTCGTCCCAAGGCTTGGGGTATGTCTCGAGGATGTATCTCACGGCCGCCTCTGCAAACGGTGGCCAGTGTGCCTATTATTGTGAGAAGGGTGACAAGGCGTCAATTGCAGTGCGAATTGTGGGAGCAGAGAAATCAGAAAAGGAGCCCACCCCTTTCACAACTCAGCACAACGACACAGGGTCTTTCACTTCCAGGCTCTCTTTCCAGCTGCGTGCGTTGGAACCGTTCCCAGTGTGACCCTGTGTGAACGCACAGGCAGAAAAGAAGCGAGTGATCAAAAGAAGGGCAATGGTGGCAAATGGGAGAGGGATGTGCACACAGAGAAAAAGGAACACACAGACACACAGCAAGCTAGAATTATCGCATGGATTTGGAGGCAAGGAGGAGAGGAAGGATGGGCAAGACAAGGGTGGGAACAAAAAGACGAACGGGGGCACGAGAACAAAAGCGACACACATTCACTTTTCCCATTCGCTCTTCCCATGGGCGTGTGTTGTGGGAATGTGGAATCGCAGTGTGTGAACGGAAGCAAGCGCGATTACCTCCTCGGCGGCCTCATTGTAGAGTTTGCCAATGCAGTTGTAACCCCAATCAGGGAAGAAGCTGCCTGCAAAGAGCAGGTCCTTTTGTTCAAGGAGAGGAGTATAGTCGTCCTGTAGTGAAGTGGAGGTGCGATTCCTGTTGGCATGACTGACTGACTGAGGGTTAGAGGGTGCATGTGAATGAGTTTGGTGTTGAGGTGTGACGAGTCGAGTGTTGTTATTGTTCTCGTTGGTGGTTGAGAGGAGGATACGGGATGCTCTGAAGGCGACTTCGTTGTGGATGGTGACACCGCAGGCATCGACGTGGGGATTGAATGTTGCTGTAGTGGCGAGAAAGAGGAGCAGGGCAGCAGCAGAAGCGAGCGATGGTATAGACTGTGTCATTGTTGGGGTATTGCTAGTTGTGTGGCAGTGGAGGGGTATCTTTGTGTGGAATGATCATGAAGAGAAAGGTGTGTGCGATGTGGAGGAGTTAGAAAGAGAAAGATAGAAGTGGGCTGAATGGTGAATGGGGGGGAAGAAGTGAAAGTAGACAGAAGAGAGACTGACATGGAGGATAGTGAGAAGGTGCACGGGAGACTTACCCGGGATACAATTGGAAAAGGGGCGTCCCTGGATTGGGCGTAGAACAGGGGAGTTTGCAATCGAATGGCACCATGATGCATGCAACAAATAAAATAACAAGAACAGAGGTGCAAGCATACATAAAGCCACAACCCTCTTATCAAGCAGGCAGGGTGACCATGATCACACACCTACCCCCCTCTCCTTTCTCCAAGTAGCCCTTCATCCCATTGCATTGCCTCCCTCCATCTGCGTCACCTTTGTACTTCATCAGACGTCAATTGCACACAAAATTAACACGAGAACACGTTGCCCCTCTTCTGCTTTCTTTTCAAAGGAACACACACCAATCTGCTCAACGCCCAATGCCCATTGTGAGATGGAACTACGACGATATAGACAGAGAGGGGCCATCGTGATCAATGCCTCTGACAGACCGGATGACTTGTTCAAAAAGACGAAAGAAAAGGTTATCAATCAAGCAAAGCAATGAGGTCAATGAGTTGTCGACCAATGGCATAAATAGAGAACCCAGGCACCTACTCTTCATTGTTTCCACGCAATGCCTACAGATGACCACCTTGTGCAACGTGTGGTCAGTGCTCGTTTCCACACCCCCTATTATTTTCCTTTCTTCTTCAAGACAACATACGGGCAAAAAAGCAAAGGAAGAAAAGAAGCAAACAAAGGGACAAAGAAATGAAATGAAAGAAACCGCATGTTGTCCTACCCCTGAAAAGCAACAAGGGGTCTATCTGATCGCATTGCATATCTTCTGCTGTTTGTTCTCTACGCAATATTCACTGCTAATGTTCGATGAGCTGTCCTCTCTACTGTCTCTCATAAACCAGACGACCATAGCCCATGTGTCCAATTCTTGTACCTACGATTTCACTCCATGCGCTAGTTTGTTAGGACATAGTACAACAGAAGAGCTGTTCAACTCTTTCTTCAAAAAACAACATATTGTTTGCTGTGGGTATCAAATAGTATTTTATTATTTACAATCCTGGTTCCTTTAATCAACCCGGTTCAGCCAGGAGTAGTCGCTGTTGTAGCCCGCCGACAATGGCTCATCCTGGTCCTGATCCTGATCCAAAGCATAGGCGGGCTTGTTGCGATCGGAAGACTAAGGCTCTCTTTGATCCAACAGAGTCGCTACGCCGCCACGCTTCCCTGCAAAAACATTGATGCTGTGGCTTGAATGACAGGTCCCAAGGGCGCCTGCACCGTACTGCTCGAGCAACTTACGGTTGATCGTGCTAAGCGTGCCTGGACCGGGTAGCGCAGCACCCGAAGCAACAAGTCCACTGCATCCAGAGCCCCAGACCATCTTGACCGACACCATTCCCAAACCCTCTTCCTCTATTACCTTCCACGCACGAATGGATCCATCCAAGCATGCAGTCGTAAACTCCAGCGCTCTCGGTCTCCACATAACATCCTCGACGCGATCGAAAAACCCCTCGATGACAGCCACGCATCTCCGAGCCACTGGTGTCTCACCCGACGTACAGCTCCACAGGCGAACCTGGACATTGAACAGCGACCATCCACCGACCGCAAGGTGAGAATGTAAAAGTGTTGATCTCGAGTTGTGGCATCAGCATAGAACGGAACTCCTTGCACTGAGAGTCCCAGACTGCAACACCTCCCTTCCCAAAGCTCGATGCGACCTGACGGCGACCTTGTAAAAACGCGACGATACCAGGACCAGATGATCGAGTGGTCATGCTCGACTTTAGGATCCCTGTGTTCGTCTCCCATATGCGAATGTCCCCGTTCCGACAACCCGATGCAACCTCGAGACCGCAAGGTGAAAATACTACGCTCTCGACGACATCATCTTGCCCGGTGAAGACGAGTCCTGGAGCTCCTGTGGATGCCTGCCAGAGCCGTACTGTTTGGTCCTTGTTAGCGGAAGCGATCCAGTCACCGCATGGCGAGAATGCCACGGCATTCACGCCCATCGTTCGAATACGGAGAGCAACCTCAAACGTTCCAACCTGGACCTTCAACACAACCACCTCCTCACCATATCCACCAACGGCCACCCGACTACCGTCTGGAGAGTAGGCGACACAGTCGGTGCCGTCAGGCTGGCCAGAAAAGGCAATATCGGTTTCGCCAGTGTCTGCGTCGTAATGTCGCAATATCCCCGAGCGGCTAACAGAAACAAGGAACCGCCCATCTGGAGAGTACGCCACACTAACTTGGGGGTCGGAATATTCCTGCGCGTCGAGCCTTAATCCACCAGTAGCCACCTCCCATAGCCGGACAGTACTATCCGAACTTGCTGATGCGATCCGGGAGCCATCCGGCGTGAATGTAACGCAATTGACGGACTGCAGATGACCCGTAAATGCAGATATCATCGAGCCAGTGTACACATCCCACAGCTTCACTGATCCGTCGTAGGCACAGGACACGATCGATCTGGAGTCTGGTGAGAAGCTAATTGCCATGACTATCCCTGCGTGACCATTCCATCTGAGTCCCGACACCGCCGTCTCTGTCTCCCATAGCTGCAAGTTGCCCGTGACGTTACTTGCGACGATCCACCGACCATTCGGCGAAAAGGCAATGTCGGTTATGTCGTAGGGCTCATTCTCCAAAACCACTTCTGGTGATCCATTGAAGGTGTTGTATACTTGGATCCTGCCTTTATGACTGCTGAAAGCGACAAGGTTCCCATCTGGCGAAAACTCGACATTGGCCGACCACCCCATGTGCTCCTTCAAGTCAAAGACTACTGCCCCGGTGCGAGCATCCCATACCGAGCTGTTCGACCCGGCCAACGCAAACTGCTTGCCAGACGAGGAGAATGCCAAACCCATCACCCTATCACACCAGCCATCCAGACACATATCGACAGATCCCGTTTCAAAGTCCCATAATCGCACGGTTGTATCCTCGCTGCCCGAGAGAAGTTGATGGCCGGTGGGCGAGAAAGCGAGTCCTGTGACGCACATCTTGTGGGCTCGAAATGTAGTTGTTTTCTTCCAGGTTGCAGTGCTGTAGATATCGATGTCGCCTTTGACAAGACCCGTAGCGAATGACTTTCCGTCTGGTGAAAATGCGCATGCCCATACATTCCCTGCATCTGGCAAATACGGCAGTTCGCCAAATTGAGTTCCGCCCATCTGCGCTCCACTGAAATCAACCTGTCGGATCCACGCCTTGGTGAGGTTGACGCCAGTCAAGTCTGCCTCCTGTAGCTGCGCGGAATCAAACTGCCCGGCTGAAAGATCGGCTCCCGGAACGCAAATACGTCGGAAGTCGGCTCCGTTGAACCGTGTACCGGCCTTGACTAAGATCGTGATGGCATTAGCTGCAGCTTGGCTCGCTTGAACATCTGACTTGGACAGTTCAATGAGGGCAAGAAGATGTTGCTTGAAAGTAGCGTTCTGTTGGGCATGTTGGGCGAGAAAATGAATAACCGACACCTCTGCAACAAGACTCATCTTGGACAATGGATGGTCGATTATCATGAGGGGGATCGCGGTTGGGTCGGTATACTTGCTCGCGGCGCCGCAAATGGCGCGAGAGTAAAAGTACTCCAATAAAGACTGATGAATGAAGCGGTATTGAGTGCCAGCTCGGCTCAACAGACTGGCAGAGCGAAGAACCGAGGTCTCTGGTCCAGGGCTGAAAAAGGCAACCTTCCATGTGTATTTGTCGCGTTTGTGAACGTAGTCAACGACGGGTTTACCCTCCTGCTCCTTGTATATAGCCGCCGCCAAGTCCTCTTGAAACCTGATCCCGTTATCTACGAATCCGTCCTCTAGAAGCTCCTCCAACGCCTCTTGATGGCTTTCGATCTGCTGCCGCTCCTGAAGACGGCGCTTGCTTACTCCAATCCAGCAGTTGACAAACATGTCGTAAAGTTGCGCTCGAGTAACTCGGAGTCTAGACAGATCGAGGCTTCCTTCGACAACCTTGGGAAGAGTCTCCAGTGCTAGCGTCAACAAGAAAGGATTCTTGACCAGGTCCATAAGGTTGGGGATGGTCGTCAGCTTGTCCATGTAGTCCTTGGTGGCCCAGGTCCGTGGCTCGAGAGAGACATACTTCTCGACATACATCTCGATCTGATCCTTAGTGTAGGGCGCAATGACGGCTTCTTGGAAGAGTGCATCCTCAGGACGGTGGTATCCACCGCTTATACTGGGCACAAATCGGTCTCGGTAGTCGGGACCAAGGTATTGAGTGCGGCAAGTGATGAGTAACTTGACGTCTTGTGGTCCAGATCGATTTAGGGCGTTGGTGGTGTGTAGGTTGACTCTGAGTCGGCTCTCGTCATAACCATCGCATATCAACAGCATCTGACGATGGTGCTTCAGCTCGCAGACTCCCTCTTCTGAAAAATTCGAAGACTTGAGATGTTCAGCGATCAGATTCTTGTCTGGCCGGTCGAGTTCAGGCAAGTTGATGAACAATGGGATGCGACCGCCGGGTTTGTACTTTCGCCATAGTTCGTACTCCAAATGGCGGTTGAATGTCGATTTTCCTACTCCAGAGTCGCCGAGGACCAGCATCACTTGACGCTCGCTTTTCAGGAACTCCTTGACCTTGTCCATCAGAGGAAACAAGTTTTCATCGTCTGGTGCTTGGGCGTTGGACTTGGCCAAAGGGTCGATATAAACTTCCTGCCTGTATTCACTCATCCTCCGTGACCTAAGAGTCTGTAGGGCGTCCTCGACTGCTGGAATACTTTGAACCTGGGTATAAAAAGAACAATATAATATGGGTGTGAGACTAGGGAATGATCATTGCCGCATAGGTATTATTGTACATGTACATAGACAAGGTAAATGATCAACTGAAACCTGCCACCTACCTCAGATGACATTCGTCCAAGCTTTGCAGTGCGCTCCAGCTGAGAGAGAACACGCTTGCCATCACGGTTCAATTCGTGGCCGTCAGAAGAACAGCAGCAGGTAGGGTCAGGCCTGCCCTGAGACGACCAAAAGGACATGATTGTAACTAAAAGCATATAGCAAGAGTACCTGCAGTATTAGTATACAATTTCAATACTAAATATCTTTAGTAGCATAAGCAATTAAAGACTACCTTGAGCTGCCTGAGGAAGATTCTTTGAGCAGCGAGGAGCTGTGTACGTAGTTTAATCAATTGCGGGAGAAAACCTAATTGACAAAATAACACAAGTCTGTTAGCAGCCGTTCTGGTGTATTGACCAGTAGATCGAAGCACTTTTCCTGCTGTACTTACAAGGTGTGTACCTAGGATTGTTTTTACAGTGGTCGACTGATGTCGATGGCGACGTTGGTTGGTGAGAAAGCGGCCTTGAATTTCGAAGGAGGGAAAGGTTTGCAAGCGTTAAATGATACCCCAAACAAACAAGAAGTACAAGAAGTACATGAATGCATTGGTTCACACCCTTCTGTACCTTGTTTCCTCTAGACAACTTGTCTGGCGCTGTTGTCTCCAAAAGAAAAGAACGACCTTGCTGATGAATCGAGTTGAGTTGTGTGTTGCAGTACAAGGGTGAGGATGAAGAAAGGAGTAGGGAGGTGGATGTAAAGCGAAGGTTGATGGAAGGTGGGATGGCGAGGAAAGAGGAATGCAGAAGGGTAAAGAGAGGAAGGAACTGAAGGAAAATAAGTCTGCTTCTTATGTCTTCGCCAAATTCTTTTTGTCATTTTTCTACTTTGGGGGGATGTGAGCAAGGGTTGGTGGCAACATTTAAGGGGTGCAAGGTGACAAGATTACAATCGCATGGCCAAACGACACACTCCTTCCTCTCTCCTTTCTCTATTGCACCAACCACCCTTTTTTTTCTGCTCACCTTCATATTTCCATCACATTTCCTTAAGACTACATCATATACCTCTCCTATCCAACCTTGCATTCTTCTGTTTTGGCTACCCATCTTCTCTCGGCTCTGTCTCCTCCAACATTTTATTTCTTCCCACTACTCTTCTACCTTTCAATCGACCTCTACCTTTCAATCCTTCTTACTTATCCAGCCCTACCCCTCCAACTCAAAATGGACTCCCACTCGTCGTTGGCTACTGAGGAACTCGTCAAGGGAATTATCCGCGAACACTTTCGCGTCACGAAGGTCGAGAATAACTCATCACTCGCTGGTGACCTTGGGGCCAAGGAACAGGATATTGTGGAGCTCGCAATGACTTTGGAGGAAAAACTCGATATCCAAATTCCGGATGAGGAGGCGGAAAAGCTGACAACGGTGCAGTCCGTTATTGATTTTGTCATCAATGCTCAGCGGGGATAGTTTGCCACGAATTGCAACTCTAGTAGCGTACTCACCGGCGCCCGGACTATCAGCCCCACCTGTCTCCCCATTTCCGTCCTAGTTCCCCTGGCTTATCCCTGTCAAGCCTCCTCTCCTTCACACAATATTCATCTGTCGGTATCTTATTCCTCGCATAGTTACCTAAATAAACAGATTCCTTTCCTGACCATTGCACCCACATTCACATTCATTCATGGACACCATCACAACAATGGACACTACCAGGAACAAGCATCCGCTCAGTATACCAGAGATAGTCCTCACCATCGGCAAACTCATCCCCCTCTGGGTTCAAGCACACTACAAAGGCGAAACAGTCTGGTACTTTCGACCAAAGGACCTCGTCGCCGCCTCTGCCGTCAACAGCCTCTTCCACACCCTCTTCACCCCAATCCTCAGGACCGTCTTTGCCTACCCCGCCGACAACTCCCTCAAGAAAAATGTCGAGTCGCCAGAGTCATGTGAGGCTGTAATCGACGGCGTTCCTGCCGCGGCTATATATTGTATCATGAAATCTAGCGTTGTATTCATTGATAGTGACAGTAACAAAGACCAAAAGCCAGTCTACGCCAGCCTGCTATGTGCGGTTGCATACTCGATGATGATATCATTGGGGCCTTTTCCATTCTGCGGGCGGTTCCTGCTAACTCCAAAAATGGGGTTGAGGCAAGGTGGGAGGGCGAGGGGATTTTTTCTGGAAACAATAATGCGGCAAGGCGTGATGTCGTCATGCGCAGCTCTACTGACGATGACCAGAGCTGTTAGTGATATTGGGATTGCTGCAACTGAGAAAACTACAGGAATGAAAGGGCTAAAGTATTAGCCTTCGCCCTCGCTCCTTCTGTCGTCCAGAGAGTCGCCGCACATGTGACCATGAGAACTTGATACAAACTGATCAAACTCGACCTTAGCTTGTATTACTCCAACCTCCTGCACGGTCACCCCGGCATGATTAGCCGCTATTGCGGAGTTGACTTGTAGTTTGCATTGAGCCCAAAACTTGGTTTCGTGATGCCTGCGGGATGCCCGGAATGATAGCTTTAGTTCGTCCCGTCTGTATTTTCGCAGTTGCGTGGAGTCAATGAGTAGGGCGTAGCCCGTTGTCGCTGCCTTCCGATCACTCAAATCGAATCGACGGACGAAGTTTCCAAAAGTGACATGTTCCATGTCCGGATCTTTGTTCATCGCCTATTCCAAATACTTTCCGGTATTGAAGACATGGCGAGATATACCTCGCTGCTCTAAATAGAAAGACTCAGCAAAGAACAAACGTGCAAAGAGCATAAAAAAATATTAGCGGACAAGACCTTAACAGTTATTCAAAACGTCCATAGCACTCCGCTTGGCATTGTGTCAATCAAAACGATGGTGCTCATTGCGCCCTTCTGAACGACCACCGATGTCATAGCCACATCTTCTACTCGGCAGAGCCCGTAGTATATCTGCTGGAACAGAAGAAACGGGGCCATTCTTGACAACGCGTGTTACTGCCCATCTTCCGTGCATTGTATCGAATATAGTTGAAGTTTGGCTGAAGAGCGCCTAACCATTCTGAAGACCACAGATGTCGTAGCCACTTCCCCACTCGGCAGAGCCCGAAGTATATCTGCTTGGACGAAAGGAGCGCCACTCGTGACAACGTGTTTCTGCACAGAATGAGTACAAAGTAAGGAAAATATCTTCCAGGTTCGAAAGACGAGCTTCAAACAAAGATGTTAGAAGGAAAGGATAGGCTGCCAGTGAAGCGAGTGATGAGAAGAGAAGAGAAGTGAAGAGGCGATTGGGGCACGCAAACGACTTGATAGGAGTGAAAGTGGTGACGATGGCGAGTGAGAGTGCCCTTGTGGGTCCTGGCCGAAGAAAGGGAAAAGGAAACCACAGGGGACCCTTTCATACTCGCTGGATTTCCAAGGACTCGTCGAGTGAGTGGGAAAGACAGTCACGCCATCACCTCGGGGAATAGAAAAGAGAGCACTGGCACTTACACACGGAGGATGACCATGGTCAAGCATGACCCCAATCGACAGCTACTGTTCCTCTCCACGTGGTTGCATCGCTTCCACAAAGACTTTTATTCACAGATAACCATTCAAAACAGTCAAAAGAACGCGCTTATGCTTGTCAAGTGACAGACATGTGAACCTGGGCTTGAAGGTTAGAGATAAAGTACCAAAGACCAAGGACAGAGAGGCAAGCAACGCGCTAGTCAAGGTAGGTAAGTTGATCGTGCTCATAATGTTTGAAATCACATGCACCCAAACGTATCCTATCTAAGTTTTGTTCTAGACATCCATCGTTTTTCTTATATCTTTAGCAATCAGCTAAAGGCGGTTTCTGAAGCAGAGCCTAATCTCAATCGGCATCAACAGCAGGGCAAATCAGAAAAGAACGTAATGAGGTGCTATTGTCTATTTTCGTTTTATTATTCCTGCTAGGAACGTCTACTCGATGTGGAGAAGCTTGCCCTGACGGAACCGGTACCAGAGCTTGGCGGGGAGGAACCACTCACGCTGCTGAATGTTGGGTGCTAAAGGGTTGAAATCCGCCTTCTCTAGCCGGGTGAGGTACGACTCTGTTGGGATTCCTGCCATCAAAACAGGCAGTGCTTCCTGAGGCAAGTTGCCCATGTATGACTGTGCGGTTGCCAAGTGGACATGAGCCGCTGCTGCTACTTCCAGTGTTGCGTCCTGAAGAGCCGGTGTGATTGTTGGGTTCCTGAACAGCGCCTCCTGCGACAAGTTGTGCTAATGGGTGCAAGTTTGCAGGATGCGGATCAAAATATATGTTAATCTTTGTCACCTTAGTCATGTTCATATCGCATTGCTGGGTTCCAGATTCATGTATGTGACAGTTACCTTGGCGGTGATCTCGGCGGGGATAACCATGCGATTCTGGTGCATATGAAAGGGGAAGGCACGCAACATGGTAGCAATGCCCATAGCTTTGGCCATATGACTAGCTGCATGATCTGCCTCCAACGACTTGACGCCCACAGATTCCAACTGCAGGTATAGCAACGACCCAAACGTGTTCTCGCAGTATGTCTCCATTTGTGCCAAAGTCATGAACTGTGGATCGGACAAGTTCTGCTCCCGCTCCGTGATCATTCTTTTGAACCAGATCAATGACATCTCAGAGTCGCCGCTTCCTCCTTGTTGCTGGTGGCGGAGCTCCTGTTCCTGAATAGCATGGGCAAGTGCCAGAGCGACGGGCTGTTGTGGTGGCATGCCTGCAAAGACCTTGTCCAGTGAGTCTCTCCAGAACTGCATCCGCATGCGTCCAATATCCGTGTTGCTCACCGACTCTCGGATCGAGGCCAGCTCGATGTTGAATGCTCGGAGGGCCAGTTGTGTAGGCTTTTGGTGTGCTGGGAAAAACTGTGAACAAAGGAAGCCCTCATAATCTGCTTTACTACAAAGACAAGCGTATTCGAATACGTTAGGGATCATTATAATTTGCTCCGCATTTGCTTCGTTGACATAAAGACGAGAAGTTCAATCCTCCGAAAGTATACATACCGAACGAGGTTCTCGCAGTATTCAATGGCCTTTGTAGGCTTGGGCATGATCTCCTTGGCAACCTTCTTCTTGGGTGACCGGGTATTGGCTCCAAGGGAAAAGGGCGACTGCTTCTTGGGCTCATGGTGGTGGTGGTGGGTATGGTCGTGGTCGTGGTTGCAGTTGTGATCGTGTACATGAGCAAATCCACGACGAGCAACCGTTGAGGCAGCCATGGGTCTGGACCACAGTGCATTCCTGACAAGAGTGGAACTACCGAGTTGACGCTGTGCGGCAGTATTCCCTGAACGGATGATTCCTGCAGACTTCATTGTTTCCTTGTTCCTGATGTAATGTAAGTTGAAAAAGGAAAGAGAGGAGGATGTCTCGGGTTTGCCGAGGGAACTCTGATCAGTTTGTGAGCCAAGTCTCCTCGCTCAAATTTCCGAGACAAAGCCACAGCAATGTGGGCAATTCTTTCGTTTCCTGTGCAACCCCTCTTTACTTTTCACACTTCACACTTCTAACATCACCTACAACCACACACAACCATGGAGATCGACCCGCCCACATTTCTCCAGCCGACAGACACATCGACACCCCCAGAACTCGAGACTAACAGCAGCAGCAGTCTGGACACCCTTCCTCGAAAAAGACCATTGCATCAAGACGACCCCTTCTTCCAGGAGGGAACCTATGAATACAAGGCTGCCTGGCTCAGACTCGAGGACGCCGACGCGTACATCCCAGACCTCAACGAACCCGAAAATAACACCCACAGGACGTACGTATTCGCTCTCTTTGCTTTTGCTTACGTTAGCGCTGAAGTTGTCTACTGCACCCCCCTTTTCAGCTCGCTATTAGTGCCTTACTAACAAAGACAATAATATCTCGCGTACCGTTCTGTGTTAGTGCAGCTCAAGCATGTCATCATGGATCATGTCATGGAGAAAAGACTTTCTCGAGCGCAGCCATGTACGAGCACCACTTTGAAACCAACCACCGACACATCTGCCAGACTTGCAAGAAAGCCTTCCCAGGCGAAAAGTGGCTCATCCTCCATATCCGTGAGATCCACGATGTCCTCGTCCGCATCCAACGAGAACGTGGCGAGCGCACTGTAAGTTTTCTTTTGGCATGTCCCTTGCTATCACGTTTGAATGGTCATTTGAGAAATGATTTAAATAATAACTCTTTCCATTTACTGTCGTGCAATAGTACCAATGCTACGTGGATGGATGCGATAAACTGTGTATGACGCCGCAGAAGAGACGGATGCATTTGATCGACAAACATCATTACCCGAAGCACTTCAACTTTTCGATCGTGGTCACGGGCGTCATGCCATCTGCAGAGAGAACAGCGTCCATCCAGAAGCAGAATTCTCGGGAATCAAGGAAACAAACATACTCAAAGCCAAACCAACATCAGCACAAGCAGCAGCACATCAAAGACCACGAGATGGCTGATGAACACGAGATGGAGGTTGAACATCATATTGCCTCTGCACCTGGCCTTAAAGCTGCTACAATCAACCGAAGGAAATCAGCAACGCCAGATCCAGGATCCCCGGTAGCTGCGGCAACTGCATCACGCACGGTCAAGAAGAACGCCTTCCAACAGTACAGGAGTCAGGACACAAAACCAAAAGCAAGCCCACGGAGGAGCTCGATCATTCACGACCACACTGACATGGACATGGACGCTCCATCGACCCCCTCTGCCTCAGGACCTGCTTCAATTGTGTCGACAGGAACCTCGAGCCATTTAGACTTTGATATGGACCAACTTCAAATCAGCATGTCGCGATTGATGGTCCCCCGCTCTGTTGCAAAGAAGATGGCTTCCAAACCACGCGTACCCAGCACCAACAGCACCCCTACTGTCGCCACCAGTATCAACAACAACAACGGGATTCTCGGCTAATAAATCGACTTTTCCAGAATCGGTGGCAAACTAGTCCGTGTGTTAACTTTCTGGACTACTTGCAACATGCTATTCCTTTTTTTGCGAACCATTGCCCTACTCTCTTTTTCAACAAGCATCGCTCCTCCCACCGATGCCACTACCTCGCCCACCTTGCGCTGCGACGTACAATAGTCTCTTGCGACTGCGATGCTATTCATTCAGGCTCATTTGTTCGACACCGCAACATAGCACCATATTTACATTCAGCCCTCGGAATCAGGACTCTTATAGCTTTCATGCACGCCCTCAACTCCCTCTTACCTATGCCCAGCCCGGTACAGCTCACTTCTCGCGTAACCGTGTCCGTGATTCACACTACGCGATGAGAACAACACTTGTTTCGACAACAACTTTGGCAAAGACTCGTATAACGCCCAAATCGAAACGATCAAAACAGCAAAACCCTCAAGGAGCAGGAGACTGGCCAGCGGAACTGGGATGGAATACTAAAGGGTGAGGATTTGGAGCAAGCACCGCCAGACATAGAGAATGAAGGGCTTACCGGACATGTCCTCTCGCCTCTATATAATAAACCCAAAGTGGTTGGCCAAGGAGGAGACGAAGTTGTTCCAGCTTGTGTTGACGCATGAGTTCGAGTAGAAGTCTGTTACTTGATAGAACTTGAAGAGACGGTTCTCGCTGGAGGAATGTCGTGTTTGCTTGGAAGAATTTGGGCATGATCGTCGTCAAGTGGAAGAGTTCTGAAGGTTCGAGGTCGTTGCCGGATGCTGCGTTTAGAAGGTCTTCAAACGACAGGGCAGTAACAACGGTAGCAGCATCTACGCCTGAAATGATGCCGAATACAGGAGCAGGGAACAACTTGAAACAAGTGTTTGCTTGGGGCAAGGAATTGTCGGTCCACTTTACAAACCCTAATCAGAAAGGAATCTAGCCCGCAAGGCGAACAATTGGCCCTCAATAGGTCCATCTTGACGCGACACCTCGAGTCTGTCAGAGCCACTGGGAGTTCCTTCAGGGAGACCGCTCATCAAAAAAAAGGTAGCTGGTCGTGCCGCCGCATAGAGCCAGGAGGATGCAAAGCTGTTAGAAGAAGGGATCCGACTGTTGGGATCACAGGGCATGGGTGCAGTTAGGGATTTCTTCCTGCCACACAGGACCAAGGTGGATGTCATGCGATATTGGTTCAAAAGGCTTCGAACAGGGCCGCCACCATCAATATGGACGACTACTATCGCCTCCATTTTGCGGTCAAGGTGGTTGTTGCGGGTATGGATGAGGGTGATATCGAATGGCTGGATGACCCGCGGAGTATCAAGGAGTGGAGCGAGATTGAGGAAAAGGTGGGGTGGCGGGTGGAAGAAGGCGCACCGGTAGCAAGTGTGGCAGAGTTCGCTCTCGTGCCTTGGTCGATCCACTTCTTGGATATCTGAAGAGGATGGAATGCTGTTGAGGACGGTTGAGTCTGTGGAACGGGATAATTGGTTCTCGGTTGCAAAGGTACTACAGAACTACAAGTCTGCGTGGCAGTGTCAGCTCTGGTGGTGCCAGATCCTTGTTCCTGTTGAGCTCGACTTCTCACCAACCCCTCATTTGCTAACTCAAAAATAAATGCGAAATGTGACCGCTAAAACAGGGCAATTGAGTTCAATCAACACAAAAGAACGGGCACCTCGTTATTTTTTATTTTTTTTTATTTCTCCTTCCACACATTCCCACCTCACCACCAACAACAACAACCAACAAGCCAACAACCTAAACAAGCAATGGATATCCCAGAGATCAGGGCCCTGATCGCAGAGCACATGGAGCTTGACACATTGTGCTCCGCAGCACTAATCTGCAGAACCTGGCGCGATACCTGTATGCCCTTGATCTGGAACAACATCTCCTGGACCTCCCAGGTTCACGAGCGGCCGACGCCTGAGGCGCTGCTTGTTAATGCGCACCTTGTTCGGACGGTTACCATTTTCACGATGAGGCTTGATGGTTCCAAAAGCAATAGCAGTGGTGGTGGTGGAGATGGTGGAGATGGTGGAGACGGAGGTGGAGAAGTAGAAGCAGGAATAGGAGAAGGATCAGGGGCGGAAACGGCAGCAGCAGCCGTCGGCGGAGAAGTAGTAGCAGACGAAGAGGCAATGGATACAGGAGAAGCAAGGAAAACGGATACTAAAGCGACAACAAAGGCTGAAAAAGAGTTCCCGTTTGCGCCGTGTCGGAGGATCGAGGAACTCAACCTACAGCTCAACATCCGGCAGGCTCTGTTATGGGATAACCTCACAGATCTCGTCCAACACAACCCAGGACTCAAGACCCTATCCGTCTTTCTTTCCGGCGTGCCTCCAACTCTCGAGTTCATGCAAGCCCTGGCACGTACCAACACCCTCTCAGCACCATCCTCACCATCAAGCACATACACATCGCCATCATCCTCACACGGCTCAGGAACAGGAAGCGGGGGAGGACTGAGGACGTTCATGACAATGTTCCTCGACTTGAACAAAGATACCACAGAAGCCCTCCTTGACCTCGCCACAAGACTCGAATCCCTTCAACTCAACGGCGCCACAACCGTCGACCCCGGATCCCTCGACCGCTGGCCCATCTTCCCAAACCTCGTCGTCCTTAAACTCGGCCTCAGCTCCGGAATCACCCCACATCATCAACTCCAGATCATTCAACGGTGTCCACAATTACAGTCTTTGGCATGGGATCTTGAGGAATCTGCAGCGACAGGACCCCTGACGTATGATGGACCGCAGAACCCAACCCCGGATACGACGGCTTATTATAATTATCGGTTCCCAACCACGTCGGTGTGTCAGTTATTTGAGCCGGAGTTCTGTCCGCTGTTGGAGAAGCTGTCGATTACTTATCCGGCGCTTTCTGATCGCGAGTTGGCAAGGGTTGTGGAGGCGTGTCCCAGGTTGACGTTGTTTGAGGTGTTTGAGACCGGATTTGGGGCGAGGGCTTTTCAGGCCATGACGAGGCATTTTGCGCATTTGACGAGGTTGGATATTAGGAGGTGTTCGGGAGTTACCAGCCCTATGGCGCAGCAGATTTTGACGTCTTGTAGAAGATTGGTTTTCTTTTGTGGAGATGCCCTTCACGCTCGGGATATCGTCGGTTTTCAACCTCAGCAACAACTTCAGGAAACCAACGCCGACGGAACGGTACAGCCATCGCAGGAACAACAACTCCAACCCCAGGACTGGGTGTGCACAGACCTAACCTGGTTAACACTCTATATCTGCGGTCTCGAAAACGCCCCTCCCACATGGCTCCCCATAGTCCTAACCCAACTCGCCCGCCTAACCTCCCTCGACTTCCTCACAATCTCCCCCACGGGCCCCGAATTCGACGGAACCAAGGACGGACTCCCCCTCTCCCTCTCCTCAGGCCTCTCCACCCTTTCCACCCTCACAAACCTGGAACGCTTCTGTTTCCATGGACTGGCCCAAGAGATGCAAGAAGCAGATGTCCAATGGATGGTCGACTATTGGCCGCGGCTGGTGAGGGTTGAAGGGGTTGTGCACCCAGAGAGGGAGAGCCGGATGGTGCTTGAGCCGATTTTAAGGAGGGAGGGCATTGAGGTTTGCGGGTACTTTGGGGATGATGACGAGGATGTGTTGGGGCTGCATGTTATTGTGTCTGAGGATGAGGATGGGGAGCAGATTGATTTTGGAGGAATGGAGGAGGATATGTTGGTCGAGGAGGACGAGGAGGCGGCTATGGAAGGGTTAGTCGATACTGCTGATCAACCTGCTGAATTTCAACCTATGGAGGGAGCTCCTCCAGCACCACCAGGTCCTCAAGAAGACCAGGACCAAGCTTAGAACATAACTAGACTTCACCTCTACTTTGCGTATACATCACCATCCTACAGTACAAAACAATCGCATATCATCATGAAAACATCTTCTACGCTTTATTTTCTCTTCTCTCCTACGTCATTACTTGGCCTCACCTCCGGCGGTGGAGGTGGTAACAAACATAGGCACAGCATCCTTCTCAGCATCCGCAGAAGCAGGGTCCGGAATACTCAACCGATCAATAATCCTCTCCAACCGCGCATTACCTCCCAAACGCCTCACTTCCTCCTTCGCACGTTCTTCATAAAGCGCCAACTGTTGACGGCAGTACTCAAATGTCTTTGTGGCGTTCATCAGATTCACGGCGTAGACTTTGAGCTCGTGATCTTTGGGCTTTTGCTTCAGAATGTCTATTTTCGGGAAAACATTGAGAAAGTCGTTGGAGTCCATTAGTACCTGTGATTTTACTTCTGTTGCGAAACGTGGGGTATGATAGCGCCAGTGGTAGAGAATGGGAAGACTTACTGAGGAGCTTTCGGCTGTTGGGTGAGGCGCGAATGGAGTGGATGATTGGGTATGAGAATTTGCCTTCTGTTAAGTCTTCGCAGAATCCCTTGTTCGCAGAATACTATCAGCCACAGTCACCAAAAGACAGACTTTCAGTTAATACGGCGCGGACCAAATTACATCCCGGAGTGCATCGCTCAGCATCATTGAAAGAAGGAGGCGCGCATTGCTTTGAGTTGTTGATTTGTACCTGACTAGACTGGAGGTTGAGATAGTCGTCCCGAATCTGAAAGTGGATCCCGATCAGCTCGACCATAGGCACATAGTCGCTATTGAGGGGCGGGGAACGGATGGATATGAGTATGTGTGGTCCTTTCGTATATCATATCCAGCTCTGAGCAGATGAAATTGTGATCCTGGATATAGAAACATACACAGTAGAGTCGCTGGCAGCCTGCATCAACTTCACAGCGAGACGCAACAGACCCCCAGTTTCTAAGCAAAGGAATCACAGACGTAGTCGAATAAGTATAAAATGAACGTATACTTCAAGTATCATCTCTCGGTTCCTGAAGGTCGTGACATATGAATAATGAACGTACTGTCGTTGACCATGGCGATGTACTCCTCTTCTGTCGGGCATGTCAAACTGTCTCTCCAGAGCAATTCCATTCCCTGTCCTCTATGCAAGCACAATAGCTCCTCTATAAAGTTGTCAGACCAACGGAGAAATCAGGTTAGAGTCAACGTTTAAAAATAAGAACGGGATCGTTGCAACGAGCAGGTGCAATTGAGCATACCGGTGAAGATGGTAAGCATTTTGGGGTTGGAGATCTTGGTGAGTTCTGCCAGTGCCAGGAAGTAGACATAGTTGGCACAATTGATCGTCGCGGGTATTCCAAAGATCTTGTGTGCCACTAGATAGTTTTTTGTAGAAAAACAAAAGGTAGATATGAGTGTGAGTGCATGACTTTGGTGGGTATGTACCGAAAGGAAAGCCAAAGAACGTTCCCTGTTGTGGAGAGGGCTAGTCTTGTGTTTTTGTCGCACGAGCAGTCGAGGGAAAGGCGGCTGGGTTGTGAGCTTTTTGGAGAAGGGAAATTCCGCACTGAAAAAAGAACAAACTTGTCCACAGCAGGGCGGGAAAAGTAAGCCTCGAGGGAATACGAAGTAGGAGGGAGGGTAGAAGAGAGAAAGAACAACCATTGCTTCATTGCCATTGTTGTGTTCCTGTGTCAGCTGTGATTCCTACCAGGCTCGCCCCTACGCAGGACAGAGTCATCCTCGATATCATCGACCCTATAGCACCACAAGAGAGAGGATTTGTTAGATAAATGTCGGGTACGCTGATCAGCTGTCTCACTATAGCATTTGGCTCCTGAACTAACAACCCAACTCCTAATATGAGCAGAAAAACAAGGGGCGAACGTACAAGAGACTGGAGGTGTGGAGCATCTTAACCACCTTGGTGATGATGGCGAGCTCCTGGGGAGGGACCTTGATCCAGATATTGAATGCCTCGATCAGCTCTGTCCGCATCTCTTTGCCGGGGTTCGAGCAGATATACGTGTATGGCTCCAGCAGGGCCTATCGATGAGAGAATTGTGAGGGCGGGTGTTCCTGTTCGTTATGTTCGTCAGGTTGGAGGAGCGGCGTAAAGAGTATGGTCAAGAGAGTAGAAGAAAGATCTCGCTTACGGCTTCATCGTGGTCGGTGGGGTAGATGGAGGGGATGGCCATTGTTGATGAAAGTTGTTGTTGTCGAGCCTTTGATGAATAGGTGAATGAAAAGAAGGGATAATGGGTGAAGCGGAAAGTGTGAGTGAGGGTGGAAGGAGTGATGAAGAAAGAAGAAGAGAGAGGTTGTGCTGTGGAGATGGCGAAGGAGCGAAAAAAAAGAAGGGTGGACGGTGTGACCTTGTGCCTGTGGACCTGTGTGACGCCTAATCACACGCTTGAAATGGATTTGGACCTTTGGGTTTTATGCGAAAGCGACTCACTCTACGTTGATTGGATCATCGTGGCCACTCTACAACGCGTCCTGTCTGTACTATTCTACTTCGACGCTTTGTGTTCTTGTTGCTTTAAACCCTGCTTCTTTTGAAGTATCATTGACAGTGATAAAAAGCACTACAGGGTGTTCAATTGACCCCAAAGAAGGAAAAAAACAGGCGACCACTGTCCACCTCCTCATTCGCCCTCCTCATATTCGAACCAGAAAAACTTGCTATGAATCGAATGACAACTATCCTTCTAATCACAAACGAACACGTATCTCCCTGTGGTCTCTAACCGTTAACTTCTATACAGAAACCATCGCGCAGAAAGAAGAATGAAAAAAGATGAAGCACCTTGGCTCATTGGTGACGTTCGTATCATGACAATATTGCTTCATTAACAACACTTTGCTCTCTTCCCCTCTTCAAAGACGGAGAATGGGAGCATTACATTCATTGTCGTTCACCGCAAGCGTGCTTTGAACAACCAACGGATCATAAAAAAAGCGAAAAGCAAAAGGAAGTGCCTGGAGTCTTGAGCAAGTGGCTGCAAAAGAAAAGACAGCCATTGTCTGATTGATCAGGCAAAGGTCGACTAAAAAAATCGGAAAGGGTTAATCCCTCAAACTCCTTAAAGAAGGATGAAAGGAATGTTTGGAGAACCTGGGCATCGATCCCAGTGCCTCTCGCATGCTAAGCGAGCGCTCTACCATTTGAGCTAGATCCCCGACGGTTGTTTAACCTCGGGTATGTTTAATTTCGGGTCATTCAGAACTCCTCCGTCTGGTTCCCGCTACCTAATTTTTGCGACGCCACCAAAAAAGGGCTGATAAAAAAATGCTACTCTAGGATTTAAGGTGTAAAAAAAATGTAGGGAGGGGACAGTAGGAAAAAGAGGGAGGGAGGATCCAAGTTGGAAGTTATAGTACAGGGCGAAGGTAAGGATGGGGGAGGGGGTGGATCTCGGCTCGGGGGGGTGTTAGAGCTGTTGGGCAGGCATCGCCGCCTTGGTACGGTGCCTGTTGGTCTTGTGTGGGCCAAAACAGCCGTTGACTGCTTGTTCAAAGTGTTTCCGCTGCTTAAACGGGTGAGATCCATGTCCTCTGTGTCTGTGATCTGATACGGAGGTGAGCATGAGCGTGTCAGGCTCGAAGGTAATGACGTTGAGGCTTGTGTGTGTGTTTGGTGTTTGTGTGGGTTTGTGTTTGTGGGTTTGGAGGAGAGGAGGGGAAAAGGATAATAGAAATAGTGAAAAAGAGATTAGAGATAGAAAAAGAGAAAGAGAAAGAATAAAAAAATAAAAAAAAAAGGGAAAAGGTCAAGCGAAAGGCGAAAGGGAGGGTATATAGACGCTTGACGTAGAGATACAGAGAAATGAGAAAGAAAGAAAGAGAAAGAAAAAAAAAAAAAAAAAAAAAAAAAGGAAATCTATACTAATTAATCCTGCTGGCTGCCCGTTCTCCTCCTGCTCATGTTATGGTGGTTGGAATGCGTCTCCGAACTGAGGTCCCTTCTTGGTCACCTTGATATGTGGTGTGTGGTGCCACATCTCATAAAAGGCGTTCTTGCCCGCGTGCGGGTCCATCGGTGCCTCCTCTTCTCGGATCGGCCTTGTTGCGTTCTTCTTGTCCTGCTGCTCCGCTCGAATCCACTCCTCCATGCCTCTGGTACGGCAATTCTGGAGAAAAATCGACTGTAGCGCGCCTGGCTCGAGTTGCTCTCCTGCTCCCAGCTTGGAAAAGGTAACATATATCGACCAGAGTGCTGCTGTTTGCAGGTGGTATACAAGAGGGTAGTCATTCATGTTGTCTCGTTCAGGCCAGCAAAAAATCCTGTCCTGGGCGGTGCGAGACAAGTCGTTGAGGTCAGGGTAAATAGTCTTGATGAGGTCATGCAAGCTGTCCCAGTGTGTCGCCAACTCTGGACAGTCGTGAAAGGCATGACGGTTGTCTTCACTCGCTCCTGTATCGCACCGTCTACATGTACCGTCCGTATCCGCTTCCTTGTAGTGCTTGCGGATATTGTTGGTGGTCACCCTGTTATAGGCCAGCTTGTATAGAAGGTCGTGTTCCTTGCGACGTAGGTTCGTGTTGTGTACTCGGTCCCAGATCAACTTCCACTGCGCAGCCGTCCAGTCCCATGGGAAAGAGGCTTGGCCCGGGTTAGCGAGCTTGTCGGCAATGGTGATGGGCTGGGGGAGCTCAAGTCCGCTGACGATTGTGCTTCGTGCTTTGCGGACAGAAAATTCTTTGAGGGGTGACTTGTGTTTACCAAAAAGAATGGCTTCCCTTGGATCCGAGTCTGTAGTGGTTCCGTCCTTGAGTAACGCCTTGACCTTTGTCCATGACATGAGGATGTGGTGGGTGAGGGTGTCGGCTTTTCTGGACTTGATGGCTTGGGGTGTTGGGTTTTGTTGCATCTTTGTTGGTGGTAGTGCCGCAAAGTGTGTGATAGGTGTGTCTTGTTGAATAAGGGGGCGGGTGTACTGGGCAACAGTCTCAAAGGTGTGCTGCCATTTTACTCCTGGCCGTTCCGTCTTCCAACGAGCAATCCACTTTGCCTTGAGGGCAAGGACTTGAGAGCGAGGGTGGATAAGACCCCATCCTCCGTCCTTTTTTGGCTTGAAAAATGTATCCAGCGAGATACGGACTTTTCTGCCATGCCACAGCACGTCCCTTAGGATATTTTCTATTTGGTCGTAAAAATTGTTTGTAAAGGGGTAGAACGGTGAACAGTGCCATAGTTTGGATAACAGATATGTGTTCAAGACAGTGACTCTGCCCTGAATGGTGAGACCGCGCAGCCGCCAGGCTGCGGTCGATCCCTTCAGGTCATTAATAAGTCTCTTTTCGATCACTTCCAGGTTAAATCCATTAACGGACAGTTCTACACCTAGATGTGTGAATGGTGCTCCATATCTTTCCCAATTTGTGAGGTGATCAAAATTGAAATAGTGTTGGGCCCAAGGTTGTAGTGGTATGAGTGCTGTCTTGTCCTTGTTTACCTTGGCTCCTGATGCAAGTTCATGTAGAGCCAAGGCCCCCATCACTACTTCCTCATCCCCTCTGGAGATGGACAGGGTGGTGTCATCTGCAAAAGCGTTCACTTTGGAGGCGTCACCGTTCGGGAGCAGGGTACCACGAGCTCTCTGGCTGTAGTACCTAAGAAAGGGTTCAAGAACAAAGTTGAATAGTAGTGGTGCTAGTGGATCGCCTTGTCTCAGTCCTCGTTCAATTTGAAAAGGCTGGGTCATGCGTCCATTGACAATGATTCTGCTCGACGGATTAGTATAGCATCGAGTAATCCACGTCCTGAAGCGGTCTCCAAAGCCAAAGGCTTTGAGCGCTTCATGAAGATACTTCCATTCTACTCTGTCATATGCCTTTTCTTGGTCGAGACTAAGAAGGGCATCAGCAGGGAGGTCGGGGCGTGGGTGTCTCTCCATCGCGTCATTCAGATCCAAAAATTGGAGAATGCGATGTTGTGCCAACTGTTCGTCTGTGATTTGTTTCTGCACATGCTGCATCAAAAGATGCATATTAAGTACGTTGTCATGACCCTGCCTGCCCTTGACAAAACCTGTTTGCCAGGGCTGGAGAAGGTAGGTGGCGACCTTGTTGACTCGTTCTGTCAGTGCTTTTGTAAAAATTTTGTAGTCGCACCCAGAAAGGGATATAGGGCGATAATTTTTGCACAACGATCGTTCTCCTTTTTTAAAAAAAAGAGCGACGGCCGACTTTTTGGTCGACGGGGGCAGGTCAAAATCCTCTTTCGTTGCCTCGTTGTATACTTGTGTCAGCAGGCCGGATAGCATGTCCTTGAATGTGCTCTACCATTTGAGCTAGATCCCCAATTGCTTCGTGATTGTCGTTGAATTTTTAGACTTATTTATTTATTAGATTTACCTTCCGCTCGTTATTTTGAGCTTTTCGGGCCCCAGAAGGCCCCGTGTGGGTCGCCGGGCCACCGAGGTGCAGGCTCGCAGTCGGCAGACAACACAAAGTATGATGGACTCAGAAGCCGATACTGGAGTCAACTTGCCAGGAAACCACAAGAACTGGCTGCCATTCTTTTGATGACCAATACTCAGGCCGACAACGCAGCCGCCCGCATCAAGTCAATTTCTAGTCGTCGCAAGACCGTCGCCCTTGGGATACGTCGCCGGGCCACCGAGGCCGTCAACGAATACCGTGCTCATCGCTTTGTCTCTCTTCGCTCGGATTTGGAGATCAGGCTGACCAGGAAAGCAGAGGACTATCGATTGAGGGTGCAACAGCTGGAATCCTCCCAAGCCAGGAAACTGCAACAGCAGAAAGAAACAGAGGCACTCCATCAACAACACCAAGCCAGGAGACTGCAGCAGAAAGAGGAAAAGGAAGCACTCCGTCAACAACACCAAGCCAGGAGACTGCAGCAGAAAAAGGACAAGGAAGCACTCCGTCAACAACACCGCTTGGTCGTCGCTCGCCTAAAAGAGATCCTATCCAGCCTCAAGGAAACGAAACCACGATACAAACCAGCCTTTGACACAGATGCTAGCTTTCCTTTGCAAGAACGCCATCAAGTCCAACCACCGCCTGTACCAGGACCCCCGACCACACAGATCGGCCCCCTTTGCCTGTCTCCAGTAGAGGCGGCGTCCATGCGCGTAGTTCAGGACACACACGTCGACAACTCCACCCCTCGCGTCCTGTACTCTGACGGATCTCTTCTGAACTCGGGAACGCTAGAAGTATCCCAGGCCTTTGGAGTGGTGGATCTCACTCAGGACAACCCTCTGACAGTACAAGGACGAACGGACGGTCACGCATCCTCGGCTAAGGCCGAGCTCATGGGCTTATTAGCCGCAGTCCTGTCAGCACCACCGGAACAGGACATTGTGGTCAAGCTGGACAATCAGTCAGTGGTGGATCAGTATAGTCGCCTGGTGAAGAATCGTCGGGACACCTTACCGAGGAAGCGATTCAGGAGTACATATGCGGGTATCTGGGCGGTGCTTTGTCAGGTTGTGGAATCTCGGCCAGGCGGGGTTGAGGTGGTGTGGATCAAAGGTCACAGCAACATCCACGGAAACGAACTTGCGGATCAGGCGGCGAAGGTGGCAGCACAGAGTGGTTCAGTGCCCTGGATGGTGGATCTCACTCAACAGACGGATATCACGACCTTTGCACATTGTTACGGCGGGATTGTTGAAATCGATCTACGTCAGCTCCTCAAACAACAATCGACAATCCGTCACCATCAGGCCTGGACGTCACAGAGGCGGGTCAAGAGGGCGATCCCTGACATCGAGGACGTGGAATGGAACTCGACCTTGGCTTATGTCCACGACAGGCACGCAGTCTTCACCTTTTACAGCAACAGCAAGGACTCCCATCAAAGAACACATCACATCAAAAAGCTGCATGGAATGCTGCCCACTCTGAACTCCATGCAGGCTCGCAAGCCCAACCTGTACCCAACATGCGTGTGCCGACGATGCGAGCTCGAGAAGGAGGATAACGATCACGTCTGGAAATGCCCTTCGGCAGCTGAGACCACCACTGAGATCTGGAAGGAGGCCATGGGCAAGATTAATGAGTGGGGTGTGCAGGCCACAAACAGCTACAACGCAGCCAGGAAGCGGGAATACAAACGCGCGGTGGACAGAGGTCGTCAGGTACCGAGGCCAGTACCCATACACTGGTGGCCCCCTTCGGATGCAGATCATGTACGAGGATTTTCCTCCATCGGTGGAGCTCGAGCCGTGCACAGCGGTAGTCCAGCTCTCGATCGAGACGAGAAACCGATGTGGAATGTGTCGGATCTCCTCCGCGGCATCACCCCCTTGAGCATGTTGACTGAATGGTCCGCGGTCTTCCGGACCCCAATGTCCATCGCCAAGACAGTCCTTCACAAGTTTGTTGGCTACCTGGAGGCGCAGGCCTCGGAGCTGATCTGGAAACCTCGGTGCTCCGCGACGATCGCGTGGGAGCAGACCCAGGGCATCTCTGCCAAGGACAAGACATCCAAGTACACAGGCCCCCGAGGTGACTGGAGTCAAGGATACGGTTACATCACGCATGATGGTTTCTGTCCGTGTGGCGCTTCGCTAGCCACACATTGTGAAGGAAGGTGCCCTGGGGCGACCAAGGACCCACGCGCTGCTGACGAGCGTTTGTTGGAGAGTTTGTTAGGAAGGAGGAGGTTGTCAATGATGAAGAGGATGGGAAGAATCCCCTTCATTCGTATCTAGTTTTATTTTCTTCCGTTTAAGCTGTGAAGAGCAGCGACAATTGTTGCGCAGAGCCAGGTTCTGGACCGGACTGCGACTGGTGGATGGTGCACTGAAGAGTTTGGTCTGTAGTTCCCTTTTACTTCCAAATAACTTCTCTATGCTGTTTGTCAGAGAAATAAAATTGTGTACGAAAAAAAAAAAAAGAGGTGCAGGCTCGCAAGCCCACCACTGAGATCTGGAAGGAGACCGTGGGCAAGATTAACGAGTGGGGTGTGCAGGCGACAAACAGCTACAACGCAGCCAGAAAGCGGGAATACAAACGCGCGGTGGACAGGGGTCGTCAGGTACCGAGGCCAGTACCCATACACTGGTGGCCCCCTTCGGATGCGGATCATGTACGAGGATTTTCCTCCATCGGTGGAGCTCGAGCCGTGCACAGCGGTAGTCCTGCTCCCGATCGAGACGAAAGCCCGATGTGGAACGTGTCGAACCTCCTCCGAGGCATCACTCCCATAAGCATGTTGACTGAATGGTCCGCGGTCTTCCGGACCCTAATGTCCATCGCCAAGACGGTTCTTCACAAGTTTGTTGGCTACCAGGAGGCACAGGCCTCGGAGCTGATCTGGAAACCTCAGTGCTCCGCGACGATCGCGTGGGAGCAGACCCAGGGTATCTCTGCCAAGGACAAGATATCCAAGTACACAGGCCCCCGAGGTGACTGGAGTCAAGGATACGGTTACATCACACACGATGGTCTCTGCCCGTGTGGCGCTTCGCTAGCCACACATGATGAAGGAAGGTGCCCTGGAGCGACCAAGGACCCACGCGCTGCTGACGAGCGGTTGTTGGAGTGTTTGTTAGGAAGGAGGAGGTTGCCAATTATGGAGAGGATGGGAAGAATCCCCTTCATTCGTATCTAGTTTTATTTTTCCCGTTTAAGCTGGTGATGTCGGCGACTGAATGCAATCACAATGAAGGGCGAGGGAGGTGAGAGATGGTGAGGTCAAAGGTCTAGGCGGATGTGAGAACAGGTTGAGTTGTTGAACATTTGTATGATAACATGTCAATTCTCCTTTTTGTCACACCCACAACAGGCCCACCTCAGGACATCTAGAATGGGTGTGACAAAAAGGAAAACAGACAATTTCTAAGATTGGTGCCCAATGCACCAAAGGGATAAATTAGCGAAAAGAATGAACAGCAAACACAAGATTACAACACATACCTTTCCTTAAACCTGTCATAGTGAACCATGGACCATGCTTAAAGACCCCCCATGAAACCAAGGTAGATAATAATTTTGGGTTACACTGCGTGAATCATTTTTCTGATTTCTCTGTTGACCCATAACAAAATGTTATGCTCGTTCTCGCAAGCACTCACTGCCTATATCTTCTCCTAACATACGAGATAAGACAAACGGAACCAACGATAAACACCTTTGCCCTTGTATATTTTTATTCTGCGCTTTCAAAAGCTGTTTGACTAACTAATAACTCTTGGTTGGATAAATAATAGCCGCACGCTGCTCCGCTAACTTTTGATCGACAGGGCTCAATCCAACTGCGCCACTCAAGTTTGCATTCTCCAGCGACAGCTCCTTCTTGCCCATACTCCAGACTAGTCGCAAGACGTACTTGTTTTCTTCCAATTCTACCAGTCTCCAGACACGGATAGATCCAACACCCAAAGCGACCAGGTACGAGTCCCCAGAACTGCTCTGCCTCCATAGAATCCTGAAGTTGATCCCGATCTTGGTTTGAAAGACTTCAGACCAAGGACCTGAATTAGTTCGATCCCATATACGCATGATTCCATCTGTTCCAGAGGTGACGACAAGTCGCTGTCGCTGTTGCTCCTTGATGATGGGTGAAGAGCAACAGCAAAACACGCCGTAGGGTTTTGCCTCCAGGTCCAGTCTCTCAAGACGCTCGCCAGTTTGCGGATCCCAGCACCGAAGCTCACTATACGACATCGAGACTGACACGAGCTCTTGTCCATCGGGGGAAAACATCACTCTGTCTACTTCTGCAGAATGGTCCATGATGAAGAGTTGCTCTCCAGTCTGGGTGCACCATAGTCGCACGGTCTTGTCATCACTGCAAGTAGCGAGTTGATGACCGCTCGGTGAATATGTCGCTCCTCTAACTATGTCCGTATGACCCTCCAGGATACGACCAGGCACTCCGGTCTCTATGTCCCAGATCCTTACGGTCCTGTCCTTGCTGGTGGAAGCGATCTGAGAACTATCGGGTGAAAAAGTGACACCGACGGCAGACACTGTGTGACCTTCAAGGATCTGCAAAGACGCTCCCGTTCGGGCGCACCAAAGTCGTACAGTTGTATCATCACTGGCCGAGACGATCCGTTGTCCGCAGGGTGAAAATGCAACATCGTTAACCGCTTCTGTATGACCCTTCAACATCGTTCCTGGTTTTCCTGTTTGTGTCTCCCAGAGCTGTGCCGCACCGTCATCAATGTTGCTAATAACAATCCACGCACCATCTGGCGACATGTCGACATTATGCCACGCTTTGGCATGGACGCCTGACTCTGCTGCATCCGACAAGGCTCCATCAACCTTCCAAAATCGCACAGTTTCGTCTACTGATCCTGAAGCAATGTATCCTCCTGTCGGTGAATAGGCGACACTGGTGACGCCAAAGAGATGTCCAGAAAGAACGTTGATACACTCACCAGTAGAGACGTCCCACAGGTGAACTGTCCCGTCCTCGCCGCAGGACGCGAGTTGATGACCATCCAGAGAAAACGCCACACCAGAAACTACCCCAACCGAGCTGCTCAGACCATGAAGGAGCTGGCCTGTGTGTGCGCTCCATAGTGCAGCTGCTTCGCTGCTATCTCCTGAAGCAATTTGGCTTCCATCGGGAGAATATGTTACGCATAGCACAGGGTCGGTGTGGCCATTCATTATAAACAGAGGCTCTCCTGTCTGAGCGTTCCATGTTCGTAGTGTCTTGTCCTTGCTACACGATACAAGCTGAACGTTGCTCGGTGAAAAAGCAACACCAGTGACAGATTCGGAGTGGCCGCGAAGGGTGTGAAGGGTATCTCCAGAGACTGTCGACCAGATGCGCACGGTAGTGTCATTGCTGGCAGTGGCGATCTGGGTGCCGTCGAGTGAAAAGGAAACGCATGTAGCACCATCGTCGTGGCCAACCAAGGCAAGCCGAAGTACACCGGTCAGGATATCAACGAGTTCCACGGAGTTGTCCTTGCCTCCTTTGGCAAGCTCGCGGGTGGTCGGCGAAATGTCAGTGGCTACTCCCCCAGTATGAGCTGCAACAATAGTCCATGTCGCCGTGTCGAAAACGACCACTATCAAACGTTCTGTCGACACCGCGAGGAGACCTCCATCAGATGAGAAGACGATGCGAGCGACCCTGTTCTTCTCCAGCACAAGATGTGGCAACTCCCCAAACTGAACTCCTGACATCTGCGTACTGCCAAGGTTCGCTTGTCGAAGCCACGTTTTGGTCATGTTGACGCCACTTAGATCGGCTCCCTCGAGGTTCGCAGAATCTAATTCGACACCACAGAGATCAGCTCCCGGAATCCTGATTCCTCGTAGGTCTGCGCCGTTGAATCGCGTTCCTGCCCTGACTAGGATAGAGATGGCGTTCGCTGCTGCTAGGCTGATCGTATCATCCGTTTTCGAGTTCTCAATGGCCACAAGAAGGAGGTTCCTGAATGAGGTGTCCAGTTCCACGCGCTCAGCCAGAAACTGCAGGATCGACGGCTCTCTGATGATGCTCCATTGGTTCAAGGGATGGGCGGCAAAGGACTCGATGGACTCTGCTACGGCAGCTCCATGCTTTGGCACCTGGTTGAGGTCGAAAGGATCGGAAATGGTACGTGAATAAAGGTACTCCAGGATCGAGCGATGAAAAAACCGGTACTGGTTGCCGGATCGAGATATCGGGCCTGCTTCTCGCAGAAGAGTGGCCAGGGTACCCGGCGCAAAGAATGCCGCCTTCCAAGTTTGACTGTCGTGAAGATGTGTGTACTCCACCACTGGAGCTCCATCCTGGTGCCGAAAGATGGCCGCGGCAAGATCCTTTTGATAGCTGAGCCCGTACTGAATAAAACCAGCTTCGAGTAGGCTGTCGAATGTCGATTGCGCCTCCGATGACAATACACTGCCCTCCAGACGTCGCATGTTCGTCTCTAGCCATTGATTCGTGAAACTGTCGTACAATCTAACGCGGGTGTAGCGGACCTGGGACAAGTCCTGTTCAGAGTGGACGATCTTGGGCAGAGCTCGCAGGGCAAGTGACAATAGGAAGGGGTTAGAAACTAGCTCGATCAGACCAGGGATCTTGGTGAGCTTGTTCATGTAATCCTTGGTGGTCCAGCAAGGCTGAGCAGCATCGGTGGTATGTGGAGGTGGCTGTTGGACGAACTGTTCGACATACTGCTCGATCTGGTTTCTCGAAAACGACACGATCACTGCTTCCTGGAAATGCTCAGCCACTGGTTTCTGGTAAGGGTCGATAGTCGGCAGAAATCGTGTACGATAGTCCAGACCCAGGTACTGGCTACGACAGCTAACGATAATCTTGGCCCTCCACTGTCCCGGTTGGTTGAGTAGGTTGGTGGTGTAGAGGTTCTTCTTGAGCTGACTCTCATCGTATCCGTCGCAGATGACAATAAACTGCCGGCTCTGCCTGAGTTCCTGAATCTGCGCGTCGGAAAAGAAGCGAAGTCGTCGCAGTTGTTTGTCGATCATATCCTCCTGTGGGTTGTTGATGGTAGGAAGGTTGATGTGTAGTGGGATCGCGCCGCCTCGCTTATACCCCTTCCAAAGTGTGCGCTCGAGCTGAAGATTGAAAAGCGTCTTGCCTCCTCCTGAATCGCCCAGCAGCAGAAGCACAAGACCAGAACCTGCCAAGAACTCGAGCGCCTTCTCCATCAGCGGAAACAATGTATCGTCAGAAGACTGGAGGGAGGGCTTGGCCTGAGGTGGAGTGTATATCACGTTCTCGCGCTTTTTCAGTCGCTGGGCTCGCAATCTGTAAAGGTCATACTCCACTTCAGGAACAGCTTGAACCCGAGCAAGTAAAGGGGAAGACGATGGCACTGGACATCGAGTCTGCAATGAGTAAGGGTGGGGAGGACCGGCCAAGACATCACAATACAGAGCCTGCTTTACAGCAATTCCTTCCTTCTCTAGACTTTGGAGCATCAATTGAGCGTGGTCCGAGACGATTATGTCCGGCAAGGTTGCGGCTTGGCGAATGATGGTCAGGATCCGTCTGAGCACTTCGGCGTTGGAAGTCCAAGCAGTCTCGTTTCTGTACAACCCGGCAAGAAAGTCGATGGCATGTTGGCGGGTGGCGATATCCCATTGTAGATCAACGACGATCTCTCCAAGGAGCTGACAAATGCCCCACTGAAACTCGACATCTTGACGACAGGGCGCCTCGAAGACCAAATGGTTGAGATCCGCCAGCCAACCGTTCCGAACATGTCCCTGAGCCTCGCGCAGAGCAATATACCATAGTCGTCGACCGCCAGACAAAATGCCTCCCTTGACACTCGCAGCAATGTCCTGGCCACTCTCCAGTAGTGCTTGAACTCCGCCGATTATTTTGGTGCCGACTTCATGAGCCTCCCCCGCAGCCTTGTATAGATATTCAACTCCGTCTCTGAACTCGCCTAGGTCCAGTTTACACACACTAGCGACACCGAGAAGACCCATGGCAGTGTTTCCCGCTTGTCGCAACATGTACTGGCGACGTGTCTCGTCATTTGGCACATGAAGCAGACCTTGAAGAGCATAGACTACCTGGTGCTTGAGATGCGGATCAGGGCTGTTTACCAGCTGACCCAAGAGCGAAGTCAATGGCTCATGGTCAATGACACGTCTCAGGTCCTGCACTTTTCCCTCGACCATGATGTCCAGGAGGCGAGAAAGCGCCAACGTTAGGTAGAAAGGATGCTTGGCTGTCTGGTGGTGGGTCTCCTGAAGTCGAGTCCGAAGAACAACGAGAATACGGACCAGGTCGTCGGGCAGAAGGTAGTCGGTTCTTGCACACTCAACAAGCCAAACCAATCCCTGAAGTAGATCGATGTCCAACAGCCTCGCCGTCTCGAACTCAGCGATGAAGCAGTTCAGCAACTTGCGGTAATACTCCTTGTCAAGATAAGGACCAAGCAAGGCGACTTCAAAGACCTTCTCCGACGTCTTGAGAACATCTGAAGCGAACTCCTCAATGAGCATAATCGTCAACTCACGGATGCGACCTTGTTCTTCCTCGCTGTTAAGGATGGTGTCTATAGATGCTTGCTGAGACGGACACAGAGAGGCAAATGTACTCGCAGCTGCCAATGAGGGCGACAGATGAATGAGGAGTAAATTGTTGCAGTAGGCTAACTGCGATGTAGTTTCGAAGTGAGATCCAGGAGGCGGCAATGCGACGTGAAGCGAGGGCTGGCTGACGTTCGTAGGGAAAGCATGCAGCCAAGGCTGCGAGACGGTCGGAGGTAAGCTTGAGAAGACGGCATTGCTGATAGAGGTAGCAGTGTTAACAGTGGTGGTAGTGACGGCGTTGGTCGCGATGGTCGCAGAGGTGGCTGTGGAGGCAGTGGTGATGGTTGATGCGGTGATGGCAGTCGAGATATTGCCTCCTGTGTAGTCCTGAGGAATAAGTATACCAATCGTCCTGAATTGAATTGAGGCGAGTGCATTGGGCACCGTCCGTTTCTTGGAGGTGATGTTCACTCGACGCAATTCCTTAGCCGCATCCTTCAGTCGAATGAACCGAGATTGGCCAGAACTGGGCATTAAACGAGAGACGGCAGATGCCTTGCCCTGATTGAAAGTGGCCATAGTATTATATGTCCTACAAAAGCAAAAATTGTCGGCAAGTTAGCGAACCTGATTGTAAAAAGCACTAAATGATGTCGTAATATGTCAATCAGGCAAACATACCTGTAGAGTGCAGGGTTAGAAAAGCTCAGGCAGGGCCGTCAATTTCGATGGCACTTGATAGGAAAACTGGAGTGATGACGAGGAAGGTCCTAATGGTATGCATGGTTGAGACATGGCATGCAAGAAGTGACCCATGGTATTTTTTAGCTCTATTTTCATCTCTTCTGCTTTGTCATTTCATCCCTTCGCCATTTTTGCAAAAGAAGAGGAAGAATGGTGAACATCCTTGCAATATCACCTTTTCAACACCATCTTTCACCTTGACACTGTGGTCGTGAACCCATGTCCACATCCGCCATGATCCTAGTCGCGTGATCTTAAAATGTTCTGTGGAACTTACAGTTAAGATGGACAGAGTGGCTGCTTTGCAGGCGATAAAAGCGAGAAGTTGGAAGACAGGCTGTTCTAAGGTAGGAAGAGTGCAGAGGATTAGGATCTAAACAAGGGCGGTAATGATCATTTACGCTACAAGTCGTCATGTATGTGAACATACCCGAGATGAAAAAGGTGGTTGTGACACTGGTTCGTGCTTTCCAGGGACAAGGTTTGAGAAGGGTTTCTATGGTTTATCGAGAGCAGTGGGAGTTTAATAGGCTTGTCCACACAGAGAATGGTCTGGTGTCCTTCACCTGAGGCCTAAATATGACAAAGGCGCGTACCTATTGTCGAGTGTCGACTGGCCGGTCGAGGTTCAAGCGAGAGGTGAGGGGTTCTTTTTATTGCGTTGTTTCTACGTGGGTGTCGCGTTCTCTGTCAGGTGTGAATAAAAAGGGAGTGAAGGCGGAGGTGAAGGGTCGAAGAAAAGAGATGTAATGAATGAATGAATGAATGAATGAATGTCAAGAATGGAATGGAAGGAGTGATTCACAACCTGGGTGAGGATGCGGAAGGTGGAATGGAGAAAGTGTGATGGAGAGGGTGAAGAAGAAAAAAAGAGAAAGAGAGAACTTGCGTTGTCTTGCGTGTGTGTATATGTATGGCATAGACCCACATCTCTATGTTTTCCTTGCCCGATGATTTCATATGTCACTGTAGCGCAGCATGGATCACCTTCAATTTCTTTCCACTGACAACAACGAGGAATCAAAACCACAGGGATACAGTAGAAGTACTCACCAGCAGCGTACAAGAGCCTAACGGTATGGGTGGTAGTGATGGTATCTTGTTGTAGATCAGTGGAACGCCTTGGCTGATTGATTAAAAGTGGCACGTTATCTAACTTGTCTTATCTCTCCATCTCCGACTGCCTGACTGGCTAATGATCACTTGTCTCTCTCTCTCACACACACTCTCTCTCTTCCTCACGTTAGTTGTTTGTTCCTACTGAGGCCTGGTTACTGATATTGCCACTGTCAACTACTGTCATTGCTATTGCTATTGTCATGGTCATTGTTACTGGCATATATCATGCCTCTGCACCAAACTCCCAATGGGTCGATAAATCGATGAACTCAGAGGGCGGTAGGCCAAGGGCGTACCCTTTGGGAGTGGGCCGACTGCTGCTTCCCGCATTCCTCGAAACGATAACATATAATACTCTCGAAATAGATTCACTTGATCGATCACGACCATCACCATCCAGATGGCGTATCCAATACATCCAAGAGAGCTGCCGCGTGTGTGTTTGTCATTACCTTTGTCGTGATGAGGTAGTCATTGTGCTGGTTATTGTTAGTCGATGAGCTGAGGGGTATTGTTGATGAAGCTGATGGGTGCTGTTTGTTGTTGTCGCGTCAGGAACAAAACAAGCAAAATGTGTAACGCACGGCGGACTAGGCATCGATGTTGTCGTTGCGGCATTTATGATGTTGCTGATACAGTTCCCTATCTATCGTTGTTGTCGCTATTCTTGTTGTTTGATTCTTGATTGTTTTGATAATTCTTGCATATTATAACAGCTGACGATGACGATGGCGATGGTGCTGGTGCTGTTTCTGTGTTGGTCCTGGCTCCTGGCTCTGTGAATGATTCCTTGGTACTAGTGGAAGACAACAGGTGTATACGCTTTTTCAACATACGAGAAGTTTCTTTTCCCGCTAATGAACGTGCTTGCGCGCTTTCATTCCAATGAGTTCTTGACAAACACACACACAGCGATTCACCTTCCTCCCTCTAGTTTTCTTGAACGAGATCTCTAGGAATAGCTCATTCTTGGTCACAACGTCTGTCGCCACACTTTCTACACGAAGCACTCATCACTATACATTATACTCGTCCCTTATCTTGGCCGCCTTGTCTGTGATCTCTAGGAGAGAACATATCCCAATGTTTTTCTTGGGAACACAGAGCATAAGTCTAATAGAAATGGGCGTCATAGCTACTTCCATGTTTTCTAAGGCATTTTCCTTTTTCCCAGGACACCAGCCCTTTGTCTCCCCTCTCTATTACTCCCTTTCAGCTTTCTTCATCCAAGGTCCCTCCCTCATCAGCACAGCCTCTCATCACGCCCATGTTGTCCATTTGCCAATGATTCCCATTGTTGTCCAGTAAAAGTAGCATTGCTGTTCTTCATTACTGCCCTCCTTTTTTTTCTCAGCCTCTTTCTTTATTAGCCCCCTCTCTCCTTTCCTAGACCCAACTAAAGTAATAGAACCTTGTAAGTGATCTGTCTGCCCAGATGGCTGACTGGTTACCTGTTTACAAGAAGATTCAATGCCAGGGAACCGTAAAGAAGATCATGACACAGCCGCGCAAGAGCTAATAAATATTCACGGATCTCAGGCTCTCTATTTGTTTATTCATCATCACCAACACACAGACCAACAAGTAAACAAAAACAAAAGCAGCAATCATCTCTCCACCTCACACATACAAAACAAACAAGCACAGCACACAAAACAACCAACACCAAACAAAACAAAAAAAATGATACTCACGCCTTCGATCTCCTCGGCCGCCAAGTTGATTACCCTCTCGATGGCACTCCTGGCAGTACTCTCCGTCATCAACACACCCGCCGTCCACGCAGCTCCCATCTCCAACCCCGGCGCCCCCTTAGTGAACGGTGTCAAGCAGGCCGACCCAGAAGCCTTCAGAGTCCCGGTCGGTCCTCGTGGACCTCTCCTCAACCGTCGCGGCAGCGGCATTGCTGTCAGTGGCGTGAAAGAAACGTCCGGTCTGGGCAAGACCCACCCTTCAGCTGTCGAAAAACCCGATCCATCTAGTAGTGAACTGTCGATGCACCCTGGACATGCTACAAAGCGAGATGACGATGAGGAGATGTTGGAGCTGCTCGGGAAGGCACGGTGGATGGAGAAGCGTGACGAGACAACCTCCCCAGCAGGAGGCGAATGGAAGGATGTTGTTGGGGTGACCATGCGGTCCGATCCTGCATTGGATGAAAAGAGGAAGGACGACTCGCGGTGGAGCCTCATAAGCAGGCCTAATATCTTTCCTGTTGTTGCTGTGACCAAGCGCGGTGATGGAAAAGATGAGGCGCCCGAGTCGATATGGCGGGAGTGGAATGGGAAGGGCGGAGCTGCTGGAAGATTCGAAGTCAGGGTGGTGATGACGTCTCACATCGAGGGCAAGGGCAAAGGCAACGGCGCGGCCAAGAAGAGACAACTCAAGACCGAGCAGAAGAAGCGCAATGTTGACGACAGGTTTGATGCTGCTGGAGCTGCTGCCGGATCTCAGAAGGATATTGGCGAGTTGGAGACCTTGGAGAAAAAGAAGTTCCGAACGTGGCATTTCAAGCGTGAGGAATAGGGAGGTGAGGCAGAGGCAGAGGCGAAGGTTGAAGGAGTGGAAGGAGAGAGAGGGGTTGAGTTTGAGAAGCGTCGCTGGCATTGGTAGATTACATTCGCTACCCTCTTTTTTTTGTAACTTCCTTTTTGTTGCCACGAACTGTACAATAAACCAGTTTGTGAATCTTACATATCCCATCAACTGAAGCTAAAACAACAAGGAGACCATGAGAATAGAAGGAATGGAGACCTTCGTTTTACATTGTCGTTCTTTCTCTTGTCCGTGCTTTTTGTCGATCTCACTTCGATCGGAACCAAATCAGATATTTTAAATGGCCGACGCATAACTGACCATCCCCGTGACATTTGATCACATGACGAACCAGTAATGATTGATTGATTAAGGTTTTGAGTCACTTTGACATGATCCAACCCATCCACCGGAGATTTTTGAGACTGCTCTGGAAAATAAATAAATAGAAAAGTATCAATGATGGTAGGAGAGAGACAGAAGGGCTTGTTGAAGGTGAAACTAGGGGGTACCAATCCGGATCAAGGGTAGGGAAGCGGATTGAGAGGGAGAAAGAATAGCGATGACGGAGGAGAAAGAGCCAAGGGGCGAGTGGCCGTATTGCTGTTGTGGACGATGAAGAGAACGAAGGCAGGTGTGATAGCAGATTTTTGTTTGTAACTTATTTATGATATTTGGTATGGGCCTATGGAGATGGTTTGATGAGTTGCGATGACCACGCGGATGGAAAGAAAGGAGCCCTGTCTGTCTGTTGTGTACTTTGGGTGGATACATATCAAACACCCACACATCACCCACACACTCACGTATGCAAAGAGGAGATTGCCCAATCTAATGTGGACCACTTGGCTGCTGTTGTCTTATCTCTCCCTCTCCCTTCTTTTCTTTCTCGCTCACGTTCACTCACACCTACTCATCCAGCCTCCCTCCTCTATATAAATATCCCAACCGTCTCTCATTTTCCCTCTTTTTTCTCTTCCTTTTCTCTTTTTCAATCCAATCCAACTACCACCAACCCAACCAACCCACCTGCGACTCACACTCTGCTAAAGGCGAACACTTTCAAAGTCTTCTACCGCCAACCCCAACAACCCCCTCTTCTGCCTCAGTAGTACATCCTTTCCATGTACTCCCACTCGCAAGAAAAGAACTCTGCCGATTACATCTCTGACCAAGGTAACTTGGCACTCCCTTCCTATTGTTTCTACTCCCTATGTTAACTCTCACACCATGGCCTCGGTTACTAACTCTCACGTTTCCTCCTTTTGTTTTCTCTCTTTACCTCCTACAGTCTGGAAGAACAGCAATCCAAACCACTAAAGCCTCTTAAAAACAACGAAACATCGTATCGATACACCGCCATTCAGTACCCATTACCCACTTTTTTTTTTTTTTGTCCCAAGCCCTTTCTGCAACTAGTTTTCTACATACCTTTTTGCACACCCTCTCCACACTACTCTCACTTTCTTCAGCACTCTCTTTCCCTCTTCAACACCTCCTCGCTTCTCACACACCTTCACCTAAAAGCCCTTTTCCCTTTGCAAAGCCTTTCTTTCTCTACATTAATTTGACACCTTCATAAGCTCCTTTTAGCACCCTCTTCTCTCTCTTGCTTAAAGCTCCATTTCTCTCTCTTTTCATATACACACATCGCACCATTTTTTTCTCTTCATTTTGATCTCTTTCTGTCAAATTCTTTTGTGAACACTCCTTTTTTTCACCTTCTTCACTCGCCCCCCTTTCAATCGTTTCGATACCGCTGTAATCCTCTTCCTACGACGAACGTCTAGTTGATAACAATCCGGTCAGATCCCATCCTTTCCAACAAACACAAGGAAAACATCAAAGAAATTATCCATCAAGATATTGTCATTTTTCAGCAGTCACTCTCTTACCACCGCCTTCAAAGAAAACATATTTCGCTCACCTTCACATCAATCAACATCCGACAGATAATAATCGACGCGATCGCACTCTTCAACAACCTATCGTAACAAGAAACGAGATTATCCGTAGTCCAACTCAACAACAACAACAAACACAACAAACAACAAACAACAACAACAACCAGCAAACATGTCTGCCTTCAACAAAGCCGCATTGATGACCTGCTCCATGGCCATGCGTTCCATCGCCACCCGCCCCACTCTCGTCCGCTCAGCGTTCAAGACTTCAGGCGTCCGCTCCCTCGCTACCGTCGCCGACACCGTCTTCGCTGCCAACAAGGCTGCCCCCAAGACCCCCTCTGCCAGCACCTTCTCGGCCCCCTACCAGTTCGACTCCGAGGCCCCCAAGGCCGTCCCCGCTGCGATCAAGCTCAAGTCCGGCCACGTCTTTACAGGAACCTCGTTCGGCGCCCCCATCTCGTCCTTTGGTGAGGCCGTCTTTACAACTTCCCTTGTTGGATACCCTGAGTCGATGACCGACCCCTCGTACCGTGGTCAGATCTTGGTCTTTACCCAGCCCTTGATCGGAAACTATGGTGTTCCCTCGCAGGAGAAGGATCAGTTTGGCTTGCTCAAGTACTTTGAGTCGAACAAGATCCAGTGCCAAGGAATTGTCGTCAACGATTACGCAACAAAGTACTCGCATTGGACTGCCGTTGAGTCGCTTGGAGAGTGGTGTGCTCGCGAGGGCATTCCTGCCATCTCTGGAGTCGACACCCGTGCGATCGTTCATTTGCTCCGTGATCAAGGATCGACCTTGGCCAAGCTCGAGGTTGGAGATGAGGTTTTGGAGAACAAGGAGGTCGTTGAGTTCCCTAACCCCAACGTCCGCAACCTCGTCTCCGAGGCCTCGACCAAGGAAGTCTATGAGCTCAACCCCCTCGGAGATGTCAAGATTGCTTTGGTAGACTGCGGTGTCAAGGAGAACATCCTCCGCTGCCTCGTCGCCCGCGGTGCTTCCGTCACCGTCTTCCCCTGGGACTATGACTTCAACCAAGTCATGGACCAGTACGACGGTCTCTTCATCTCCAACGGCCCCGGTGACCCCCGCGCTGCCTCCAAGACGGTCCAGAATCTGGCCACAGCCTTCAAGAACCCCGCCCCCAAGCCCATCTTTGGAATCTGCATGGGCAACCAGCTGATGGGCATGGCTGCCGGATTGGACGTCTACAAGCTCCAGTTCGGTAACCGTGGCCACAACCAGCCTGCCATCAACATGCAGAACGGTCGTTGCAGCATCACCTCCCAGAACCACGGTTATGCTCTTGAGGACTCCGTCTTGTCTACTCCCGGATCGGTTGTCCAGGGATGGGAGAAGTACTTTGTCAACGCCAACGATGGCTCCAACGAGGGTATCCGTCACTTGACCAAGCCCTTCTCGTCGGTCCAGTTCCACCCCGAGGCCAAGGGCGGTCCCCAGGATACCGAGTACCTCTTTGATGATTTCCTGAGCTTGGCCCGTGCCGAGAAGCTCAAGCACTCCCAGAAGCCCTTCTTTGTCGCCGAGCCCCTCTCCGTCCCTAAGAAGGTCCCCGTCGAGGTCATCGCCTAAGCCCCTAGGACTCTGGTACCTTTCCCTTTTGTTGTTTTTTACTTTTTGATATCCCCCACACATCATCATACTTTGTTTCTTTGTTTTCTTTGTTGCTTTCACACACTACTTTTCATTTCATTTTTCTTTCTTTACTTTGGGTTTGTGTTCTCACTCGACATTTTGTTTGTCAGAGATGTGTTGTGAAGTGGAACAATATGTGATTTCTTTTTCTGGCGCGTAGACGACCAACTATGCCCCACCAAACGTCGCAGTTTGTCCCTTCTACCTTTCCCTGCTTCTTTTTCTTGATGGTTCCTCCCTTTTTCTCCCTTTGTTTTTTTCTTTTTGTTTTTTGTTGGAAGTTTGGCTCGATTGAAAAAAACGCGTATGAAGAACAAAAAAAAAAAGACGCTTCGCAGAAGAAAAAAACAGAAAAAAAGATCATCTGAAGAAAAAAAACGCGACCAAAATTGTCATGAAAAGAGGAAAAAAAAGACTTTATCAATCCAGACAGACAGGAGGACCATTGCTAGGAGCTTTACGAGCGTCAACAATGCATGCGAAAGACCAAAAACAGCATTGCAATTGAGACTAGGGTACTTTTTGTGGATGAGTTGGAGTGAGGGGAGTTAGAGTAGGATTTGGAGTGTTGGAGGAGGAGGGGGCATTCACCGACCAAACTAGTTTGCCACTTTCTTTTTCTTCACTTCGCCCTTTCTCTCTCCTTTTGCCTACACTTTCCTGCCCTTTTCTTTTCTTGTTGATTTTTTGTATCTCTTTTTTTTTGGTTTTTCTAGTTTTTTTCTAGTTTATTTGGATATGTCTCCTTTTTCCTTTCTCACAATTGTTTTTTCTTTTCTTTACAAGACCTTTCTTTCTCTACCTTTCCTTCTTCACAAGTCCTTTCCTCTTGACTTTCTTTACATAGCCTTTTCTACTTTTGACATCCACTCCTTCTCTTCTGAAAAACTTCTTTGACCTAAAAAAAAATAATTTTTTACATACTCACAAAAAAAATAAAAAAATCGCAAGACTCCCCTTACCTGTGCAAAACCCCCCCCCCCCATTACCAATTGTCCAATGTTCTGTGTATCGATTAAATGAAATGAAATGGAAAAGCAAGGTGAAGAATGAAATGAACAAAAGTGTTGTTGTTGTTGTTGTTCATGTAAGCAGAAGGACAAAGAGAACCACTGCTTGTTTGTGTTCCCCGGGTAATGCAACAGGGTCTGTGTATGTGTGTGGGTGTGAGAGATCGATGGAGAATGAGGCACGACCAAAGAATATTGGGCGGAGTTGTTCTTTTGGAGTGTTCCGTGGATCGTATAGAATGACGGAAAAAGTCCGGTCTCTTCTGTCTCTCTGTCTCGGGCCTCAAATTGACGCAAGGGAGTCATTGCCCGTCCGGACTGGTGTCTGTGGCTATGAGAGATGAGAGGTAACTAAGCAACGAAAAGAGAAGGCGGCGATGTGAGGCTGTGGTTGATGTGAGTTGCGTATGTTGGTCCGGTCGTGTGAGGAAAGTATCTGACCCTTTTTCTTTCCTTCTCGTCCTTCCTCCGCATTGGGCGTGTCTCCAAAGAGAGAGAGAGGGGGGATCATGCACACTCTTTCTTCATCGCCTCTTCATCGGAGTAATCTATGCATCATGTCAGTTTGGCCCTTTCCTTTCCCCTTTCTCCTTCCCCCTTTGTTCAGAGTAAAAGAGATGTGATGAAGAGAACACGTCGTCGGACATTTCCGGCAGAATAAAGTTGTAAAGTCTTCCGATTCCCCCCATTTTAGCACATGTTCCTCTTTTTCTTCGCTCTAATTGCGTGTAGAATGGTAATGAAAGGACCCCTGGTCCGTTTGTATATGCAAAGGCCCGGGGCACTCTGTCTTCATGCTACACTGCTACATCCCCCGTGACCGTAAACACGGGGGGGGGGGAAAAGGCTGCTTACCTTGTTCAAGGCGGATGGATAGGTAATGAAGGGACGAGAAAAAGAGGGGAAAGACATTATTGTCTCGTTTGTTGGATGTGTATAGTACGTCTGAGAGAAGGAATAAAATTCGGTATGAGTGCCTTGCAGGGACAGGACAGGACAATTTGCATAGACAACCAGCCAGCACACGCACGTACTCCCATATGAGAAAGGCTACCCATCCTTTGCAAAACGCCACCCCATTTAGGGAAAAAAAAAATTAGAAAAGAGAAGAGAGAGGCATCCAAACTCCGTTTCCTTCACACACTCCGCCCATTTCCCTCTCCTCTCTCTCACAGTGCAACTCTTGAACACTCCCCCGCGGTTTTCGCTCTTTCCTTTCACGGTTTGCCTTCTTTGGGACAACCAACAAACAAGGTTTTCTTTTCTTCGGTGTGTGGAGGAAGGAAGGAAAGGTCCGTCATAAAAAATAAAAAAGGCGGGGACCAATTGGAACGCTTGCTCGGGGGGATGAAATAGAAAAGGAGTCACCATCGGTGGGTGGAAAGAAAGGAGATTTGCACAAGGCAATTGGCGACGATGAGAGAGTGAGAGAAGGAGGAGGGCGTGAGTCGAGCTGGGGAGCCAGGATGGCGACATGCTTTGGAGTAGCACTATGTAGTTCAATTGAATGAGACTAGTCTAATTCAAGTGGAAGAGACATATGAGTGCCATAGATGTTAGTCAGCGGCAAAAAAGGGATAAATAATTATTTTTCTCACGAATGTGGAGGAATGGGACAGGGGTCACCGTCTTTTTTGTCTGTTGGTACTTGCGTCTCCTCATGAAAAATGTCCAACAACTGGTCTATTATTACCACTCATACTCTCATTCCCATTCCATGGTTCTTCACACCCATGAGTCAAACAGTGGAACGGGGTCTGTGGTGTTTTCCCTTTCATTACCTTCCACTCCTTTAACGGAAGAGGGCTCAATGGTTCATTCATTCTCATTGCAGAAAAGAGAGAAGAGAAGGAAATGGTCGCCTTTGTTCGACAATAATAGACAATATTCATTTCCTCCGTCGAGCATGGGTCTGTCTTGTCCTTGTCCTTGTTTTGCATTGTTGACAATTGACACTCCTACGAAGTGTTGTTGCCGCTAACAACGGACAGACGGGAAGAAGAAGGCAAAAGTGATCTCCTTGTTCTGTTGTTGGGACGCTGGGGTAGGAAAAGGGACAAAAGGGACGCCGTTTTTGATCCTCATTTATTTCAACTGGTGCGACCTGGTCCATGCATCTCTGCATTTTTTTGATGTATTAACGAGGAACAGAGAGACAGGAGTGAGTGAACGGTAAGAGACAAAGGAGACGTGAGTGGAAGAGGAGTGATCCTCTTTCCCCTTCCCTATACTCACTCTCCTTTGTCTGCCTCTTTTGTTACTGCGTCCCCCGCATTCATCAACCAACCGCCCTGAATCTCATTCTCTCGCCTTAGTTTGTTCCTTTTTGTTCGTGCGTTCGTTCGTTTGCGGATCTCTCTTTGGCCTTTCCTTGTTCTTCCCCACGCATCTTCCTTCAGTTCCCGCTCCCTTTTCGCCCTTCTTCTGTACCTTCCCTCGTCTACCTTTTTCGCCTTTTTCCTCCCCCAAAACAAAAGCACAACATACTTGCACCATTCGCGGCATACAAAGAGGTGCTTTTGCAACTGTTGCATTGGCTGTTGGGAAGTGGATGTGTCTCCAATTTTTGTCGGAGAATGGATTGAGGGGAATTGGATTGGTACTTGCGTCTTTTTTTTTTACCCCTCATTTTTCTTTTTTTTGTTGAGCTCATTCCCACTCTCTTTTGCTTTGCCTCACCTGTTCTTTTAGATGCAATTGAAGGGAAGGAAACATCGGGTGTATGTCAGAAGGACTCGGAAGCGCCTTTTCTCTCCTCTCTTTCATGGCAAAACAGCGTGTCAAGCAGCGAAAGAGTGTTCAGGTGTAAGGCAGAGGTGAAGAAGACACGCCTACGGGACCTTGACCAGGAGAGTAAGAAGCCTCATTTTTTGACTTTCTGTCAACGGAGGAATCCGTGGGCCAAGGAAATAGAGAACAGAAGACGGAAACCGTATGGGTGTGAAAAAGAAGAGTGAGAAGAGGGAGAGCGAATAGGGTTACTCTGTGTTGACACAGGACAAAGAGAAAGGGCTTTCTTTTCTGTTGAGTGTTGAGTTAAGAGTGTGTCCGGGGTCCGAAAAAAAAAAAAAAAGACTCATTCGATCCGACTTTTTGTTGAATCTATTTTTGCTGTCGATTGAATTGAATTCATATAGTAAAGAAAAGGATGACTCGTGGATGACCGAAGGCAATAATTACATGCTGTCAGACTAGCACCATTTCTAAAATTTCTTGTTTCTAGGCTTGTGTTTAGGTTGACTGTGCCTAGACACCCTTTTCTCTATTCAATTAGCCCTCTTTCCTTTACTTTCTTTACTTTGTTTCTTCTTTACGTTAACTACTTCCATCGGGGTCCTCTCTTTCTTGCTCCGTGTGCACTTTTAATATGTTTTCCATTCCTCATCCTTCCGGATCGCCTCCCATCACTCCTGCTGGTATAAATACTAAGGCACTTTCCCACTTTTCTTATTCTTTGACCTTTACTCTTCATTCACTTCAACTCCCCTCTTCACTCTCCTTACTCTCTTTCAAGCACTCTTGCTTACCCCTCCCCACTCTACCTCTCCCCTTCTCTACCCCCAAACACACATTACAAAAATGACCAAGTCACCCGCTGGATCGATCCACAAGCACGACCCCGAACTCGAGGCCTCCGTCGGCAAGGACGGTATTGACTACACCCGCGTCAACCTCCTCCGCAACACATCCGTCGCAAAGCTCTACGAGGATGCCCTCCGCTACGAGCCCGGTACCTCCATCTCTTCCGCCGGTGCCCTTGTCACCTCGTCCGGAAAGAAGACTGGACGCTCTCCCCGGGATAAGCGTATTGTTGATGAGGACTCCACCAGCGAGGATATCTGGTGGGGACCCGTGAACACCAAGATGACCGAGCATGCTTTCTTGATTAACCATGAGCGTGCTGTCGACTACCTCAACACCCGTGAGCGTCTCTACGTTTTCGATGGATATGCTGGTTGGGACCCTAAGTACCGGTAAGTCTTACCTTCCCCCCCTTTTTTTTATCAGTCCCTGCATGCGATCTTGTCATGTCTTGCTTTTGAAACATGTTTCTAACCATGGTCATCCTCATTCTTACCCAATACAACCAATTAGCCTGAAGATCCGTGTTGTCTGCGCTCGCGCTTACCACTCGCTCTTCATGCACAACATGTTGATCCGCCCCACCGAGGAGGAGCTCAAGAACTACGGCGAGCCCGATTTCACCATCCTCAACGCCGGTGCCTTCCCCGCCAACAGATACACCACCGGCATGACCTCCAGCACCTCCGTCTCCATCAACTTCAAGCTTCGCCAGATGGTCATTCTTGGAACTGAGTACGCTGGAGAGATGAAGAAGGGTGTCTTCACCATCATGCATTACCTCATGCCCAAGGCTGGTGTTCTCTCCCTCCACTCCTCCGCCAACCAGGGACCCCAGGGCGATACCTCTCTCTTCTTTGGTCTCTCTGGAACCGGCAAGACCACCCTCTCTGCTGACCCTGCCCGTGCCTTGATTGGTGATGACGAGCACGTCTGGACTGACACTGGAGTCTTCAACATCGAGGGAGGCTGCTACGCCAAGACCATTGATCTTTCCGCCGAGAAGGAGCCCGAGATTTTCGGCGCCATCCGCTTCGGTTCCGTTCTCGAGAACGTCGTCTTTGACGAGGACACCCGTGTCGTCGACTACTCTGACAAGTCCCTCACCGAGAACACCCGTTGCGCCTACCCCATCGAGTACATCCCCAACGCCTTGATCCCCTGCGTTGGAAACATGCCCAAGAACATTGTCATGCTCACCTGCGACGCCCTCGGAGTTCTCCCCCCCGTCTCCAAGTTGACCTCGTCCCAGGCCATGTACCACTTCATCTCCGGTTACACCTCCAAGATGGCCGGTACCGAGGATGGTATCATCGAGCCCGAGGCCACCTTCTCTGCCTGCTTCGGTCAGCCCTTCTTGGTCCTCCACCCTACCCAGTACGCCACCATGTTGGCTGCCAAGATCGAGGAGCACAAGGTCGATGTCTGGTTGATCAACACTGGCTGGAACGGCGGTGCCTACGGAACCGGCAAGCGTATTGCCCTCAAGTACTCCCGTGCTATTATCGATGCTATCCACAACGGCGAGTTGAAGAGCGCAGAGTACGAGACCTACCCCATTTTCGGCCTCGAGATCCCCAAGACCGTCACCGGTGTCCCCGCCGAGGTCCTCAACCCCGCCACTGCCTGGCAGGGAACCCCCGAGACCTTCAACGCCACCGTCTCCAAGCTTGCTGGTTTGTTCAACGAGAACTTTGCCAAGTATGCTGACCAGGCCACCGAGGATGTCATCGCCGTCGGCCCCAAGATCTAAATCGTTCTTCACTTTGCATTCTACAATCATATATCCACAACCCCCCCCCCCCCCCCCCTCCAAAAAACACTCTTGCATTCTGCTCTTTTTGTACATAATAATAAACATTTTCTATCTTAAAAGTTACATCTCCTTGTCTTCTCATCAATGATTCTGTCATCGCCTTGGTTATTGTCCTTGAGCATCTGGTCTTCTCCTTCGATTCATTTTCGATATTATCTTTGTCATCGATGATCGACCATTAACCGAAAATGTGGCTGATCATTCCAGGCACATGCACGTGAGAAAAAGAACAAAGAGAACGAAACGGAGGGAGGGAATGGAGCATATGCATGAGGCCTAATTGAACCTGCTCAAAAAAAAATTCTTGTTCGTTTTCCATTCGAAAGAAGTTGTTCGAAGGCTTGTTAATTCGTCAGGCATTTTTTGAGCCAATTTCATTTATGTGATTTAACCTCTCGTATTCATAATATTTTGCCTTATGTAAGATATGTTATCACTTTTTTTTTTTCTGTGATCTGACAACATTGTCACTAGAACTGATGGTGTATTTTTCATTGTTGTATCCGGAATGGGAAAAAAAAGTAGATTTCGGTGATGATCTCGGTCTGGGTTCTCTTTACATGTTGGCATAGGGGAAGGTCAACATTAATGATTTTTTTTCGTGAACAAGGAGAGTGAAGGGTGTCTTCTTGCTAGTCACGTATAAATTTCAGGTCAAATTTGGCCCAAAAACGGAGGAGGGGATAACTTGTTAGTCGTCTTGACATCTCACGAAGATGACTGTGTCAAAATCGCCTTACCCATTCGCAGACAGGACGAAAAAGTGTGTGTGTGGTACATGACGACGGTTTATCCTTATTCTTTGAGCTTGCCATTGGCGGCAACAACAAACCGCTTTTTGAGAAAGCGAAGGAGTGACAAGAGAGAGGGAGGTATGACAGACAAGGATGGTGAGTGGTTGTAAAGAACGAGTAGTGGTAACAGGTGCATGGGAGAATTTCGTAGATGAGGCATTTTTTTCCCAATAGAGTCGACGAGAGGAGGGGGAAAAAAGCCTACAGGCTGGCCGTGAACGAAAATGCTGTAGTATGGATGAATGACGCGTAGAAAGGTACCTTCGGAAGGTGTGTAGGGAAGGCGACAAAAACAAACGTGGAGAGAATAGCGAAGGATTTTTTTCGTCTTGCGAGGACTGTCATCGTTCCAATTTCTGAATCCACGCCTCCTCTTCGACTTTTCAAGTGGAAGGGTTTTGGCGGCCAATGAGCATTTCCTCTGTTTTGTTATGACAAAGGGGGATGGGAAATGGGTATAGCATGGTCACGATCGTTTTCTTTTAGAGTTGTGCTTTGGTCTTGTTTGCCTTTTTTTCCTAAAGTAGCGCCGTGTCTGTGTGTGTGTGCGCATGGGCAATAAGTCGACATTTTGAACAGATGCGCGCGTGTGTTGGGTGGTGTACGGGTCAATTGCCGGTTTAGCGGGTGAACTGCCGATAGGTGAGGTGGATGCAATTAAAGTTTTTCGACTTTCACACAGCAACATCAGGACTGGCGAAAATGTAATGCTGAGCGCCACAAAACTATAAAGGAAAGAGGATCGTCTTTTCCTTTTCATTTTTTATCTTTCTATTTCACACAACTTTTCTTTCACAGCTTATTCTTCTATTCACCAACTACCCAAGCAAGGACAAGCAAGGAACAACAAAAGACAAAGGATGAACAGCTACACGATCGAGACGGTGTTAGAGACAAGGGAGCCAGGCGTAATTGAACTGTTTGGGAACGCCCCAGGAGTCGTCCACAAGGTCTCCGGGGTGGTGCACCTCCATGTCGACAAGACCATTCATCTCAAAGAGCTCAGCGTCGTTTTCCTCTGCGAAGGTATCCTATACACACGCATTACCTATCACCTTACCTATGTCTCTGTTCATATTATATCCAAGTGCTGATGCTGACATTATTTGTTGATGTTTTTGATTGATGAATAGCGGTGGTGGGGTACAGGTCGTCGGTAATCTCGACATCTTCGGACCCAATGACGATCTACCGGAACCAATTCGACGCTATCCCTGCTTCTTCCTCATCATCCACTGAATACACACCCGGAGACTACACCTTCCCCTTCCAACTCGCCATCCCTTCCGACCTCTCCACGACGGACTCTACAAAACTCATCTCCCAGGAATTCATCTGGATGTACCATCTCACCACAATCGCCGTCCCTGCCAACCTGACAAAGGGGTCCACGATTAGCTCGCTTTTCCAGAAGAGAAAGACGATCCAGATGCCGTTGGTGTTGCGCAAGTGTGTTGTTGAGCAGTCTGGAAGGAATAGTGTCAGGTGTAATGCGAGACGGGATGGCAGAAGCGAGAAGGACGGAGGGTTTATGGCGGTGATCTTCGTGCCACAGGTTGTGAATGTGAAGCAGACGATTGTTCCGATTACTGTGCAGATGAAGGGGTCTGGTGGGGGGAAGAGGTGGAAGGTGAAGGAGATTCAGGCGCAGATGATTCAGACGGAGAAGGTGGTGCATAATTCGCCGGAAGCCTATAATTCCATGGAGGGGTTGCGTCGCATGTAAGTTTTTGTCCTTTTTTTTTCTTCTTATCATGGGTGTCGCTACTTTGAGCTGTTGCGGTTTTTTTTTTAAAAGTAGGCTGTGCCTGACCCCAATCTCTGGTACTCACCATAACGTATTCTCCTTTTTTTTTTATTTTATGACATGGCCGAAACAAACATAATAGGATACCGATCGGAATTCAAGATGACCCAATGGCGCCGAAAAAATTCAAGAAACCAACCCACCGCTCAAGCGCTACCGCAACCACACCCAGCGCCACCACCGACAACGCTAATCCCAACACCAACGCAAGCGCGAGTGTCGGATCCATGATAAACACAACCCAGACAAAGACAATCTCCAACCTCGTCAGTGTCAAGGACCCAAACCAGTACACCGAAGGCGTCCACTCCTCCCCTGGCCAGGACTACTCCGAAACCTTCGAATTGGACCTAACCGCTGGGGAGAAACTCGTTAACGCGAGTGGAAATCAGACCGAGGTCTTGACGTCTGAGGTGTTGCCCTGGGTGACGATTAGTCATGCGGTCAGGTTTAGGGTGTTGTTTGAGGATGCCGGAGGGGAGAAGCCGTTGGTGGTCAAGGCACCCGTGCAGGTTGCGTATGTGGTTGGGAGGGAGAGTATTAACTTGGCGTCTGGACGGCCGGTTCTGCAGGGGCAAGTTGTTGAAAGTGCGGCTGGAGTTGATGAATGGATGTATTCGGAGAGTGCGCCGGGGTATGAGTACAGTCCTGACGGTGCACAAGATGGGGGATTGGGGGATGTGCTGCCGGGCTATGGGGAAGATGTGGGGCGGTCGAATCTCTTGGATTCCAATCTTCGTAGCAACCAGGAGTATGGTCTTTCTGTTAAGTAGGAAGTGCACTTGGAGCTTGTAGTTTTATTAAACCCCCTTTTTTATTTGGACAAAGAGGAAGCCTTTCTCTTTAAACAAGAGACGAGGGTGGTGGGTGGGGGCTAGGTCTAGGTACATCTTGTTCTCCTCATGCCCATTGCTCATATAATGGATGACTAGTTGGTGAGTGGCCTGCCACTTGAAAAAAGGGGATGATATAGGTGGAAAAGACCCTCCGTGCGCATATTTCAAACGCTCTTTTTGATATGGATGGATACAAAAATAATTTCGTTGGGAAAAAGTACAGAGTTGATATTATTTATGAACAAAAGCAAAAGTGGGTACATGGAACAAGGATTTGTAAGTGTAAGGGAATAGATACTTTCACAGAATGGTAAAGAAAAAAAAACGAGAGGTAAAGAAAAGGGGAGGAAAGAGAGAGAGAAGGTACAAAATGAAAAAATGGCAGGCCCTTCGCGGTGGCAGTGCCAAACTCTGTGTCAGGCTTAGCAGCTTCGGTTTTGTCCTCGACATCGCAGCGATAGTGCTAAACTCTGACTCTAGTGAGGCCAACATTTGTGTGTTTTGGTTCTGGCTAGTCGGGCGAGGTGGGCGTTATTTTTGTGTGTGAGAGAGAGAGGAGCGAGGATGAGAGGGGAGGAGAGGATGAGCTGAGGTTTGATGATGAGAAAAAATGAACCGTGTCCAGTGCATTTTTCAGTTCTTTGAAGACACTGTGTCTGTCTGCGTGAAGGTTGTGCTTCTATAGGTGTAATTGTTTGCGTGCCTTTTTCTTGGTTTGTTTGCCTTTTCTCTGCAAGATTACGGACAGGGGAAAGAAAAGCATCGGAATTATAGTTTTTGAATGGAGGGCGAAGACAATGGAAACGAGGGTAAGAAACGCATAGGCACAGCCAAGAGAAGAAAAAACAACAAGGGTAAAGATAGACGACGCAGATAGAGCAGAGCAGCAAAGGAGACTGCCACAGCATGATTTGACGCTGGTGGAGAAGTTAAAGCGACATACGGGGTCGCTTGGTCGTAGGCGGCCGTATCAAAATGAGGCTGTGGTCTTTTGCTTATGTGCCCCAAGACAACGTTATTTTGCTTGTTCAAGGAAAATGTCAAGGTTTTGTTTCTTTAATGGGCTGTCGAAACAGAGGCGAGGCTGAAGAAATGTCCGGAAGGACTGGGTTTCTATTCAGCATCCGGAGGCTTTGCTCAGCTGACAGCAAGTGGATATCATATACAGGGCGAATATTAAGGAGAGCTGCTTAAGTGACGGCTAGTATGTCCTCATTCACAGGTCATTTATGTCAAGCTTCGACAATGCCTTTTGTTAAGGATGCCTGCTCAATATTGGAAGGCCAAATGCCGATCAGAACAGGTTGGGCTAGTCACTGTTGAGTACGAGTGGAGTTTGAGCGGGTGGTTATTAAGGGAACGGAAAAGTGACGGTAAAGGTATAAAGAAATCTGAGCGCGAACGTCAACAGCATATGCTAACAACAATCACGAACAAACGTGTAATAGGTGGGAAGAGTGCGGTTCATTAAGAAGATGGCGACATCTATGAGTGCTGGTGGCAGAAGGGCCCATGGAAAACAAAAGGGCTTGAAAGGAAGCCTCAAATCGCATCCCCACCGACCAGGGCGTTACTGCACGCGGTGCCGTGGGCAAAATGCTGCAAATTCTGCAAGGTTGTCTCAGCAATCTCAGTCAAGGCCTCCCCCGTGAGAAACGCTTGATGACCTGTCACCAGTACGTTCGGGAACGTGAGCAAGCGCTGGAAGACATCGTCATGGATAATGTCCGAAGAGTGGTCGACGAAGAACAGGCCTGCCTCCTTCTCGTAGACATCGAGTCCAAGGGCACCGATCTGGCCAGACTTGAGCGCGTCAATCACAGCAGCCGTGTCGATAATTCCACCGCGGGACGTATTGATGAGCATGGCACCCCACTTCAAATTCATGAGCGAGGCTCGGCTGATGAGATGCTTTGTCGAGACCAGGAGCGGGCAATGTAGAGTGACAATATCTGATTGCTGAAGCAGATTCTCAAATGTCGTGTATGCACCGAGGGCCTTGAACTCGTCCACCTCGTACGGATCGTACGCAAGCAAGTTGCACCCAAAGCCCTTAAAAATCCTGGCCGCCGCCAATCCGATTTTACCGACGCCAACGATACCCACCGTCTTGCCGTGCATATTGAATCCCAAAAGAGAGCTGAGGTCGAAGTTGCCTTCCCGCACGCGGTTGTAGGCGCGATGTGTCCGTCGGTTCAGTGTAAGTATCAGGGCCACGGCAAACTCGGCAACAGCCTCGGGCGAGTAGGCTGGCACACGCGCGACAAATAATCCAAGCTTCTTAGCAGCCTTGAGATCGACATTGTTGAAGCCAGCACAGCGCAGAAAAACACCCCGAACACCTTGATCAAGCAACAGCTGCAGGACATCCTCGTCGACGCAGTCATTGACGAACACGCACACGGCATCGCAGCGTCCAGCGAGGGCGGCGGTCTCCTTGGACAGCGGGCTGGTATGGAACACAAGCTCGGCATGGAGCGATTGGAAACACTCCTGGTTGACACAGTTGAAAAAGTGCTTGTCGTGTGGCTGCGCGCTGAAGACGGCGACTCTGATGACTGGCTTCTCAGTAGACGACTCTAGCATAGTCGCGAAGAGGACGCGCTGAAGATAGGGAACAGAGGAACGGGTCTTGGAGGCAAGAATAGTAAGAGGAATTGGGGCAAGAAAGAGTGAACGAGAGAAAGAACAAGAAACGAGAATAGAGAAAGAACAAGAAACGAGAATAGAGAAAATGTACAGTACAAGAGTTTGTGTTTCTCACATCAGATGGGATAAGTTGACTCTTGGTCTCGGAAAATCTTGTTCGAAGAAAACGAATGAGAAAAAATTTGTGCAAGAGATGTGCGTGCTCGTTATTGCGGAAGGCTGTCTCACTCTGTTTTTCTTAAAATGGGGGCATGATTCATTCTAGGCATGGCTAAGCATGGCGTCCTTCAGCGTTTTTCTTTTTCACTTCGCCTGCTTTTAGGTGAGGGGGTATGAACTGAGAGTATTGAGGGAGCTTGACCAAAGACCTCATCGGAATTCAATCATCCATCAACCCCAAAAGGCCCATTGAACGACGATTCTCTAACAAATGATGCAAGAAGGATGGGACCCTGACGAGGACTGCGCGGACCCAGACGGGCCGATTGTAATGGAGGGGCAGTGGAAGTCATCTTCGGAGAAATGTTCATTGCGATCACATCTTTTGAAGTGTTGCGTTCATCGAGGTGTTGTTGGAGGTGTTGAAAATGGAGGAATGGACGAGTGGAGTGAGGAAACTTGACCACAAACGAGGAATTGAGATGGAAAGAGCAGCGACATACCCTCCCTTCTTTATTGTTCTTACCATCCCTTTCATGGACAACAAGTGGAGGATGAATGCCAGAGCGTGGATGATGATGATTGGTTTAAGCACACGATGGAAGGATGGCGTGACGAGAGACAAACACAAACCCTTGTAAGGAATTTACGCACTCTGAACGTCGGCTAGAGGATGGATGAGTGACGATTAGTTCACGCAAACGATGCATGAATGGCGGGATGGAAGCCGATCACAGAGGGAAACGACGAGTCTCTCTCTCTCTTTCCACTTTTCTCTTTGTTCTCCCTGTTCTTTCTGTTCCCTCTGTTTTCTGTTCCCCCCGTTTTCTATTTTCCCTCCCTCTCTCCTTTGCCATGAGGGGAAAGATCCACTCCCTCTCCCTGTGTGATAGTATCGTAGACTGTTCTTACCTTGTCTTAGTTTTCGTAGGTGAAACTCATACTGTGTGTATGTGAGGATGAGACTGCCAATGCACATCTAGCCATTGGTGTCGCTTGCACACCATCTGAGACAAAATGCAGTGATCGAATGTCCAATTCGCTTCATGGTTTTTTAACAAACGATGTGCCTTTTTCTTCTTCTTTACCCAAACATCCTTACCGAGCCTCCGCACTTTATCTCCATGCCTATTCCACACTACGGCGTCTGGGTTGCAACACCCACAGCTTTGACAATTGAACGCAATGATGTTGATCGTAGAAGTCCTCACATCCATCTCAAATTCAAAAACCATTCCCACTCAACAAGACAGTTCAGTGCCGCCATCAATGTCAAATCTATCGGTCTGGATTCACGTCTCATCTACTGGCTCGTCAACAACCTCCAGAACGACTTCATCAACAGCTTGAGGGGCCTTGAGCGCGGATTCCACCCACTTGATGCAGGTCGCGGTCTAGATTACGACCGTTCACATCTGGTCGACTTCGCTGATGGCACGCTACTTGAATATCATGCTCCATGGCCTGATAACGACATCATCGGCCAAGTCGCCCCCATCATTCAGAGAGCTATTGAGAGCGACAACGTTACAGTCTACATATTTGGATCCCAATTTCCACACGGAGACGGGATCCACGATATCCATATGAATCAGGGCAGTTTGGGGCAGTTTGACCATGGCGTCGGTCAAGATGGGGGGATCGTTTTCCACTACCATGATAAGGACCGTTGGGAAGCTATCTTTCTTGCTTTTGCCTCTCAGAAAATCCCTACGGATGAGAATGGCTTACCCAGGAGTGATGCGCGTGAGTTGGTAACCCTGTTGGGTCCACAAACTGCACAAGATTTCGACAGTGTTCACATCCATACTACTAGCCTAGCTGGGCGAAAAGTTGAAGTCTCAGTTTCTCACTCCAAATAATACTGGATTCGCGTCTTCCATTGATACATAACTGGTCACTGAAATCGTTCTGATGAGACAAGTTTCTCTCATTTTATCATTGTGAATCCACTAAGAAAGAAGGATCTTGTAAGATCCCAGTTCGAAGGGCACAGTGTTGCTCTAGACATCTACAAATAACATTGACTCACATCTATTTGGACCCTTGTTCACTTGCAGAATGTGATATGAACAACTGGGAAGAGGAAAAATGGCGAGAAAGAAGCTCGAGGGTCTTTATTGGATCGCATGCATCACCGTTTTCTTTTCAACTTGCGGCGTCTTTTTTAGTTTCTCTAATTACCTTCAAACTTCAATGAGTTACCTCCTCAATCTTATACGACTTTCTATCAAGGTTTGGAACTCTTCAAAGTCTTTTTGTGCTTGATCTATATACATGATTTTACATGGGTTTAGCACGCGGCAAGCTGTTTTTTTTTTTTTAAATCACAAGCTCAATGCGCTTTCTACCTGCAACCTGAAAGCAGTTCCATTTGTAGAACATGGTGTGTGATCTAAAGGTCGATAATGTAAGAAGCCAGTTATTCTCTATAGAGTGTAATATCATAACAATGTGTGAACTTCTATAAATGATATAAACGTTCCGTACGTTTCCTATTTTATATATCACACTTGATGTCTTCTAAGAAGACCTCCGTTCGCTTGAATTCAAAAACGGTTTTCAAAATGACATTTTCTTTGATGTCGATGGATACAAATAAAAACATCGTTTGGGATCTCAAGGGGGAAAAATGGAACAAGGAGATGTATGTGTGAAAGGGATATATGGTTTCATAGAAGGGCAAAGAAAAAAAAGAGGTAACAAAAAAAAAAAAGAGGTAAAGAAAAGGGGGAAAGAGAGAGAGAAGGTACAAAAAATAATAATCGCGGGTCCTTAGCGGCGGTAGTGCCAAACCCAGTCTCCAGTCTCAGGCTTGGCAGCTGTGTCAGCGCGGCGAGAGAGGATCGTGTTAACGAAGGGTGGGGGTCATTCTTCGATGTGGATGATGTCGGTAGCGGAGTGGCGTCAGCGGAGGCTGGGACGGGGGACGGAATAGGCACTGCTTTTGAAGGCCAGAGTGGTGATGAGGATCGCCATTGAGAAGGTTGCCAGCCTTGTAGGAAATGAGGCCAACATTTTGTGTTTTTTGTTTCTGGCAAGGTGGGCGTTATTTTTGTGCGGGAGTTGTGTATTTGAGAAGGAGAGAGAGAGAGGAGTTGGAGGAGAGGATGGTCTGGGGTATGATGGTGAGAAAAACGAACCGCGTCCAATCTATTTATCAGTTCTTTCAACACTGTCTGTCTGTCTGTCTGTCTGTCTGTCTGTCTGTCTGTCTGTCTGTCTGTCTGTCTGCGTGAAGGCTATGCTTCTATAGGTGTAGTTGTTTGCGTGTCTTTTTCTTGGTTTGTTTGCCATTTCTCTGCAAGATTATGGAGAGGGGAATGAAAAGCATCGGAATTATAGTTTTTGAAAGGAGGGCGAAGAAAATGGAAACGAGGGTAAGAAACGCATAGACACAGACAAGAAATGAAAAAGCAAAAGTAAAGATAGACAGTGGCGGAGATGGAATAGAACAGCAAAGGAGAGTGGCACTGAATGTTTTGACAATGGCGGAGAAGATAAAGTGACATGCAGGATCGCTCAGTCATAGGTGGTCGGATTAATATGAGGCTGTGCTCTTTTGCTTCTATGCCCAAAACAAGGTTGTTTTGCTTGTTCTAAAGAAAATGTCAAGGTTTTGTTTCTTTGATGGGCTGTCGAAACAGAGACGAGGCTGAGGAAATGTCCGCTATGCTCTGCTGACAGCGAGGGGGTATGTTGCAGTGGATGTCCTATGCAGGGCAAAGATAAAGGAGAGTAGACGCGCTTTTGGGTTCCCTACCTGGCCCTAGCGCTGAGGTGATCATATGGCTGACAGTCCTGAAACAAATAGAGTTGCATTTGTGCCCATCACTGAATCGGTGATGGTTCCTGTTATGGCTCACAACACCATGTTCCTGCGGGGATGCCTTCGTACTTCGTTTAACCTGGATGACTACCTCTTTCCTCCTTTCCCTTTACTTTCTCACTCTTTTCCTTGGTGAAGGAACGCAAAGTAAGTGATGAGCTGTGCCATCTCTTTAGTGAAAATAAACAAACAAAACAATCAAAGCGAAAGAATTCAGGGTTGGCCAAATGGCGACAAAAAAAGGTGACCAACATTCTAGGGGCTGGTAAGGGGGTCAAAAAGGAAAAGAGGGCGAGGACACACATTCACAAGCATTGGGTCTCACACCGCTATGCAGAGGAGCAACACCTGTCAGAAAATGACTTTTGTCTTGTTTATATTTTTTGTTTTCTTTTCTGTTCTTTGCCTTCTCATCGCCTTTCCCTCCTCCCGACCCCACTTTTTCTTCCTCCCATCAACAAAGTTCCGATATCCCTTCTGACCTCAAGTCCCTCGATCGAAAATATCCGTACACCCATTCACCTTACCCTTTTCTGCATCGTATTTCCTTCACCCCTCCACTGTAACTTTTTCTCTCTCTATCGTCAGAAAAACCACAGCCTATAGAACCAACCTCGTTACAACAACAAATAACAAACAAGTACCGCTTTTGACAGAGAGAGTACGAATATAACCTTAATAACACCTACTATCCATGTTAGCATAGTTCGTTCCTTAGGTGTTTCTGTAGCTTCTGGATGACAATCTCGTTAACGTCCTTGCTCGAGGAAGATATGGTCGAAGATGTGCACTGAGATTCGACTAAACGATATTCTTCACTCGGATACTCGATATCTAGCTAGATCTTGCATATACAGTCAACGTCCTGTTCTCTCCTTGGTTCTGCGACCAGAGGTGACACTTGTTTGCGTCCCGCATTTCACAAGCGGAGCGACAGTGGCGAGAAGGCCAGGCGCGAGCTAATGGCCAGGTCAATTTCACGCTGTTAATGATACAGACACGCATATGCCGTTAGTTTCAGACTTCTACCGTGTAGCCTCGTCATCTGTCATGGAACCACTCATTGTTGCCATCGAGTCGATGAATAAATGCCCTGTAACTCCTCTCACAGGATGGAGATAAAAGCAAGGTACGACCGTCGGCAACCGAAACAACCCACAAGAATCAAAGCAATTGACATAATTGAACTTGTTAGAAACAATAACGGTGGTGAAAAGAGGTCTGCAAAAGGTGTGACCATCTGCCATCGCCGTCTCCACTTGCCTTCGACTTGGTGACTGTACGACAGCACTCCTGTGCCCGCAAAGGGACCCCCCAAGGAAAAGAGTGACGGACGGCGCAAGAGGATATCATCTACAACAGCGGGAACGAGTCCTCCGAAAGAA